TAGTTACTCACATAACTCAGGAAGCTAGTTTATTTACTAGCTACGAAAGAACAGCCAGATGAAGAGAGACACAGAGTGAGTTCCAGAAGGGTCCTGAGCGCAAGGGATCTGTCAAGTCTGGGATGTGCCACCCTCCTGGCTTATGAGTGCATTCTGGTTCACAAATGGGGAAGCTCTCAAACCCCATCTTCTGGGGTTACATGGAGGTTTCATTGAGATTGATTAAATCACTGGTCTCTGGTGATGAGCCAATCTCCAGCCCCTCTCTCTGCCCAGAGGTTGTGGGAGGGGCTGAAAGCACCAACTCTCTAATCACAAGATTGTTTCTCCTGGCAACCAGCCTCCATCCTTAGGGGCTTTCCAAAAGCCACCTCATTAGCACAAATTCTGGTGTGGTTGAAAGGAGCTTGGTAAGAACAAGCCACCTTTATCGCTTTTATCACTCAGGAAATTCCAAGGGTTTTCAGGAGCTCTGGGCCAGAAAGGGGGATGAAGACCAAATACATCTGTCTTATTATAAACCACCACATCACACCAGGGCATAACCTCCAAACCAAGAAATCAACTTTCATGCATCATCATTGACCAATTCACAGATTCTTGTCAAATTCAGGAGAGTTAGGATCAGCGGTCTTAACAAGGCCCGTTTTTCCTTTTTGGTTGATCCGAGATCCCATCCAGGAATCAATACTGCCGAGGGTCATATCATTTCAGACTCCCTTTAGTGTCTGCTAGGTTTCTCTCTCTTACATTCACCATTTTCCCATTTGTCACTGATTAGTATTTGGGGGTGGAGAAATTATAATATTATGCCAGTAACTCCCACCAACTAACCCTAGTGGTCACTGACAATTCCCATCTGTAATTGGTCACCTCCAGAGTGGCTGCCAAATTCTGGTTCTCTATGTCCACTAGTAAGTCCTCCCATACTCATCAGCTGGTATTCTCCTACATGGAAGCATTCACCCCACTCTCTAGCTGGCTTAACTCCTAGTCATCAGTCTGGTCTCTGCTTAAATGCACTTCCTAAAAAAATCCTCTCTTACCCCTAGACCAGATCAGGTATCTTCAGGTTTCCTGACTTTCTCTGTTACAGCAACTAACACAACATAGCCATTTGTGGGGTTATTTGCTTACTCTTTGCCTCCTCCTAGAGACAAAAAGCACCATATGTATGAAGGCTTTTTTACTCACCACTGTCACTGATGGACTGGACGAATGACTGAAGGCCCTGCAGGACTTGATCTCCTTTTATTTTCACCATGAGCGGGAGGTTTGCTGGGAGTGCAGTGGAAAGAAGGCCTTCTTTCCCTGAACGCCTGGAAAGGAAAAGGCACAAAAAAGTAAGTAAAATGTTAAGAGTGTGTCAGAGTGATCACTGCAACCCAAACAGAAGCCTCACAGCACATTTTCTCTCTTTTGTGGGGGATTCCAGTCCAGAGAGAACACGACCCTTTCAAACTCTCTGCTGATACCCTGGCCACACAACACCCCAAAACAAGTTTGAAGCACAGAATTGAACATTCATTCTCCTTAGGACTATGGCTCCTATGGCAGCCACTTTGGAAGGAAATCTTTGTAAGAGGCTGAGTGTATTTTTCAGGAAGGTTAAGTAATGCTGCAATAACAAACATCCCCAAAATCATTATGACTTGAAGCAAATGGCATTTCTTCCCACAAATGCTACATGTTCACTGAGACATGTCTGGGGGCTCATCTGTGCTGGTCACTCTGGGACTGGGTCACGCTGGCTCCACCGAGGGATGGGTGGTCTGGTCACAGCCACATCACACATCTCACTGGCCCCCACCAACAATAGGGCCATGTTCAAGTACACAGGGTAGGGACAGAGTCTCACAGAGGGAGGGGTTCTGAGTATCTGTGAACAATAATAGAGACTACCATATTGGTGGTTTGAGTGAACTTCCCTCGGTCTCGGGTGCTTCGGAGTTCACTCTGTTACCTGGATTCTTCTGACTTATTCTAAATGTTCTGGATGAGGAAGGGATCCAGAGCACAGGGTTGATCTGAGTGTGACTTTGAGATGCTCCTGGAGAAAACTATTGCTCCTTTGAGAGAGAGGTGAAAGGTTTACTTGTGCTGGACTTAGGTAAAGGCTTTGAATTATTTTACAACAGATGTGATAAAGATCCAACTTATGGTCACGTCTCAAACACTTTATGACTAGATCCAAATCACATCGGGAAAATGACTTAATCTTCCTGTGTTCTTGTATGGTTGTCTCCTCTCTGGTAAGGCAGACTGTGAGGTTGGTTAAGTAAGCGGGATCAGTTGGAAGAAGGAAACCACAATGAAGGACATCCAGAGCAGGAATGTGGAGGAAGTGGAATGTAGAGAATAAAGCATGGACAGTCTTGCATTCAAATCCTGTCACTTGTGTGATCTTGAACAAGTGACTTAGTTTCTCTGAGCAAGCTTCCTCATCTGTGAACCAGGAACACTGTCTACTTCATAGAGTTGCTGTGATGGCTTCATGAGACAGTGTTTGCAAAGGGCCTGCCAGCTATTAGGTGCTCAGGAAATGGCGTGTGTGTGTGTGTGTTTACTGTTATTTACAGGTGGTGATGAAAATGGCAGGCTCAGGAATTTTACAGTGATGGGTGCCTCCAGCTGCCTTCAATCTGGTCTTTGCTTTTTAAGTCTGTTCACACTTCCCTAAGACAGGCAGTCATCCTGAGTCACTGCCACCATGCAAAGACGCCCTTTGTGATCCAGTTGCCAGAGGGCAGGGTTCAGTCCACTGCAAAGTACCAGGGCCAGCTGGCCTGGCCCAGGATTCGGTGATTGCACCATGTGAGCTAGTGTCTCTGATGTGGTCAGTTGATGGGTTTGGATGTAGGAGTGGTCTGTCTTGCAGTCAAACTCCCAAGAACCCAACACAAAGATGCTGAACAACATTCTCTCAGAATGTGACTTCTGAGAGGCCTTCACACTTCTGAGAGGCAATTCCTCCAGGGAATTGGGAGGTTCCCTGTCGCACATGGAGGGTGCTGGGACAGGTGGCAAACCCAAGGTGATTTCTTGCCAAGGTCAGTTGCTAACTCTTGTCATCTAAGAGATAAGGAGAATAAATATTCCAGGAACATTCTTGAGTTGAACCTGCACTTAGGAAGGTAAACTTCCTTGGTTTTGCATTGACATGAGATCTTCATTACGGCATAAATCATTTGAGATTCATGTAAGCATTTATCTGAGGAACTCTACAACTCATGCTTTTCCAAAAGTTTACTAGGATATTTATTCTCTTAGGGCAAATACGTATAAAGTGAGTGTACAGAATGGAAGTTGACAGTATCCATGTCACAGGATTGTTCTGAGGATAAAGTGACTAAATGTTAAGGATTCAGACCAGTGCCAGGTACATGTTATGTAAAGGTAGTTGTTTTAATTAACATAAGCACTTGTCCAAATATACTATTGAAAATACACTGGTGTAAATATAAATCCAATGGATGTCATAGGTCTACTTTTCTCAGAAACATTAAGCAAGGTTAAATGAGAAACCTGCTCCCCTATGTGTGTCCACAATATCATTTAGTCTATCTAGCTGTTCTCTCTCATCCTTGCCAAACTGCGCCTTGCGGACAGAGGCCACAAGACTGGCACAAGCCTTTGGGAGAGAGCTTAGCTCCATCTAGTACTCAGCACTTGCTGAATGATTGAAAATGAGCCATTGAAGCAAAAAAGTTGTTTGCTACTTTGTCCTGGCCTCGGCTTCTTCTCACCTAGTAAGCAGAGCTATACTCTAAGCTTCATTCTCAGCCCTTCCTCATACTTACACAGGCTCTCTTGCGAGTATCCCCTTTGTTGAAATCCAACAATCCATTCAGTCCATTTTCTGAACTTCTGTAGCTCACTTTCAGTTGCCACTTGGATAGCCTGTAGCACCTTCAGTCCAATGTAGGTCTAACTTCAAACTCACGCTTCCTTGGAAATGTTTTGTTCAGGCCCTCCCTGCTTCTGTGGGTTGGGGACCCACCTTTCAGCGTTCCAGGCACAGCACTGCAGACCCACTGTTGACTCCTTTCTTTCTAAAATTCCATTGCCTTATCACCATAGCAGTCAAGAATAGCTTGGTTGTAAGAAAATTCCAATCAAACTAACTTAAGCACAGATAATTTGTTTCCCTCTCACAAACCGGCAAGTCCACAGGTATTGTTTTTTAGGGACAGATGAGTCTGGAGTTAAAATCTTGTGTCACAGAAACTGCTTTTTCTACCCCTCAGCTTTGCAGTTCTTTATGTGGGCTCCATTCTCATGCAAGGTTGCTCATGTGGCAAGATGGCCGTTAGCAGGTCCAGGATTCCATCACATGCTCCAAGCAATACCAAAGGAGAGTAACTTCTCTAGGTAACAGAGAACTCCTGAGATTAGCTTTTATTTTAACTGGATCAAGTGACAATCCCTGAGCCAGTTCCTGGGCTGGGAGCTGGGGATGGAGGAAGTGATCGGAGTAGCCAGGTCAGAGTCTAGCAGTAGGGTTGATCGCCCAAACCACATGAACTGGGGAAGGGGGTAGGGTGGTTCTCTACACAACGTGACTTCGGTAGCAGAAGAGGATCTGTGCAGGGCAGGTTACAAGCTAAGGACACACCTGCCACAGTCTAAGAGACAGCAGATATTATCTGAACAGGTGTGTGACAGGCACTGAGAATGAAGAGTTAGAATTGGCAAGACTTAGACGAGGCAGGCATCAAAGACGTCAGTGATTTCTGGGTGGTAGTGTCTTCCCTGAGACTGGGAAGAGACCTTAAAAGAAGAAAGATAATGAGTTAACATGTCAATTTTGAGATGTTTATGGAGAAGAGTAGGTGGCGGTGTCCAGATGTGGGCTGGAGTGACGAGTGTGGGGTCATCAGTCAGATAATGGTTGAGGTCACGGGGACCAAGACAAGTAAGTCAGAGCACAGTCTCAGGGCCCTCTTGGTTGTGTGCACATGACAGGCAGGGGTGTTGATACTCAAGGCAATAAAAACAGCCAGTTACCTCAGTTTCATTTGAACATTTATTTTTTAAGTTTTTTTTTTTTTTTGGTCTCAAATGGGAAAATAACATCTTTAGAACAAGGAAAGCAGTATTTATACTTTTCTTTTTTAACTCAAAATATTAACCATTACTTTCTACTGTTAAAAATGAACAGGGCCAAGTTCACTAGAAATGCTACATATTAAAAAAGGGCTTATAAAGCACAAAGGCCACTGTAAAAACCATTCTTTTCACCTGCTCCTCTCTCACCTTCCTGAAGCTAACTTTCAAAGCATCTAATAACATTCACCTAAGTATTTAAGGTGAGCTGCAACATTTCTGACCATGACAGCAGTTAGTTTTGGGAGCGGTTCTAGCTTTGAATTGTTTCAATGATGTGTCATTAGGCAAGCCTAGTCGAGGGAGTCCACAGACACTCCAGGGGTGTCTCATCTCCAGAGAATCTAGCACCTGCTGGAAGCCTGCTTCACACCTTTAAGTGGCTTTGGTGTTCAATGTTAACTTGTATCCTTAACTTACCTGTGCAGAACAGCCACTGGTTCTGTCTGAAGGCCTGAGTAATCCGTAGTTACTGTATTAAGATCCTTAACTTATTTATTGATAACTTTTTAAACTCTATCGTCAAAAATGCTTATGTTACTGAGTGTGTGGTGTGAAGACATGTTATACTATTTTACAACATACGCTTTTCAGAGGAAGTCTTTTCCCCAGCCGTCTAAACATCTTTTCCCCAGCCTCTGCAGATACTCCAACGGGACCTTTGATTATAAATTGAGGGATGTTTTAGGAAAGAAAAGTTTTAGGATGAGTCTCTGAAAACAACCTGGGAGAAAATCAGAAAAGAGTAAAGTAAATCAAATTCAAATCTAATTGTCCTAAGCTACAATGAATTTAGCACAAAATATAAACAACATACTGTAATTTAATTAGCTTTTCCATTTTACTGGCTATTTAAACTCTACCAAGGCCTTAGTAACCTATAATTTCAACATCTTTGTTAAATTTATAGAGCAGTACAGAACATGAATTCTGATTAGGTGGCACAAGACTAGGCAGCCCATCAACACAGAGCAACCGTCAACATCACAGCCGTGGTCGTTTAGTGCTTTCATAACAATTTAATGAGGAATGTAGAGATGTTCAGTATCATGTGAGGGGTCACTGCTGTGACTCCAACAGATACCACTTTGCAGGTAAGTTAAAACCTGCCTTATATTTAGAATAAGAAAGGTGGCAAGTCTATGAAAAATTATTTTCTCTTTTGGGTCCCTAGTCTCACACCTCCACACACATTCCCTCTTCAATCTGTCTTATTATCTATTTCTATCTAAGATCTTGACATGACCATGGTGGTATTCTCTAAGTAAAAGTGGTATTGAGTTTAGCTCACTGCAGGGGAAGTGGGTGGATGGGTGAATGAAGGACAAACTGACAGAGGGAGGGAACAAAGAAAACATTACAAGCTTTTTTAATAGAACATTCTTCATGACACCTCCCAGGATGTAAATAGAGCTTGGTGTGAAGAAGTTCATTTTGATGATTAAAGACTTACATGACTGAGTAAGACTATTTCTTGACTCATCCCCACTCCCTAATAGATCTGCTGAAAATCTGTGGGACAATGAAGGAAGATGCATATGAAACCCCTTTTCACTGGGGGCAATGTGACTCCTGCCAGGTCATTTAGAACACCTGCTCCTGAAAGCAATCACCTCCTGTCAGTCATTTCTGATGCAAAATGCAGCTATAACTGCACGCAAAGGAACCTGTCAAGTCTCTGGAGGCTGATGTTTAAAGAGTGTTTCAGTTCAGTCCACTTCAGCGAGGGTCAGGGGCATCTGTCAGCCTGGGTCAGGGTTCTAGCCTTTGATAACAGCAATTGGTCTCAGTTTAATGGCCTTCTTGCTGATTCCAGCATCGTGGCAGGTGTTCACCACGTCGGTCACGTTCTTGTAGGACTCAGGAGCCTGCAGGGGAGGAGTTAACATTGTAAAAGTCTACTTACAATGGAATCTTTAGAAGCATTAAGCTTCACTTGTAATGAGGTTTTGTTTTTCCTTTCAAGTACTCAAAGAGTAAAAGAGATTTAAGCTCAGTGTTGGTAAGGGGGGTAGTAAAACATTCTCATCTTGTTTTATATTTTTCTGTGTAGTTCTCAAAATTTCCTCAAAGAACATATATACATTTGTATTAACTAGGAAAAGCAGTAAATTTAATTGGACAAAAACACATTCATCAGTATTCCACTAGAAGGAAATAGACCAAACCATCCTGTTAGTGTGACTGTTTTTAGATAGAGTTATTTGCAATTTTGAATTTCTCTACATATTTCTGTAGTTGCTAAAATTCCTGGAATGAACCTGTATTACTTTCACAATAAGGGAGTTATTATTAAATTCACATATATAACACAGACTATGTGTGTGTATATAAATATGTACACATACATATAGACACACATACAATTTAGTTTCTGGCACCCTTCTTCCTTCCCACCACTCTCACCACAGAACAAATCTCACCACATAACCACCCTTCCCCATCATGTTAACATAGGAAGTTTAGGCTTCCAGAAGTGACTCTCACGGGACTGCATAGCCCCTTTCCAGCCCATCTCTCATTCCCTTCCAATTTCTGAAACTTTCCCACGGTAGCCTCTGGAATTCCCTTCCACTGAGTCAAGTGAAAATCCCCTCCAACTTCCCTTTTTGAACAATCCCCTCGTAACTCTACTATCCTGTAACTCTACTATCTAAAAACAGTCACACTAACAGGATGGTATGGTGTATTTCCTTCTAGTGGGATATTGGTGAATATGTTTTGTCCAATTACATTTACTGCTTTTCCTAGTTAATACAAATGGATATATGTTCTTGCTGAAACATGGATTTTCTCTGAGTATATTACTGCTGCTCCCAACTTTCTGAAGTGGCAGCTGCTGCCTCTCCTAAACTGGGTCATGCCAGTAGGCCCAGACATGACACACATACCTTTGTCCTCTAGACCACTCTCCCCCCTTACTCCTAGTTATGAATCTCTCAGTCATCACTTATACCACCTATTACCTCTTCCTGAGCAATTATCTGCTAGAGTTTGAATCAATCCCCATCATTACTTGATGACTTCTACCTTCTGGGCACTGTCACTCTCTCTGCCAAAAGTGTGAATGATTTCAATACCCAGGAAGTGAACGTCTTCAGTCCTCAGCTTCTTGGTGCTTGATTTCTACTCCTCCATTGCTAACTGCAGTCTTTCACTCCTGTAACTTGTCGCTGCCAGTAATTATAACTCTTCCATTATCTCAGTTTTTAACCACCCCTGGCCAATAAACAGAGTGTGGATTTCTAGCTCCCCACCCTCATGTTCCATCTCCAATAATCCTTTAAGCACGTAAGACTTACATTCCTTTCCAACACCCTCAACAACCTTGCTTTTCTTTTACTGTATACTTGTAACCATGAGTGAAAGTAAAAAAAAAATTCTGGGGCCTCCCCTGGTGGCACAGTGGTTGAGCCCTGGGCTGCAAGGCTGCCTGCAGCCTCTGCAGCGCCGGTTCGTTCCCCGGCCACCTGTGAGGGTCCCACAAAACAAAACAAAACAAACAAACAAACAAAATTCTGTAAATAAAACATAAAACACAATTTTTGTTAATAAACCAAAAATTGCTGTTTCAGTGCACTGGCCTACATTAAACAGTTTTATGCTGAATATTTATCAGTTTCACTTACCTCTTCCATAACCAGTTTGGGTGAGGCAACACGAATTGCAATGCCCATATCTGCCAATTTGTCTAACACATCCTGGAAATCTAAATTACGTCGAGACTTGGCTCGGGACAATGCACGGCCCTAGAATAGAAAGGAATAAACTTCACTTTATGAATTCTGAGCTCAAATTATGTCCAATCCCAGCTAGCAGTCAAACCCTTAGGACAAAAACAAACAAAACCTTAAGGATGATATGTTTCTTTTTTTTTTTTTTTTTTTTTTTTTTTTTTTTTTATTATAGAGGCATGCTTTATTTATTTGTTTGCTGGTTTCTTTGTTTGTTTTGTTTATACATGCACTGGGTACAGTCAGAAGCGCGGGAGGGCGAGAGAATTCACCAGAGCCAGAGCGGGGAGCAGAGCAGGCAGAAGGACCGAAGTACACTGCTGAGGGGAGCAGCGGGCGGCAGGAGAGGTCTGCGCGCCATGTGGGACCCTCCTCCGGTGGCCGGGGAGCAGCCGGGGATCGAACCAGCGCCGCAGAGGCCGCGCGCAGCTTCGCAACCCAGCGCTCAACCGCTGCGCCACCGGGGAGGCCCAAGGATGATATGTTTCTTGATTTCTAAAAACTAAAAGAAGTTACAAACAAGCATTTTCTATTTTATCAACCTTACTATACGCCTGTTGCTATAAGCCTCATTCTACCCTTCTGGAAAAAACTTAAAGTATTCTTTAAAGATTTAATTTTATGTTTCTAATTACTGTTACTATCCATTCAATATATTAATTTTTAATTGTAAACAGTATGTATGTCAACACAAAAACCTTGTGCTCCTGTGATTTAAAACAGTCTGTCAACCTTAGCACTATGACATGTTGGACCAATTCTGTGCATGAAGATGTTTAACAGCATCCCTGGCCACCACTTAGTAGATGTCAGTAACGACCACCTGCTGTGAAAATAAACACATGCCAGTGTGGGGAGGGAGCTGTCACCTTGGTTATTGGAACACTGCAATGTCCATTTCTTTATGTACTGCCTATGGTTGTTTTTGCGCTATAATGGCACAAGTTGAAGAGATGCTATAGAAACCATACGGACCAAAACAGATAAAGTATTTATTGTCTGGAGTCTACAGAAAATTTTACCAACCCTTGGCCTAGGAGAGGCAATATGATGAAGTGGGTGTGCGGTCTATGCACACCTGCTGATGAGGCATATCCCCCAAATCTTGAGCTGACCCGCTCAGTCAGAAGCAAATTATGCAAATAACCAGTTACAATTAATTGCTGAGATAAACTGTGATGTAAATTTGCATCAGTTAAAGCTGTAGCAGTTATGCTAGTATGACTAATTTTGTCTGGATTTTCTGTACATGCAGAGGTGAAGAACAGTCCCTTACTCTGTAACAATGGAGGGTCACACTGAGATACCAGTGACCTCACTTAGTTCACTAAACAGTTTATGTTATGGGGATAAATTCAGGTAGAAGACAGATCCAAACCTCACCTTTGTTGACGCTCATTAGGTACATTTTGACAGGTACATTTGATTGGTATACACCTGTCAAAATGTAAAACAAGCAGAAAAGAGCATTTCTAAGTTTGTTTGTTTTCCTTACCGCTCCATGACAGGTTGTTCCAAAAGTCTCAGTCATGCCCTGTTCAGTGCCGGTAAGAACGTAACTACAGGTTCCCATGGTGCCACCAATCAGCACTGGCTGGCCTGTGAGCTGAGGACGCATACAAATCATACATGTTAACAAATCAGGAAAGCATGAGTCTTTTATGCTCGAGACTGAAATTTCCCCATCCACTGGATGGAGAATTGTGGGAATAACTAGAACACTAAACACACTGCTCTCACAACTACATTAAGAAATTATTTGGTTTCTTTGGTAATTGGGAGGAGAGGGAAGAGGAACGGGAAACGGGAAAGCTGGCTCAAACAGGTAATGGAAGAGCAAAGCAAAACGGCAAGGTGCAGGGAAGTCCACTAGAAGACTATCCTGAGCAAAGCAGCTGCTCTGGCCAGGCTTCCGTGCTCTTCTGTGAAATGGGGGCAGGCTAAGGAGGGTCTTTGTAACTCTCACAGCCAGACGCTAAAAGGATAAAAGGCACAAAACAGACTGAGTTTAATCCTAATTCTTTTTTCAATCACTCCAAGGCCATAAAAAGACCATCTTTACTCATTTTAACGGAGTAAAATACTCTTCAGACAGCACTTTTTAGACAGCACACTGTACGCACGAACAGTGGGGGGATGAGTCACTGCTTCAGAGAAGAGTGGAAATAATTGTTCTCAAGATAACAGATCATCTTCTTTAACAACTGCTGCTTTTCTGTTTAACTTCATCCATATTTAGAACTCTTAACCAGGCCCCCGCTGCCTAACATCACGAATGATTTAATACGTACTTGGTAATCAACGGCAATGAGCGGGTGGTGAGGAGGGAAAGCGCGGGTGGACCCCTTGCGGTGTACCAGCAGCGTCCGTTCCTTTCCATCTACCACATGCTGTTCCACTTTGGCAATATTGTGAGAAACATCATAGATCACATGTAGGTCCAAGTCGTCAGGGGTTGTGTTGAAGACCTTGGCGAAAGCCTAAGAGGAAAGCCTAAGTTACAGGCAGTCAGACCAGCTCTCCAGAACCTATCCTGTGGAATTCAGTTAGTCTGTTCCTTACGGGAGTGAGGAGGTAAGAGTTCAAAAATTAATCTTCATGAAAAGGACAAAAACATTTTAGACCACAGAGCAAAGTCTATTCCATCAATTCCAAATGATCGGGTACTCTTGCTCCCTACCCTTCAGAACTGCTTTTTCCTCAGCCTCCTGAATCTAAGCAGATGGTATGTCTATCTCTTCTGCTATGAAAGGGACATTTTAGGAATAATTCTGCCTTCTCTTCTTCCTGTGTTCCCCATGCCTGATACCCTGCTGATTTAGTTTAAGGAGATACCAAAGGTGTGGACACTTATCACAATTTTTGTATTTATTACAAAAATTTCTCAAATTTCTATAGATTTTGATTTGAATAGACTCTATTTTAAAGTGTCAACATCACTGTAAATATAACTCAGAACAGAAAAGCAACTCTGAGTGCACCTGACGGGTTAAGAAGGTCATGGAAGAGCGGTTGACCCAGGCGTAGTTCCCAGCAGCTGCCATTCCCTTGAGATAGTCCTGACCCTCGGGGGACGCAATTCGTGCACAAGCCAGCTGGCGGTCATTGACAATAATCTTGTCTCTCTTCATGGCCTTTTCCATAGCAACCAGTGCATCTGGAATAAGAGGGCAACAAGTTCAACTAGTCAGAGTCCAGCGTTACTGACTAAAGATAGCCTACACTCAAACCCACTCCATAACAAACAAGTAAAATACAACTTTCCCTTAAAAAGTGTTTCAGTCCATCTATTTGCTTGGTCAAGATATACTTATTGAGACTCTTCTGCCATCAGAGGCCCTATTCTCATTATTTTCTGATGAAGAATTGAAGGCCCAGTGAAGTAATTTAATTTATTCAAAATCATACTTGTTGGTTAGGAGAACCAGGGTAAAACTCATGCAGTGTAGTTCCAAAACTTCCTCTCTTCAATCTCTATATGGCTTCCCATCAACATAATGTTTTAGCATATTTTATGTAACATGTTCATAGCAAGTCAAAAATCAGGAGCATGACCTCCCCAGTGGCGCAGCAGGTTGAGCACCATGCTGTGAAGCTGTCAGCAGCCTCTGCAGCGTGGGTTCGATTCCCAGCCGGCCAGGGAGAAACCACATGGTGCAACAGACCCCTCCTGCCTCACCCACTGCTCCCATCAGCAGTGTCTTTGGTCTGTCTGCCTGTTCTGCTCCCAGCTCTGTCTCTGATGAATTCTCTCACCCTCCTGTGCCTCTCACTGTACCCCAGTTCTTGTATAAATAAATCTTTAAAAAAAAAAATAAATTTCCACTCTTTAGAAAAACAAAACAAAACAAAACATCAGGAGCAGAAAATACCTGTGGCTACTTGGTGGCCCAATCCTCTGCTTCCGCTGTGGATCATCACACACACCTGTCCCTTATGATCGATGCCCATTTTCTTAGCAGCGTACTCATTGAAAATCTCATCCACAACCTGGATTTCTGCATAGTGGTTGCCTGCTCCCAGGGTTCCCAACTACAGGAAAAAAACATAAGAATAGATGACAAAACTGAGTACAATTTCTGCACTGGCAAAATGCAGCTCTCCTGAAGGTCCCTCTCTTTTTCTTTCTCCTTTTCCCAATAAACCTGTTCTTTTAGAATGTTAAAAAAAATTGATAAAACAGCCTCTACTTTGGTTTAAAAAGCAGAGAGGCAAAATCAACAACAGAATAACCACACGTTTTATGTAACAAAATAATTTTTCTAAGCCTTAGAAATTTAAAACAATACTCCACACAACAAAAATAAAGCAGCTCCTGATGTTTACTGTATCATCTGCTTGAGGTACACCCATTTGGAAAGCCTCAATACACCAAAAATTCAGACTACTAAATGGCTTGTAGGGCATTAAGTATCATGAAGAGTAGTTAACTCTTAGGATGAACCCTGGGGAATGCTGACTCTTATACAGGGTTCAAGATCAAATGATTGTTAAAACATCTGTGAATTCACTGACACCCAACATTACCATCACTGAAAGAATATATTCCATAACTGTAGTGAACAGACGATCTAGGAAACCAGACAGCTGCAGTGCTGGAAGAGTCTTCAGATTTCACCTATTTTTAACAATCCCAATTTCCAATTGAAAAAATGAGACTCAGGTAGGCAAGAGACTTCCCCAAGGTCAGAATGAGTTAGTGACAAAGCTATCACAATTAGCTGTAAATTTCAAACATCTCATTTATCTTTTTCTCATAAGCATCATGACCTGCAAGGTCTTTCTTTCATCTTAGATGCCAAAAAACAAGGTCTTTCTTTCATCTTAGATGCCAAAAAACATTCAGCCAAGTATGAAATTGTTAAGTATGCACACATGTAATTTTAAACCTATAACCCTATCTGATTTTTCTCCCATCCACTTTAAATTCATGATAGGTTGTTCCATTTTATGAATATCTGAAAATTCGTAAGTTTTTAAATAAAAGATTTATTTATTTATTTATGTATGTATACAAGAGCTGGGGTACAGGCCAGAGGTGTGGGTGGTGAGAGGATTCACCAGAGACAGAGTAGGGAACAGAACAGGCAGACTGACTGAAATACACAGCTGAGGAGAGCAATGGGAGAGACAGGAGAGGTGTGCTGCGCCATGTGGGTTAGCCCCCTGGCTGGCTGGGGATCAAACCTGTGCTGCGAGGCTGAGGACAGCTTCACAGTGCTGTGCTTAACCCCTTGTGCCACCAGGGAGGCCCCGAGAGTTTTTTAAAAGAATAAGGACATATATAAAATTAATTCATTCTTTTCAGTACACTGTGAAAAAAAAGGGGATATGTTACAGAAAGATAAACTTTTTTTACCCCAACAAAAATTAAACATGCAAAGAATGAACAGGTTGCCTCTCCAGAAGGAACATTACCTGAGGAAGGCCTCTTTTCTTAGCCCTTGCAGAGACCTTATTGGGGTCAGCTTGCAGCATCCTTCCATATTCTTCACAATGTTCCTTGTCTTCAGCCCATGCATAGCCTTCTCTTAAGGACCAGTCTACACCCATCTCCAAGGCCTCCTCTAAGTCCCTGAGTGAGTGATAAGTAAGTGCTAGTCATTTTACAGCCACGGAAGACCACAAAGGTGGACATCTCAAAAGGGAGGAGGGAAAGTATCACAATTTTAACTATCTCCTGTGTCTCAGGCACTGTGTTAGACACACAGTTCATGCTCACAGCAACTCTAACTTTTTGAAGAAAGCAGTTTCATAATTAAGCACAACATAAATTGTTAACACCATATTTCAGATGATTACAGTTTATCATAATATTTATACAGCCCATTGGAATTTCCAAATCTTACCTCCATTTGATTTGCCTAATACTAAATTCTATGAGGTGGTGATTAAGCAGCTAAAGAAAATTTATAAACACAACCAGATATCGCTATCCACAACCAACTTTCCCACAGCTACCCACCTTCATTAATAATTTGTTAAAACATTTACGAACAGTAAATAAAGCTGCACATATGTCCTCAGGCAATACATGTTAAATTTTAAAGTCTATTCCCACTTTCACAAAAGTACATTGCGGCTTTACTGCACCTGCACTATGAAGCTGAGAAGCATACTTTAAATCCTTAGGAGGAAAAATGTTTTGATCATCCTTTAAGATCCAGTCCTCTTCCAAACCACTAACTGGAGAGATCACAGTGTTCAGTGTTCCCTCCCACTACAGTCTGTTTCAAACATGATTCATTAAGGCAAAATTCCTATCTATAATATTTGAAAAGGTATATAGCAATTTATTTCTATGTTCCATATACTTGTTATTTACCTAGACTTTTCAAAGTGGGGCTGCATGTTAAGGAACATATGAAATCACAGACTAAATATTTCCCAAGATACCGCTGTCACTGATTTTACTCCAATCTTTTTTTTTTGGAGGGGAATTGTGTAGCTAAAAACATTTCAATATTAATGCACGTACATATTTGAATAGAATACAAAAATTTGCATGAATTTTAAAGTTATAAAAGAAAATGTTAAGGAAATATAACCTGTTAAGCGCACAATTTTGCAAAGTTTAAGGTGCATGGTTTTACCTAAGTTATGACACAGTCCAGTCAATGCTATCTACGAGGCAGTTATGCTGCTGCCTCATTTACTTCTCCACTTTAAAAATATCTAACACTGTGCTGAAGCATACCGTCAGTGCTATCACTCAAAAAGGTGGTTATAGATATAAGCCAAGTGACAAAACAGCACTGAGGTCCAGTATACAGCCTTTGAAGCCAAAGGACCCTTGGCTTGAATGTTGGCTTCAGTTACAAGCTCAGTTACTATTAACTTTCTAAACCTCAGTTTCTTTTCTTGAAAATTAGGGTTAGTATTAGGGACTAATCTAGATGAAATATATGACATATATACCATGACACAGTGCCATACACACACGAAATGCTCAATACATATTCTATCCCCTGGAAGCTTGTGCTCTTACTTGGCATTCATTGGGATGACACCCTTTGATCCCACTCCAACAGGGATGTGGTCAAACATAGCTTGGGCTAGTTGCTCCTTCACAGGCTGGACATCACTTTCATCTAAGTTGGTTCTTAGCAAGCGGACACCACAGTTGATGTCAAATCCTACGCCACCTATAACATACAGAAAAGTTAATCAAGTATTAGCAAAACCAGGTAGTTGGGCTTCCCACCATTATCACAGGATTAAAATGATAGCCACTCATTTAAAGATAAGTTTTAAAGTAGTTAACCAAGTTGTTCTCTGGCTACAAGCTGGTGACACATTTTGAAACAATTTAAAGTAACATACAAACTGATAGTACTTTGTGGACCAGGGAGGTAGTGTATGAACAAGTAACTTCTAGTCTAGAGATTAAAATGTGAATTAAAATGTCCCCTCTTTTTTTCTTGACCACTCTTGTACAGGGGTTATGAATTCTATTCATTCTCAAAAAACCAACTTTACCCTTTGTTGATCCTTTTTATTTTGCTCTTAATTATTTCTATCTTTACACTTTCTTCATCCGTAAGTTGTGCATTTAGGGTGTGTACACACACTCTCTATGTATACATGTATAGCACTAATAGTAACCCACAAAGACCAAAGTGTTTATTAATGTTAAAATTATCTTATAGGTTCCATTATGGATTTTTTTTTGACCAATGGGTTATTTAAAAGCATAGGGCTTAATTTATAAATACATGTTTTTTCTCAGTTGTTCTTGTTATGCTCAGCATAGGATTGGTCCCCCCCCACAAAATCTGCTTCTGTTTGCCACTGCCAGAGGCAGAACTCTACAAGATATAATTTAAACTTTACTTTTTCCCCTCCCAGACCCCAGAAATAAAGTTGTGATTTCTGGTGTGAAATACTTTCAGTGAAAGCATACCCCAGAAGAAAAGACATAAAGAATTGGAGGTGAATAATAATGAATAATGACAACGAAGACAAAAAAAACTTCTCAAGTATTTCCTAGCACTTATACACACATATTTCCTGTATGTTCCTAGCATTGTTTTAAGTATTTTACACAGATTACCTCATTTAGGCCCACAATAATGCTCGGTGATAACATTAGCCTCAATGTGCTCAGGAGGTCATTAGGATGCAAAGAAGGTAACTTGACAGAGAAGTGTTTCAGTTTGTTTTGTTGTCAGTGTGCATGTGTGTGTGGCTTAGTACTTTATTTTTAAAAATATTTATTTATGCATATTCATGCATATAAGAGCTGTGGTGTAGGCCAGAGGTATGGGGATGGGGGGTGGGGTGGGGTGGGGTGTGTGTGTATATTCAACAGAGACAGAATGGGGAGCAGTACAGGCAGACTGACTGAAATACACTGCTGAGGGGAGCAGCAGGTGAGACAGGAGAGGTCTGCTGTGCCACGTGGGTCACCTCCCTGGCCCAGGATAGAACTTGTGCTGCAGTGGCTGAGGATAGCTTCATGGTGCTATGACTTAACCCCTTGTGCCACCAGGGAGGCCCCTGTAGTCAGTGTTTGATTAGTGTCTAGTATATAGTAGGAGTCCAAAGTGTCAATTGTTTTATTTGGCATAAATGCTTTCCTTGAATTAAAATGTGAAATATTAAATTTAATATTAAAATATAGTATTTAATACTAATATAATATAACATTAATATACTTAATATTAATATTTAATATTAAATATTTTAATAGCCTCTGAGTGTCCACAGTGAATTCTCCCCCTAAACGAGAGGAAAAGAGATGGCAGTATATAAGACTGAGAGATGCATACACAATAAGTACTCATTCTCTATTTCAGAAAGGCAGTGACTCAGAAGCTACACATCTGATGGCAGGTGAGCAGTGACCTTACCTGGGGACACCACTGCTTCAGGGTCATTCATATCAAAGGCTGCCATATTCCCAATAGCAAACCCATAACCTGAATGGACATCAGGAAGTCCAATAGATTTCTGAAAGAGAATTAAATAGTAAAATCAGCTTTTAACCCTGGCACTCAAGTTGTGTGATGGACTTGGTTACTGATCCTCAAGTAAGCTATGGGCTGAAGACTGTCCCTCATCAAGATTTTAGTTTCATGGGCAATTCTCCCTGCCGGGGTCTGTGATTATGCAGGTGTCTCTCTTTTTTCCTTTCTCCTTTTCCTGATAAATATGTCCTTTTAAAATGTCAAAAAAAAATTTAGTTTCATAGGATTTTCTGCTAGTGGAAATTAGGAATTTTCTGTTAGCGCCTAGTGATAAAATTAGATATTGCAAGAAAAAAAAGCCTTATAGAGTATGACCATTAACTAAGGAAACCTAAAACGAAGTCTCGGTCTGACAAGATATAGGACGACCACATACTAATTTTAATGTATTATTACATTTTAAAGATGATCTCTACAGATACCGACAATTTGTGGCTAAGCCAGATTAAGAAAGAAATATCCAATTTCGACAGGCCTTTGGCATTTATGTAACCACAGACAAATGTAATCCACTTGATAGTATGAGTACTCTATACTTTCTACATCTGGGGTCTAGAAAAGGATCCTGAGTGTGGAAAAATGCAGGTGAAATATGTAAGGATGAATGAAGACACCTAGATTCTTAGGATTTCCTTAAATGCACAAACCATGTCTTTTCACCCTCCGCCAGTGCCTGGCAGAGTACCTGGCAAAAGACCTCAAAAAAATGTTGAATGGATTCATCTTAACATCTACCACTGACGGTGGACTGTGGTGGGGCCACCCAGTACTATCAGCACTGTTCTCCTGTTACCACTACCCTCCACTTCCCGTCACATCCAGACAGGTATGCTGCCCTCCCTCCCTCCTCCTCAGTCCTAACCTTTAAACTTCTTGTCACTCCTCCAATCACTCTCACGAATGGAGCCAAGTGAAAGCTATCACGGCAACAGCTCACTAACAATGATGTACCATGACAAAGAAATTGGGAAATAAAAAAAACTACTTCAAAGGTTCTTGAAAGCTTACAGATTCCAGTCAGAGACAACCAGAGACTAAAATGTTACCTTAGTGCAACAGTTTCTTTAAGTCCCATGGCTGTTTCTAGATGTCGAAAGGTTGTCTAAATGCACCACTATCACTCAGGCATGGCTATTCATCCACACAACAAACTTTAGATTCTAGGAAATGAATGATTAAAGCTCTGGACATGGACTCACATGAACAATCCCAGGAAGAGCTGCCACATTGCCAATCTGTTTCATGGCTGGCAGGAAGCCACCAACACCTGAAGACAAAAATTCCATATTAGAAAAGAGGGCACATTCAATGTTCATGGTTAAGTATGTTCACATTTCTGGATTGCATTAAAGAAAGGGATAGTAGTTAGGATGGCTAAAACAAAACAGCACACAAGGATGTTTGAGAAAGACGCGGGAAGGGAGTTTCTTCAAGAGGGCAGCACATGCACTAAACGGTGTGGGCAATCAGACCAGTGACTAATGTGCTGCCAGTGTTCTGGGCACCCCATGAGAAGGAAGCCTGCAAATATCACACTGGGAGCTATAAAACATAACCATTAAACGCTATGTCGCCAATATAAAGTATGCATTCTTTCAGTTCATGTTACTTATCAAATACATCAACTGTGGATTTACTCTAAGTGACAGAGAAGAGCAATATAAAAGAGCAGGGAAATCACTGGAATGAGAACCAAAGGCAATGGAGTTTAATCCCAGTTCTGTCACTTGGTTGCTGTGTTATTTTAGACAAATCAGCAAACCCTAGAAGGGAGGGGGTGGTATTTAGTTTGTTGACATAAACAACAGCAGGGTTAAAACCAGTTACCTATTCCACCATTATTGTTGGGGAGCAGTATGTTTAGCTCTAGATCTTAGTGTAGTCCGGATAGGTGGATTAAGTAATTTTATAGATGAGTTAACTGAAGTTTAGTGAATCTCATCAGTGTCCTGGTTAAAAATACTGATTTTTGGGATCAGACACTCCTGAATCTGAATTGTGACTTTGTCAATAAGATGTTATGTAAATTTGGACAAATTAAAATTACTTAACTTCATTGAATCTCGACTTACTAATCTATAAAATGGAGATATCTTCCTTTTAGAGCTACTCTAAGAATTACATGAGATAATCTATGCAAAGTACCTGGTAAAGTGCCCGGCAATGTAAGTGCACAATAAATGGTAGTTCTTGTTATCATCAGTCAAGGTTAGCTGCAACACCAACCAGGACAACCTAGCTCCAAATGGCTTCTACACAGCTAGGAGGCTAGCAATGTGATCACAAATAACAGTTTTTTGGTCTCATTTCAAGTCCTGGTCATTCTTTAACAATATTTTTGTATTTTAAAACCAATTATTTGAATTATCATTTTCTTTGGGGGGAGAGGGAAAACACCACTTGAACTACTCATAGAACTCTGATGTACTTACCACCACCTCGACAGGCATTCCTTAGTTCCTCAAACATTAATTTTTCCAGAGCATCATTCACATAGAAAACTCCTTCAACCTGGTACCAAGGAAAAGGAAAAACTGTCTGAGCACATGTACATGATGCATAGAAACTGGATAGAATATAAATGCTGCATGCAACATTTATTTTGCTTTAGGTTTTTTTTAAATAAAAAGCTTTCATATTACTTTAAACAAGCAGGAAACTTCCTATCAAAAACTGTAAGATGTTCCCATCTTTACATCTTAAAAATGTATTCTGCAATGTCTGCAAATTATCTTGTTTATTCTATCCTCAAAGCCACATTTAATTCTTAAGCATTCAACAGCTTTATTTTTTGTGTGTGAAGTCTTCCAACTATGATCTCACTAAGGTCAAAGGTCTCAGAACTCTTGTGCTTCTAAAGTATTAACGGGTTTAAAAATACAGACCAATCAAAGACTCATTCTAAACATAAACATGTATTCACCTGACCTTTGTACTTTTTCTGTGCTTAAGACAACAGCACATTACATTTTATTGTGCCCTATGATGACTTACAAATGTATGCATAGGTAAACAATGAGTAAAAAAATTAACATCAATCTATGCAGCTATATGTTCAGTTCTGTAATTCACATAATTTTAAGAGGATAACAAAATTTGATGATAAAGGTACACAGAAGGCAGTGGAAGATATAATTATGTAACACCAAAGGTCAGAACATTTTTATCACAGATCAAATATTATGGAGCTGCCCAGTAATGGAGAAGCAAAGATTTAACACTTAATTGACGGGACAAGTAAATTTCCCTTTTCCCAGCCAGATGACTTCTGAATCTTACCACTGCATGAATAATATGCAGTGTTACCCTGTGATGGAAAATGTCTCCAGTAACGGATCATTTAACTGACCAAACATTTACAAGGAACTCATTATATGTCAGGTACTATATTGGGGACCAGGGAGACACAAAAACAATTTGAATTTCTGCTTGAGAAGCACCCAGTTTAGGAAGCAGTCAAGGCAAGAAAATGAAGAGTGAGCTGAACCAGCGCCATCACAGAAGCACACAGAGCTAAGGCAGAACCTGGTGAAAGCGGCAGTAACAGTCCAGGCAGCTGGGGGAAGCCTAACAGTTTGTTCATTTTTGCACTGGCTCCTGACAATAGACATCCCTGGGCACCAGCACATTTAGGAGTTGAGCAGAAAGGTAGCATAAAGACGAGTGGGCAATGCTTTCAGGAAACAAGGATAAATTTTTAGCGCAGCCCAGGGAGTTTAAGGAGGAATGGAGGCTAAGTGAGATACTATTATTAAAAGTGTGAAATTCGGGCCTCCCTGGTGGCGCAGGAGATTGAGCAAAGCGCTGTGGGGCTGTCTGCAGCCTCTGTAGTGCTGGTTCGATCCCGGCCTGCCGCAGAGATGCCCACATGGCGCAGCAGACTGCTGTCTCACCCGCTGCTCCCCTCAGCAGTGTATTTCAGTCTGTCTGTCAGTTCTGTTCCCCACTTTGTCTCTGGTGAATCCTCTCACCCTCCCTTGCATCTGGCCTATACCCCGGTTCTTGTATAAATAAATCTTAAAAAAAAAAAAAAAGTGTGAAATTCTACTCTCATGAGACTGGGAACACAGTTCAAACCTGGCATCGAAGGCAATAACAACTTTGGGAGCAAGATAACCAGATTTCAACTCTGTGCCCAAGGGAGCGCTGGTAGTAACAGGCATCGCATCCCCTCATCATGACCATGGCAATGTGTTTTTTAAAGTTTCTACTTCATTTAGGGAACCAGATCACAGACACTGAAACTTGTCAAATGGAAAAGATCAAAAAGGACTCTTAGGACTATGGGTTTTTTCTTTTCAGGGCCTAACTGCATTGGTGGTAGGGGACACTCAGTAAATTCTGATACTGAATAAATGGTGCAGTGGGTAGGGTAGTTTTATCAAGTCACAGGATTCCAAGCCTTCAGTACATCTGCATGGCAGTTAGAGGGATTTAAAGGCCATTTATTACCACGTGCACCAAGACCTCATAAACACCCTCTTTTTTCACTTAACGGGAGAGAATGAGCAGAGATAGCATAGAGCCAGAGAGCGCCAGGGAGCCCAGGCTTTCAGACTCTCGGCACTGGTACCCGGTCGCCTTCAAGAATACATCGTCATGTCAGAGGAGAGAGAAGTGAACTGGACATGGAGTCCTGGCTGGGCTGTATGCTGCCCTCCTGGGCAGAGGGAGCTGTACCGCCAAGGTCCTCCAGGTCCTTGTGCGGAGCAAACAGGAAAAACAACCCCTGCCAGGGTCTCCCTGGTGGCGCAAGCGGTTGAGCGCAGCGCTGTGAAGCTGGCCGCAGCCTCTGCAGTGCGGGTTCGATTCCCGGCTGGCCAGAGAGATACCCACACGGTGCAGCAGACCTCTCCTGTCTCGCCCGCTGCTCCCCGCAGTGTCTTGGGTCTGTCTGCCTGTCCTGCTCCCCACTGTCTCTGGTGAGTCCTCTCACCCTCCCTTGCCTGCGGCCTGTATCCCAGTTCTTGTATAAATAAATACAATCTTAAAAAAAAAAAAAAGGGCTTCACTGGTGGCCAAGGTGTTAAAAAGCAACCTGTGAAGCTATCAGCAAGAGTTTGATCCCCAACAGGGGAGATACCCACATGGCTTGGCAGACCTCTCCTGTCTCGCCCGCTGCTCCCCTCAGCAGTGCATTTCAGTAGATTCAGTAGATTCAGCTCCCCACTCTCTCTCTGGTGAATCCTCTCACCCTCCCGCATCTCTGGCCTGTACCCCGGTCATTGTATAAATAATAAAATCTTAAAAACCCCCCAAAAACCCCTGCCACATTTTTTCCACGTGAGGGGCACGATCGTTTCATGTTAAACCAATACGGTGCAGAGAACACAGGTCTGTGACCGTCACACACATGACCCGTGTGGCTCGGAGACTGAGGCCGGCCGCACCCGCTCGCCCCGGGGCTGCCGGTGCCACCTCGCGGGGGGCAGGGCCGGCGTGGAGGACGCTCGGCCACCGCCACTTTCACCGACTCCGCCTTCTGGCCCCAAGAGGAGGCGCGGCCCGCACCCGCCCCGCAGCCGCGGACACCCAGAGTGGGGTGTGGAAGGGGCGCCCCGCGGGGGGCGAGTGGGGGGTGACGGGGGGTGATGGGGCGGGGGGCGCCGCGCGCCGCAGCCGGGGAGGCCCCGCCACCCGGTCCTGCTCCCTCGCCTCACCTGCATGTTGGGGACGAAGCCCTTCTTGATTCTCCAGCAGTTTTTATTGATCTTTTCCAAGAACTGCAGCTCGTCATTGTAGTTGCGACTCATGGCTGCGCCCACCGTGAGAAAAACCCTAGGCCAGGCTTCGCCGACCGGCCGCCACGCACGCCCGCGGCTCCCACCGGCGCCTTCCGGGGTCAGCGCGCAGGCGCAGCGGCGCCACGGCCGGGCGCGACGGCAAGCGCCGAGGCTCAAACTCAGCCCAGGAAGCGCGTTTCTCTCGCTGAGGTAGACTGCCCTCTAGTGTGCGCCTTTTCGGAATTCGCAGGTCGTTCTCGTCCAGGCTACAGGGACGTTACACCTGGTCATTTTCAGTCAAAACCCACGGAAACCGGGTCAACTTCGAATGCTCTAATAAATATAAATGCTCAGAGATCACATCCACAGTGGGAAGGGGAAGAGGAAACGATGAAATTAATACAACTGAAAATTTGTAATGGTTGAGAAAGAATTCTTGGATACACATCAAAGAACTTTTCTGTCAGAGAAGAGCAGTCCCAAGAATGAAACATAACGGTTTATCATTTATTTCAACAAACACTTTTGGGAGCACTGACTATGGCCAGTGTTCTGATGAGGAGGAAATCTCAGTCCCTGTGGGTAGCCAGGACTACTCTGGGATCGTGCATTTATATGTGGTGTCTCTTGTTCATAATAAGTGAGATTTAAGTGATTCTACCTTCTAATCCTGCTTTATGCAAATAATAGTGGCTTTGGAATCACAAAGTCTAGGATTCAGTGTCTATCTTTCTGTCTACCAGTGTTGTGAGATTCATCTCTCTAAACCTTTGTCTCCTCCTCTGTAAAATGGGATCATAAATCTTTCCAGAGTGGCTGTGAGGATTAAGTGAAATGACACTTGAGAAGTAAACAGTCCAGTGCTTGCAGCATGGTAATCACTCCACTAAATGGCTGTCTTCCCTTCTCCACTAAATTGTGAGTGCCACAAAAGCAAAATTTATGGTTTCTATACATTTCTTAATTCTCCATATCAGCTTCCTATTCCTCCTCTTGTACCCCAATTTCACCCCATTAATTGTTCTAAAAACATTAATCATCATCATCAGCTATGACTTATCTAGGGTTAGCGTTCTGCCACTTCAGTTCATCTGGGAGAGAAAACATCCTAAGACTTAAAGAAGGGACACAACTTGCAGAGTTTCCTGCCATCAGTGTTATTCACAGTTAACATCTAAGAGGCAAGATTGTCCCTTTTAAAGTCAAACCTTGAAATCTCAATTTTAATCAACATTAAACACACTAAATTCTCTTCTTCCTTGTCATTCATATATATTCAAGGACAGGACATTTTGGAAATAAAAAGACAAGGTTCACATTGATAGAAAACAATTTAATTAAATACAGGGGATAGTTACAGTGAATATAAAATAAAATCTAAAATGCAGGGACAGGGAAAATTTACAGACCTGAGAGTGCTGAATGGATCACAGAAAACAATTGGTACAAATCTGTACTTAAAGAATTTCTCATGCTTCTTGTTGGAAATATATGTCTAGCTCTTGGCCCCAGAATCTTATAAACATCAGAACATGTATCACGCGTTCAAATATGAATACACATTCAACACCCCCCCCCACACACACACACCATGGAGAGACACCCACACATATACCCCCGTTTAGCTCTTTAACCCAGCTTGCCTCTTTCTACATCCTAGGTAGAGCTACAATATAGAAAGAAAGAAAACTTTCTTTCAATAAGAAAGAAAACTTTCAGCAGACACACAATTCACCCTGACGTTAAAATTCTAGTGTGTGTTGTCTTCCCTCTCTGTGTTTACAGTAGCTGTGGGCTTAAGGCCCATTTACTTCCTGGAGTGAATTCCAAACAGGCAATCAAGGGGCTGGTTTCCCTCTCCATTGCCAGTTGCTCAGGTCCAGGCCTTCCCAACCATAGAAACCAGGCTGCTGCTTTGAGGACGTTCCAGACTGCAGGTCCGTGGAAATCAAAAGGAAACCCTGAAAAGGATACACGATAAAGATAATGTCAGCTGGGCTTGGGCAGCCACAGGGAGCCTGGGTTTGCCTGAGGGGCAAGGGAGATGTAGTTTCTTGACCAAATGCTATGGTGTCACGCACCTGCCTGCCCTGCATCCCCTCTGTGAGTCTCTGAGTCACAGGAACAGCCATTTTGGATGACTGTCTATTGCTGCCGAGGGGAGGCTGGCAGGGGAGACCCAGTACAGGGTGGAGAATTCAGTTAGTCTTCTTACCGGCTCCCCGAAGGAGCCTCCCAAAGGAAGAAAAGAGGTGTTCAGAAGTTTGTTGATAAGGATTAACCAGGAAGCAGCTTGCAACAGAGCCCAGAACCCAGAAGAGGGGTTTGGGTTCCGGCAGAAGTTTGTAAATGACTTTCATGCCGGAAGAAGCCCTGCGGATTGCCAGCCATTAAAACTGTGTCTACAGCACAGAGTAGAAGTTAGCCACGGGATATGATTGAATTCAGTCTTTCAACAGGTATGAAAAATGTTACCTGTTGACTGACTGAGAGTCAGAAGCACCAGTGCAGGCACAGCCATGCCCTTTTCCAGCCACAGAAGACACTGCCCCTACCCCAGTCTTACTTTCCTCTGGTATAACATGGGGCTAATATTCCCAGCCTCACAGGGGATCTTGTAGAATAAATAAAATAGAACATGATACATGCATCTTCTTTTCCTGTTGTGTGAATACCCTTGACTGCAAAGGGAAATCAGACTTGAACTGATTTTGAAACTCACATTTACACGCTTTTCATGGTTAATTGAAAACTTTTAAGTGCTAAATATTTTGTTTATGAAATTCCTTTGAGTGGGAAAAAACACAGCAGAGCAAAGTTTTAAAACATGAGCAGAATAGGAAGAGGCCTATCCTATAATGAAAAGAAATGGGTCAGTTGAGAGGTGATTTGCATTCTTACCTGAAAAATTTCAATATCTGAATTGACCAATGAGAGATTGTATGGGTTGGGCAGAGGAAATCCTTGCTGCAATTTTGCTAAAATATAAAACAAGATGTAAAATAATTAGACACAGGCCCGCGCATTTTGGCAAACTTTTTAGTTAGAGACTAACAAGCAGCTTTTTAATAATTTAGCTTTTCATTCCCTCAGCTTCTGTGTTTACATTCTCTCTGATTATGCCACTGGCATATTTCTGGAAAAGGTGTTACTGAATCTGTGCTTTGTGAAAATGCACCTGCACTCTTTGGATGGCAGGAAAATGCTGGCAATTTTTCTGATTTCTATTTTGCAAATATCTTATTTAGTGGGTCCTGAGAACATTTTGGTCTCTAAAATACAAAGTATTTTAACCAAGCCAAATTCAAGATGCTGTAGTTTGTAAACAACTGCTGTGCAGGAAGAAACCTGCAGATCGTCATTCATTAAAACTATGCCTATATCAGCAACAGAAGTTAGCCACAGGATAAAATTCAGTTCAGAGTTGCTCAACAGCTATAAAAAATGTTACCTGTCGACTCTATTCTATGTGGACTCCCAATGTGGGTGGCAGTAACCTCACATCAGTTCCTTCATAAAGCATCGATTTTAGATGAATTAACTCTAAGGATTTTTTGTTTGCTTTTCATTTTATTCAGCTCAGACCTTACTCTATTGGGCAAACAGGATTACTTTTAAGAAAGTGGTCACTGAGTATATTTATTTATGGTAGCTATCTTATTTCATTCAAAGACATGTAATGTCCTAGAAGCAGTAGGTGACTCAGGTTAAGCAGCCTGTCTAATGCAGTCAAGAAAAATGACTGATTCTGCTATTATAAATAATTCCTCAGATTTCTAAGGAGCTTTATGACTTGTAAGGTGCATTTTGTTACCACCTCTCCAGCAGGTGCATTGTATTGCATTTTGTATTATCAAAACTATTTACATAAGGCACACTTTTTTTTTTTTAAAGATTTATTTATTTATTTATACAAGCACTGGGTACAGTCAGAAGCATGGGAGGGTGAGAGAATTCACCAGAGCCAGAGCAGGGAGCAGAGCAGGCAGAAGGACTGAAGTACACTGCTGAGGGGAGCAGCGGGCGGCAGGAGAGGTCTGCGCGCCATGTGGGACCCTCCTCTGGTGGCCGGGGAGCAGCCGGGAATTGAACCAGTGCTGCAGAGGCTGCGGGCAGTTTCGCAACCCAGCGCTAAGAGCTGCGCCACCGGGAGGCCCATAAGGCACAATTTTAAGCCTTATCCAACTCAACAAAAAATAAAATCCAATGGTAATTTGATGGGGGAGAGGAAGGAATCCTTTTACAATTATCCATATGGCAAATAATTACATTTTACACATTAATTATCTTGCAGTTTTATTCACCGGATATGCCTCATTGAAGCTAGAAAAAATAAATTTAAAAAATCCAGACACAAGAAGTTGATAACTTTTGAAATTCAAATACTGTCAACTCATATTTTCACCCTCTACCCCTATCTCATTCACCTTCTTATTCCTTCTACAAAACGCTTTACCTCTCTGGCCTGGTGACTTTTGTTCTTACAAACACAGAGACAGGTGCCTCAGAACTTCAGTTTTCACAGTGGCTTTATCCCTGCATCTAACAGTAGGTTTTGATTTCTTCTACTTTGTGTTATTTAATTGGACCTTTTGTTGGACATTTAATTGGACCTTTTTCTTAAAAAAAAAAAACAGTAATTTCACATTTTCCTTTCACATGGTTTGCACTGTCTCCCAGGCTCTCATGTGATATGTTGTGGACTCTCAAAAAACAACCATCAAAATTGTATCTATCCAGATGCTGGAACTTGCCTAAGGACCACAGATAACTCCTCAGGAAAATCATCTCATTTCCAGCTGACCTGAGAAAATGCTTTACTGCCAGCAGAAAGGGGTTTCCATCTCTTTAACTCAACGGGAGTCTGCAAGTAGAGTCATTAACGTGGCTTTGACCCAGAATAACTCATTTCTCAACCCCATCATTGATGGTACCTATTATTGACGTAAATTCCGGTGCTAATAACAGTCTGGACTCATAATAATGGTCCAGAAGTACGAGCCTCTGGGTGGAGAATCCCGAACAATCCCCAACATTTAGACAATATCAGAGTCACATAGTTTTCCGAGAGTCTCTTACCGTTGGCCAGGGGAAGGACACCAAAGTGGAGAATGGAGGACAGAATATTCTCAAACCTCAAGACCTAAAGTGAAAAGAGAAACTAAGTCACTTGCCAAGACAGGGCATTTTGAAAGGACACTGGCCGGCTGGACATGCCCTTTCCCAGACCTAATCAGGACAGGGGACGATAACTGGAATCTCCCCACAGAGCTATTGTAACTATCCAGCTATTTCGTGGGAAACCATATGATGGCACTTCTCAATCTTTTGTTCTCCTTAAGGAGAGACATTTCTGCTCCTCTCAACTCCAGACCATGGTGACAACAAATGTGAGGGATGCCATGGTGGCAGCAACATGGTAGTTTAGAGATTTACCAAGTAAGATGAGGTGGAACAGTGAATGGATTTCAAACTTATAGTCTTCTCTTACTTCACTGGGAACCCCAGTCACAGGAGTTCCTTGCATTATACCATTGTTCTGTAGTTAAGACCATCACCAGAGCATATGACTTATCTTTAACAAATGATGGTGGTTTTATAATCTCTAAGAGTGTTGGTTTTGGGGAAGATGCAGGTATTAAGAATGAATGGCGTAGAGGAACCATCAAGGAGTCTTTGACTCACCATCAAATGACTCACTCAATGAGTCTCTTTTGAGCATTCTGTATGCTTAGCAATGATAAGAACCTCTTTGCAGCTTAACCTTGATCTAATTTTAGGAGATGAGTAGAAGGCCTTGGAAGAACAAACACAGTCATGGGCTAATCACTTATATCTAGCCTCTTCCTTTGGGAGCCATGATCTTAAATTTAACTCTATAGCACTATCTTATCCAAAAATGAGATCTCTCTGAAAATTCCAGGCTTTCCCATTTACAGCCTTTGGAATTCTTTTAAAAGGCTTTTTGCATAAATGAAGGTGAATTGGAAAGGCCCTCTCATCTAATAGCTCATGGACTTGGTGGATGAGTAGCTACACATAGAATTTAAAGTTAAAACCTACACTCCCAGGGAAACTAAGTGCTCAGAGACAGAGCAAACAATCACCCAGCTGCTATGTGGCAGAATCCTTACTCTGCCCTGGACAGGAGACTCCGCTAGCTGTTTCCTACCTCAACATTACTGTGATTGGACTCTGGCAAGGACAGGCGGAACCTGAAACAAACAAACAACAAAAACAAATTTTTTGTCAGTACAAATACACACAAAAAAAAAGGGAGGGTTTTTTTTTTTTTTTTTAGTTCAGTAAATCACTCTTAAAAACACACACTCGTAAGGATATAATGTACTATGGAATCTTTACCCTTATGTTTGCTGCTTAAGGAGCAAAGCAGGAATAACAGAAGGCTGGGATTTGTAACCAGAAAGGGCTCCCTAAGTGTATTTACTGCATGGGACTATAGTTGACAACTTGGAATGCAGAATAATGTTAAAAAAGTTTCCTGTCGGGCCTCCCGGGTGGCGCAGTGGTTAAGCACTGGGTTGTGAAGCTGCCTGCAGCCTCTGCAGCGCAGGTTCAATCCCTGGCTGTGGGCGAGGGTCCCACATGGCTCACAGACCTCTCCTGCTACCCGCTGCTCCCCTCAGCAGTGTACTTTACCACTCTGCCTGTTCTGCTCCCACTCTGGCTCTAGTGAATTCTCTCACGCTCCCGCACTTCTGACTGTACCCAGTGCTTGTATAAATAAATAAATAAATATTTAAAAAAAAAAAAGAAAGAAAGTTTCATGTCTTCTTGCTCTGACCTTAACCTTAGAGCTTCTGTGTGCCATGCTGCTCCCTTATTAATAAGTATGACTATGATGCTGATGATGGTGATGGTGACGGTGATGACACTGCGGGACATGCATGGTTCTAGGAGCTTTATAAACATTTTACAATTTAATCTCCCCATTGATGCTGTGATAGATGCTATTATTATTACCTCTTTTGCAGATGAGGAACTGATGATCAGAAAGCGCAAGTGAATTACTCAAGTCAGAGTCAGCAACTGAGAGACATAGGTAACACGTCTCACTCTGCTTGATTTTAAAGTCTATGCTCACGCAGGCCACTGAAAGGTAGATGCAGGGGCCAGGAATAAGGAAGCCCACATGGAAAAAACAAGATGGCCCTGACACCAGGACCACTGATACCATCAAACCGAAACTGCAGCCACAAACAGGAGAAAAACAACTCGGCTCCATGTAAAACAACTTTGTTCCATCTAAACCTGTTTCTCCCCTTGCCAACCCAGTTTTCCTGCCTAACCTCTCCTCACCCTATAAAAGGGCATCTCCTCCCACAATGGGTGTGACTTCACAGACCCCCACCTTGGGTCTGTGAATTTTGCCTGGGGGTGCAATAAATCCCCCCCCCTCTTTGAGAAATTTCGCCTGGCTCTCCTTTTCTTTACTGTGCCAAACATTTCAGCCACACTTCTTGGCGGCTGTACTGTACAGATTATTGGTTTAAGCTGCTGAAGCCTAACACATAAGGGTATGTTGGCTCTGACAACCATCTGACATGGAAGGCAGTTTAATTGTGAAAGAGAAGGGACTCAGCAGAGTGCCTGAGTTTGAATCTCATTTCTGCCTCTTGCTAACCATGTAGACTTATTTAATCTCTCTGGATCTCAGTTTTCTCATCTTTAAAATATAAAAATATGGATGTCATGAAACCCAGGCTAAATGGCTAAATTGGTCTTAGAATCTAGGATCATAAAGGAGAGAGGAAAAAAAAAACTTATCTAGCTCTCTGTTTGAGGCTTGTATTTAAGATGCAGTCTACCTGAAGCAGCCGGAGCAAGCAGAAGCAAAGAACTTGAGCTGAGCTCCAGGGCTGGCTGGAGACTGAGAGCTCAGAGCTGGAGAGTGCTCCCCAGAGAGAGAGCACACTAACAGAATTTCAAAACTCCAGTTATCTGAAGAAAAGCCTCTTCATACTTTGTCATGTATGAACTGCCTGGGGACTAGACAATGAACTTCAGTCAAGTCCACTTTTCTTTACCCCTTACCTGCTTTCAGCCTATACCAGTTGGTGCCTTTGTTCTCAAGTCTGGTCCCCCAAACCTATATAAGCTCATTTCCTTTCTTATTTGAGTCATCTCCTATCTTCTTGCCAATCAATTAAAGAATTTTTTTTAAAGATGTATTTATTTATTTATACAAGCACTAGGTACAGTCAGGAGCACGGGAGGGTGAAAGAATTCACAAGAGCCAGAGCGGGGAGCAGAACAGACAGACTGACTAAGTACACTGCTGAGGGGAGCAGCGCGCAGCAGGAGAGGTCTGCGAGCCATGTGGGACCCTCGCCGGCGGTCGGGGATTGAACCGGTGCTGCAGAGGCTGCGTGTAGCTTTGCAGCCCAGTGCTCAACCATTGCACCACCAGGGGAGGCCCCAATGAAAGAATTATTTAAAAATAAATTGATTTGTCTTATCAAATATCTGATAATACCTGATCCATGCATGTCAGGTAGAGACCCCACCCGTCATTTAACACCATGAACAAAGTCCACCTTTCCTCCTAAGGCCATCTTAATTCTGTCCCTTCCCTAGTTCTCTGGCCTTATTTACCAGGATCATTTACTCAAAGACACGACTCATTAACTGCAGAGAAACGGGTAGAGCAAAGAGCAAACTCCCAGCCTTGGTTCTGAAAAACACGCAAGCTTAACTTGGACACTAGATGGCGATCGAGTTCAGTCCTTTCACTTTATCCTCTTACAGCCTCTTTTACCTGTTGTTTAAAGAGCCCCCAACCCCACTTGGAACTAATTTTTATTAGAGGGCCACAGAATGGTTGGGGAGAAAAGCAGCTCAAATAGCAGCCCACCGGCCTTTTGTCTGCACTGGCTTCAGGAGCAGCTGAGAAGTGGGTGGAGCTGGAGGTCAGCCAAGCCTTCTCTCTGCTGACCTGCTGAAAGCACCAGCACTGTTCCAACAGAAACCAAATCCCTTCTTCCCAGACCTGTTTTCCTTTCTGGGGTTCTCTCCAGGAAGCTCATGTTGGGAAATGTTTATCTGTCCAGGCTGTGAGGAGTGGAGCGAGGAGGTGATTCTATCTCCTTGTCGTGAGCTATGATAGCATTCTTTGACAGTATGGCGTGGGAGGGGTTGTAGGGTGTGTGTGTGTTAATGGGGGTGGGGTGGGGTGCAGTTTGGGAGTGTCTAGACCCTTAATCATGGCAATTTGCAAAAAAAAAAGTTCCAGAGTTCTAAATGGTTCAACACGAATGTACCTTTGATTGCCTTGAGCTTTGCAAGTGATTAAAGGCTCCATTAAGTTGCTTGGATCAACACCAAGACAGGGAAAGTGTCTTGTAACCTGGTCTCTGAATTAGCCTACAGAATATTTACAATGTGGTCCAATCTGTACTGGGGTCACCTCAAATTGAACTATGTTTGGAACAAAAGCCTCAACTGACACAGAGAGGTAGGAATCTGGTGTATGACTTTGAGGGCAACACCACAGCTTTCAGGACCATCCTGACTTGTCATGTCTCCTGAGACCAACTGCTCCCCACTTCCTTGGGCAAACTTTGATCCTAGAATGGGGAAAGAGGAGGAAATACTTCTTGGTTGGAACAAGTATCTCTTGAGCCAATTGTGCGGGCAGCGTGCCTTCATACATCATCTCATCTGCCAGGACAGTGGCTCCACGGAGAGGCGCCTGTGTTACTGATAAGGAAATTGATTTGTAGGAGAGTTAATCCCCTTGTTCAAGGTGCCACAGCTAGCAAACCACAGGGAAGGATTCAGATCCAGAGGTGCCTGACTTCAGAGCCTGATCTCCCAAGCAGACATACCCAAAGAGGTCAAGTTTATTACTCATGCACCCAGGTTTTGCTCTTTATCCTTTCCTCCACTCGGATCCTTAGGCTGAGTGCTTTTCCGCTTTAGGCCATGATGCCTGTGTCTCCTCTTCTATCAATGCTTAACACTGAGAGGGGACCTGCTGCTGTTTCAATGTAGTGTGACTCATGCTCAGGGGGTTCCTCTTCCAGGCCAGGATATCACTTTTCTGTCTTAGGTCTATGTCTTGTTTTCTAAGCCTTTATCCATCCACCACATCAAAGGCAGTATCATGCAGTAAGTAAACAGCCTCACCCTGGTTCAAGTCTGGCTCTGCCATTCAGTAGCTTCATGACTCGACTAAGTTATTTGACCTCAATGAACCACAAAATGAGGGTAGTAATACCTACCTCCAGGATTATTCATTTAACCTACAGATATTTAATCTACACCATGCCTGATCCTGAAGTTAAAGAGTTGGAAGGTCTAAATGAAATAATACACAGGGAGTGGCTAGCACAGGACCAGGAGACAGTAAAGGCTCAATAATGAAGAATAGGTGTAAATGGTAGCCCCAAAAATCTACAGCCATCCCTGGGCAGGGGGCAAGGGAAGGAGATGTTTCCTGAACAGGGGACCCCTGAAGTGATCTTGCATGATCAGGTGCCTTTTTCCCCTGGCTGAGGTCAGCCCTTGGTTTTAATAATAACCATTGCCAGCATTTCCTGAACATTTAACATGTAATTTATGTGTATGAACTCATGTATTTCTTATGCCCCCCCCCAGCAGATTTTACTATATCCTTCATTTATAGAGGAGGAAATGGAGGTCTAGCCAATGAATGACAGGGCTGGAAATGGCACCAGCTAGTCTGATTCCAAAATCATGACCTCACGCCTCTTCTAAATGCACCACACTGGACAGCCTCTCATTTCTGCATCTCAGGTTGGTGTAACCAGGCCCGAGCAGCTCCACAAAGAGCCACATTCAGGCAAAGGATGGTTAGAAAGTCTGTGCCATCCTGGGAGCCGGATTTGGGGACCATGTGCTCCCCTGTTCTTCTCAGGGGTGCTTCTCTGATCCCCACCCACTCTATACCTTTTCCAGCTATGTTCGAACCAGCTCATCCTGAAAAGCAGCCCTTGGGGAAGCCAGAAGCAGAGGAGTTGGCTGGGGCAGCCTGTGTGGGAGGCAGGGCTCCAGCTCTTGCTGCAAAGCTGAGGCCCTCTTTTGGGATAGCCTCAGCTCCCGGGAGGCTACCGTAGGCCTCAGTGATGCCAGGCCCTCCTGCCTCACCCCCAATCTGCTTAGCACCTGAGGTCTGCTCTAGCCCTACTGTAGGAGCTGCCCTCAGTCCAGTGCTGTGGTTGGGACAGGGCCGTGTGCTCAGAATGGCTGCAGTTTGCTTTAATGCTCTGCTGCTCCATCTCGAAAGTCTTTATCATTTTTGAACAAGGGGCCCCTTCTATGTCTGGAGGGAAGCTATTTTATATGGCTGACAGTTGGGTTTCTGCAGTTCTGCTTGCTCATTTAGTACTATCTTATGGACAGCATCTTCCATGGTTCTGTGAGTCTTCTAAACCATTGTGTGGATTTGGGGTGACTGACTGATCAGTCCTTCATTGGTTCCCTATTCCTTCCTGACTCTCCATTGTCTGTTGTTGCTTCCTCTTTTCCTTTGAGGGTTTCGTCTGGGCTCTGTGATCATTCTGGATGTCCTCCAGCCACGGCTCCACATACTGAGGAGCATGGGCTGTGCAGGCGGTTCTTTCAAATGGCAACCAGTGGCAATGATCCATGTCAATGACCTGCTTGAGCCTTTGCACACCATGTGGCTTGCATTTGAGAGCTAACAAGGCCCCAGGACACAGTTTTGTTAAATCTATGCTCTATAATAAAGTCACAGCATCAGAGCCTGAAGGCGTCTCAGAGGTGATTCAGTCCAATTTCATTATTTTCACAAAATGGCGGATAGACTTCATCATGGTAAGAGAACCAGTTAGCAGGGATCTGAAACTCCATTCTTTGGCCTCAAAGTCCATTCTCTTTCCTAATACATGGATTTCTGAATTTGTTGGAGAACTTTAGTTACTGCTGAATTATACTGCTGTACCCTTAGAATGTGCATTTATAGTTTGGTCATTTATAATTATTTTGTTGCCCATTTTCTCTTATTCTTATATGATGGGGAAAAAAAGAAGAAAAACTTCCCAACACATTTTAAGCTAAGTCCATATGTTGAAATTGTGGGTTGAATACAGGAGAGGTACTTAAGTGATTCATTTTCTATTCAGTGGTAACTTCGCCTGTTCTGTTCATGTTCATTTTGTCTGGTCTGTTGACCTACTTAATACTAAAAATTTCCAACAGTCAGATCAATTGATCTTACCTGTTCAGAGACAAGGAGCAGATCAGTCTTTGTCCCAAAATAGCCAGGCCAACGCTGGTGCTGGCGACCTGCAGACAAGACAAGTGTTCATTACTGAGTGGCTCTGTCCATTCGGACCACACATCATGTCCTGGAGTGGAAACATCACAAGCTCCACTTTCCCTTTTAGTCCGAGAGACTCTAGAAAGAAAGAGCTCTGAAAATACTGTTTTTCAGGTAGGGGAAGTCACTATAGAGACTTTTTTGTTTGAGGATCTCCTTTAAATCATTTAAAAAATTTCTTCTACTCTCTTCTCCATGTATATTCTCTCTCTCTCTCTCTCTCTCTCTCTCTCTCTCTCTCTCGCTCTCTCTCCCGCTTGCTCTTTCTTTTTCTCTCTCTCTCTGACAACTTGCTTAGGTTTGTGAACCTTTTCTTGGACTGATTTGGTCTTCACCTGCTCAAGTAAACTGGAATTTTATCTTGACTTATTTCAAGGAAAAAAAGGAACTCAGCTATCAACTGAAGCAGCAGAAAGGACACACAGGAAGTGGGGAAGGGGGGAGAGCTATTTTCCAAGGAGCACTGGCCTCCCATAGCCCCCGCAGCCCAGCCTCACTCCTAATTGATGCATCACCTCCCAACACTTATGGTCAACTGCAGGAGCTGAAGTGCTATCCACAGTCTGCCCCCTGTTCCTGAAGACTTACAAAATCCATGGAAACGATGGTTTCTGCTGTGGAGTTCTCAAACTTGGCGAGTAACATGATGGAGGCAGGGATGTCCAGGGTGAAGTTCCCCGGCAGTAGGTTGATAACAGGGGGTTCGGTTGCCATGATCCGTACCATGAAGGGCTGGGACAGGATGTAGATCTCTGCAATCTGCCACATTTGGGGGAAGAAACAGAAACAGAGTCATGAATTGGTGAGGCAGTCACAAACTTGGTGTGGCTTGTGGTGATGGAATTTTATTTTATTTTATTTTTTAAAAAGATTTATTTATTTATTTATTTATTTATTTATTTATTTATTTATTTATTTATTTATTTATTTATTTATTTATTTATTTATGTATACAAGCACTGGGTACAGTCAGAAGCATGGGAGGGTGAGAGGATTCACCAGAGCCAGAGCGGGGAGCAGAGCAGGCAGAAGGACCGAAGTACACTGCTGAGGGGAGCAGCGGGTGGCAGGAGAGGTCTGCGCACCATGTGGGACCCTCCTCTGGTGGCCGGGGAGCAGCCGGGGATTGAACCTGTGCTGCAGAGGCTGCGGGCAGCTATGCAACCCAGCGCTCAACCGCTGCGCCACCGGGGAGGCCCGGTGATGGAATTTTAAATCATGCATTTTGAATAGAAAAAAATCTTTTAACAATAATAATGACAACACTTGGAGAACATCATAATCACAGCTGACGTTTTTTGAATATGTACAATGTGCCAGGTACACTGCCAGGGCTTTCTGTAGGGTCTCATTTAATCTTTTTCAAGATTCTGTTTCACAACTGAAGAAAGAGAGTCTTAGCAAGCTTAAGTGATTTTCTCCAGGTTCCAGGTAGAACTGGGATTCAGACCTGACTCAAGCTCTTTGCTCTAGAACCAGGATGCAGGTTGAGGATCTCTCTGCCTCAAGGCTAAGTCTGAGCCAGCAAAGGCACAACATTCACTGCTGCTCTCCTGTATCACAAATGTGGGCATGTTCCTTCAGTTCCCACCTAAGCTGATTATCTCAAGGATGATGGAAACTTAAGGAAGGAATCAAGGACTCATCTTTTGAGCATACACTGCCTTCATAACTTGTTCAGTATATGCTTGCAGATATTTTATTATTATTATTCTTTTTAAAGATTAATTTTATTTATTTATGCATATAAGAGCTAGGGTGCAGACCACAGGTGGAGGGAGGGTGAGAGGATTCACCAGAGACAAAGTGGGGAGCAGAACAGGTGGATTTACTGAAATATACTGCTGAGGGGAGCAGTGTGTGAGACAGGAGAGGTGTGTGAAACATGAGAGGTCTGCTGTGCCATGGGGGTTAGCTCCCTGGCTGGGGATTGAACTCAAGCTGCAGTGGCTGCCAATAGCTCAATAGTACTGAGACTTGGGCCTCCCCGGTGGCGCAGCGGTTGAGCGCTGGGTTGTGAAGCTGCCCGCAGTCTCTGCAGCACCAGTTCGATCCCCGGCTGCTCCCCGGCCACCGGAGGAGGGTCCCACATGGCGCGCAGACCTCTCCTGCCGCCCGCTGCTCCCCTCAGCAGTGTACTTCGGTCCTTCTGCCTGCTCTGCCCCCCGCTCTGGCTCTGGTGAATTCTCTCACCCCACCCCCGCGCTTCTGACTGTACCCAGTGCTTGTATAAATAAATAAATAAATAAATAAATAAATAAATAAATAAATAAATAAAAATAGTACTGAGACTTAACTCCTTGTACTACCAGGGAGGCCCACTGTGGATATTTTATTAAACTATTTTGAGAATAGGAAGTTGGACTCAGATCTGGACTGAAAAGGAACAAAAGAACACATGAGTCTCCCAGAAATAATTGCACTGAAACCAAACTCAAAGGAATCAAAGCCCAAATACTCACCCTGGAGAGAAGGTTGCCAACACCTTGAGAATTCTGAACCAAATGCTTAGAAATCTGGAAAATCAAGGTCTTCATGTTACTGTCGAGTTTTCACCTGGGTTGTCTTTTCAGGGAAAATCTCTCATTCATTATAATTTTTATGAATCATCTTGCACCAAAAAAATGGCATAGTGTTAGAAACAAACTATTATTTTTATAATTCAACCACAGGAAATCTGAGGCCCAGAGAAGTAAAGTGACTGGCCCAAGGTCACACAGGAACGTGAGCGACCTTTTGATCTTGGGAACGCTGTGTGTATCATCTGCATACGATCCTTGTGTAAACATTCTACAGTCATTGCCAATGAATCTTGTGCTACTGCCTCATTTTCAGAGATTACTGAGACATAAGAGAAATTAAGTACTTTCTCTTCACAGATGAATGGTTTTCAAGTCAGAAGCTAGATATATCTGGTTCTTAGCACTACATGGCACCTGGTGAGGTCACACTTAACATTTTGAACATTTTTGATTCATAACTACTTGTATAATTAAGGCCTAGATGAAAAGATTCATATGGGATGTGTAATAAAAGTTGCTGGTTGACTGGCTGGAGAGTGTTCTCATTATAAGAGGGAGGGGCATGGCAAAGGAATCAATGAGTATCTGTACTATTAGTGGTCACTGAAGAGAAGTCAGTTGCAAACACCAACAGGAGAAATCTATGTTGGCATAATACAAAGAATAATAACAGTGATGATTAATAGGCAACACTTACAGAGACTTACTATGCTGTGCCAAGCATTGGTCTGAATGCTATACATGTATTTAAACCTCATTAGTACCCATATCAACCCTATGAATATGGAACTATTACTTTTCTCCCCATTTTCCAAATGAGGGAAGTCTGGCCCAGGGAAGTTAAACAAATTGCAGATTCCCAAGGTCAGAGGTAATTGGTGGTGGAAGGGGATCTGGCATGATCTAAGATCAGTCGAGAGCTGTGGCTGAATTTTAGGGAAGAGAAATGAGCAGAACTGGAAATGCAGCTCCCCAACATTCGTACAGGGCTCCCTCATTCACTGTCCTGCTAGGGGTGTAATCTAAAAGGCACGGGAGTAGAAACATGACATAGAACCCCCATAGTGAGACTCTCATAAAGCAATGAAATGTGGGTATCACCAACCCTGAGCTCTGCTCACCTCCTCGGTGGACAGAGTAACATTGAAAGCCCCAGCGGCAAAATGAGCGAAGGAGGCAGATTTCAGGAAATACTCGGAGATTCCAAAGTAGAGCATGGAGTCACTGCGATTGGGGAGCTCGAAGGGAGCTGGTGAGAAGGGGGGGTCTGCGAGGTTCTCCAGTGGGTAGAAAACGCCCTGTGGGGAAACAGAGAAAGACCGATGTCTCAGCGGAGACTCAAATGTGCAGAACCAAGGGCGGTGGGCCTGCTCTAGTCAGAATAAGAAAAATTCTAGAAACTCAGTAGGGATTTAAAAATGAGGCTCTCTCACTCCTTGACTAGTGAACATATTTCAAAGTTGTGCTGACTCCTGAGCGTATCTGGTGGTATCTATATGGTGAGAAGTTCCTTGTCGGTCCTTTTCTCAGAGAAAGGAAGTCAGGTACATTTTACTGGAGGGGATGGTTCTGAACTGCTCCCAAGGTGACTTGCAGTGATGCCACACCCTTGACCTTTAAAATTGGGGAGTGTTGAGCATCTGGGGCCACAGAAAGATGCAGAGGGCCCAGGACTTTAAAGGGTTTACAGCAGTTATTGCGGTAGTCCTAATGCTATTCTCATTCTATAAGGTGTTATTATGAAATGGTGTCTTGTGTGACATTTAACTGATTTGAATGACTCTGAGTGATCAAAATATAAGCCAATATGCATTTTAAAAAATAATGTTTGCTCTGGGGCAAAATTAGACATCGTTGATTTTTCCAGATTTTGCAAATCCCATTTTCATGTGCTAATGACCCTGACAGAGGTCAGCAGCCTTCAGTTAATGGACTAACCTAAGAGTTAGGAATGGAAGTCTCAATAAGGGGAATCTACTGCTATCTCATGGTCTTAGCCTCAAACCTATGCCTAGAGACAGAGATCTCATGATATTTTAGCTGAAGAAGGCAGATGCATACTGTGCAGTCCAAATGATCATTTCCTAATCAAGAGGATATTCAATCCTTTGAAATAGCACACACGCGAGGTGATCGCTTGAAAGGAAATTAAATTATTGGAAGAGCATGTAGTTAAGATTTCCTCCTGCACATAATACTTGTTCCTGAATCCTGGCTACTGATAACCAGAGTGAAGACTCTGAACAGGATGAAGTTACCTTCAAATTCAGGTCAATGTGATTCTCAGTAATTTCTGGAGAACTGATTAGGGAATAATCCAGCACAGTATAGTCATCAATCTTGGTTAAAACTAAATCACAAAGAAAAGAAGAAAATTTATAATCACTAAAGGCTCAGTGTAACATGACCAATGTCCAAGAACAGTATACTTTTTACATCTCTCTTTTTTAAAATAACAATTACTCTATTTCTTAAGCAATACATGCTCACTTTTCAAAACCCAGGAAAAGTAAGTAAGTTAAAAGAAGTGAGCATGCTTCTTAATCACATCATGCTGGGAGAAATATTAAATTTTAAAATCAATTAAAATTTGGGTGTAGGGCCACCCTGGTGGCGCAGGTAGTTGAGCGCCGCACTTTGTGAGGCTGTCTGCAGCCTCTGCAGCGTGGGTTCGATCCTAGCCGGCCGGCAAGAATCCCACATGGCGCTGCAGACCTCTCCTCTCATGCCCGCTGCTCCCCTCAGCAGTGTACTTCGTCAGTCTTCCTGTTCTGCTCCCTGCTCTGTCTCTGGTGAATCCTCTCACCCTCCTGCACATCTGGCCTGTACCCCGGTTCTTGTACAAAAATAAATAAATCTTAAAAAAAATTGGGGTGTATATCCTTTGATACACTCATATCCAATGCATATATACTTCTTATTTTAAAAAGAAAGTTAGACAAACAAAAGCCACTTATGAATTTTAACACACATATGCCATGTTGATATAATGAGCGAAGACTTTCAAGTTTTACTCCCTCAAGTTTTATTGATTTGCCAATTGTTTGCATGGCTATGTAATACTGGGGCTCAACTTTACATCTCAACATGAGCACACGTCCTCACTCACCCCCACTAGTGCTCCAGGCCCACACACTATCACTCACCCTCCACCTCTCCCCTGTTGTGGCCACTCTATTTTTCATACTCTAAGGGTTATTTTTGTTGAGTTTTGCCAATTTCTTTTCTTGTTCCTCTGCAAATGAGGGGGAAATCACCCTGGAATTCCCATGGAGCTAGGACTTCACTTTTTACAAGGACTATGGATTCTGTTGCAACTAGAACTATTTTTTTAAAAGGAAATGTTGAGAGAATTCTCTAAATTGGAGAGGTCAAGGGAATGCTCAGGGACAGTGCTAACAGTTCAAGTCACTTTTTGTGTTATCACTTTCAGAACAAAGCAAGCCAGTGGACACGGGGAGCCAGGTGGGTTCTCAGGAAGCAGGGATTTCGGGTTGAGTCAAGCTGAATGTGCAGGGGCACAAGGTGAGGGGTGCTGAGTGCAGGGGTGCAGGGTGCTGACATCTGCACATACTACATTGTGATCCCCACCGGCCTAGTTTCCATCACCCCCACCACAGCCCCCTTTACTCACTTCGCCTGCCTCACACCACCCCCTTCCCTTCTGGTAACCAACATTCTGTTGTCAGAATCTACGAGTTGGCTTTTGCTTTCTTTTGTTGGTTCATCTGCTTTGCTTTTTTATGTTTAACGTAGGCGTGAATTCATATGGTATTTGTGCATTCCTGTCTAGTATGAACAGACAGAAGCCGGAGGCACCTGCTTAAAACATAAGTCAGAGCACGTGAACCTTGCCCAGCACTCTCTAAAGGTTTCCATCTCAGGCTAAGTACCTGCCTTCACAGTGACCTGCACACCCCGAGACCTAACCAGTGCCTTCCTCCCCTCTGACCTCATCTGCTACTCTCTCCCCCATTCCCTCTGCTCTCGGGGTGTGCCTTTCTCACAGTTCCCCCATCACACCATGCTCTTGCTCTGGGGCCTTGGAGCCTATGGTTTCCTTCACCTGGAATGCAGACCAAGGAGAGGCTCACTCCCCACAAACCCCTATTTCCTTAGGGTTCTTACTCTAAGGCCACTTAAGGTCACCTACTCAGGGGGTTTTAACTGGAAACTTCTCCCCAGCTCCTTCCCTGCTTTATTTTTCTTCTTGCCACTTATCACCAGGATGCCATAGATTTTACTTATTATCTTGCTTGCTGTCTGTCTCTTCCCACTAGTCTTACAAGGGCAGGGACTTCTGTCCCTTAGGCTTCCTGCTGCATCCCCAGCACTAAGAACAGTGCCCAACCTATTACAGGCACAAGTACACCATCAGTGAATGAATGGATGGGATGCAGAGAGATACATCCAAAAATATCATGTGAGCACAGAGGAAGCCAAACTTTGGGGTACAGGCTGTTGGGTAAGCTTTCTTGGGAGAGATTTACTTGAGCTGAGTCTTATAAGATAAAGAGAAGAGACCAGGAAAGGGGATGACCCGGGGGTAGGGAATGGAAGGGGCTGTATCTCTCAGGACCCTTAGCACACCGTTGGCAAAGAAATAGGTATGGAATAAATACTCACTAAATGGATGGATGGAAGATAAAGCTTCTGTGGGCAGAAAGGACAGCATGAGCAAAGGCCAGAGAAGTGGTTTGATTGGGGGAGCAAAGATGAAGCCGAGAGAGGTCAGTAGGAGCCAGAGCATGAAGGGCAGGATAATCCATTTGGACTTGAACCTGAAGACAGTGGAGGAGACACTGGTGAGAACCAGCGGGGAATAACCCAGATCAAGGTTGGCATTCATCATCCTGAAGAGGATGGATTCAGTGCCAGAGCTGGAATGAAAGTTCCAGAGAGATTAACTCTGGTTTGCATCTTGTTCCTGGAGTCACCCTCCTGCAGTGAGCAGTGGAGCAGCAGCAGAGATCTGCCCTGCACAGGCCCTGTCCTCCCACACACCTTCCTATGGTTCCTGCGTATGGAGCAAGATGCAGGTGGAGGAGCAGAGCTATAGCCTGCCTTGAAAAGCAACCTGGAGTGTGCCAGGGTTTGAAGGTGGGATGCCAACCATCCAGGAGAGATGGTGCCAGACTCACCTTCCAGCATGCTGAGATTGGTTTTCAGAGCTTCCACCTCATTTGTGATGATGGGACAGAGCTGGTCATAAAAAGGAATTAAGAAAAAAATGCAAGTCATCATATGATACTGGAAACATCCACTTGTGGGTGGAGACCCTGTCAACAAAGGCCTCTGGTTAGAAGCTGTTCTCCTTTTGGTCATCAAGACTGTCCCATCAATTGGTTGCTGCCCAAAGGCCCTGGGTTATGTCGAATGGGCAGCATGTCCCTGAGTGCTGCTAAATGCCAGAGCCACTGGGACGACACCCGGTTGGTGCCATAAAGAGTGAGCCCCTGGCTTTCCTCTCTGTGGCACGACAGGACAGGTGCCCCATCCGTGCGAGAGCTGTCACACCTGAGGAATCTGCTGAGCCTCCTGACTGCAGGGTGCTGCCGCCTCCTCCCTCTGCCAGCAGCAGTGCCAGCTGGGAGTGGTCACAGCTGGGCCCTCTCCTTTCCTGCTAGGCTGGTTTGAGAGCCCATTCCACGAGACATCAATGCAGCTCAGAAGCCCTTTTGGGGTTCAGTCTTGAATGATATTCAAGTGCATCTTCAGGGAGGGGAAGAGCTCCATCTGTGGGCCTGCTGTGTGCCCACCTGGGCTAAGTGCTCCACGGGTGGTTCCTAACAGAGGCTTGGGAGGCAGCCTGGGGCTGAATTCCTTGGCGAGTTACTTGTGTTCTCTGTCTTCCTTTGCAACATGGGGGTGCAAGATGCATCTACTCCTCAGATTGTGGTGAGAGGAAGGGTATTCCATGTAAAATCGCCCAGCTGGTTGTAAGCATTCAGTAAATACCAACTGCAGTTATTTTAACCCCATGCCATCCTCACTGCCCCCGAGGTAGGCACTCCTGTTTCCGGTTTACAAATGGGAAGACTGGGACTTAGCAAGGCGAGGCGAGTTGCCAGGAGCTACATTGCTAGGATTTGAAATCCGGTCTGACAGCTAGAAAGCTGTGAGGGTGAACATTCTCTTCTGTTTCCAGTGGCACTGAGGGGCTCATAGAGGCAAAAAAAAATTGGGACTCTGAGCCAGGAGTAAACTTCAGGCAGACTTAACCTTTGGTTTCTGGACAGAGGCCAAAATACCACATTTCATTTCAAGCAGAGAGATGAAGGTGTGTGGGGTGCCTGAAGGTGACTCCCTGCAGGGTTTCCCAGTCTCTCTTGAATATCCACACTCAGTTGTCTGGTCAGGTGGAGAAAGACTGTGAACTTTAGGGAACCCTGACCAGTGGGCTGATCTCGTTAGACAAGTTGCTTAGTGTTCTGAGCGCTAATTTCCCCACCGACGTTCCTCAGGTGGCTGCTGTCTGCCAGCACTGACTGGCAGGAGGGAGATGGAGAGCCAGACACTGCTCTTGCCCTACCTTCCAGAAAGGAAACTCCCTTCCTTCCAGTCCTCTTCACTCTTTCATTGTCTGCCCCAAAATATGGTCGCAGGGAAGGTGTGTCAGGATCGGAAAGAGCAATTCTGATCATTCTCCCTCCACAAACAGGGGTTTCTGGAATTGAAATACTTGGAGCTTTGCAAGTCCTCGCCATTGATACTGCCCCTACTAGTGGAAATATCCACTCTTCTCCCCCATTCCTTACCTGTCTAAGCCCTACTTATACTTTAAGGCCCAGTTCAAGTCCTGTATCCTCCAAAGAATATCTCCCAGGACACTTCCAGACTCCATTTACTGAATTTTTCTATTTCTCAGTTCAATCTAAGGATCATATAAGTACATATTAAAGTTAAGTCATATTTCACTGACCTAATAAAGCTTATATATTAATTCCTTTTACATATCCCAGCAAGCCCTAGCCTAGTGCTAATAAACAAACTCTAGTTGATTGTGGAGGCAAGCATGTGTGTGTGTGGGGGTGCTAGTTGGTCATCTCCAGCCCCATCACAGTATCTGATATACAGAAGGCACTTGAGAAAGTGTTACTAAGTTGCAAAGGATAATATGTGTGAAAATGCCTAGTATGGCACCAAGCACACAGTAGGTGCTCCATAAAGGTTTTTTGACTAAGAATTAATTACAGGACAGCAGAACTGATAAAAACGGATGGGTTTTTAGCACAGTTGTGTAACCTTTAAGACTTACCATTTCATTTAAATTCTTTAAAATGGGTTTTTCCATGGGATCAGCAAAGGAATTATACAGGATGCTTTGGGAAAAAGGAAAGATGAAGGGCTTAGTTGGGGACCATAATCTGCTGGTACAAACCTCCCCTAGAGACCACCTGGGGATCCAACCCCAGATGGGCCACTGCCCCCAGAGGACTCTCACTCACCTGAGCTCCCCAGAAAAGGAGACGTGGGCATGGCTCACTTGGGCGTAGCAGTCTTGGAGCTTCAGGATTGGGTGGCCAAAGTCATTTCTGGCCAAGATCACGATACCAGTGAAGTAGACCCCAGAGAGAAATAGATCGGCTCCCCCTGAGTCTTGACTGTTGAGAGAAAAAGTGCAAAGTTAGTGACCCAAGTCTGGGCAGTGTGGAGATGGGTCTTGTTTCTCTGATTACCAATGGGCTCTAAACTCCACGAGTGAAGGAAAGGTGTCACATTCACCTCTGGTTCCTACAACAGAAGGGGCGCAGTGGGTGCTGAATATTTACTGACCATAAAAGCAGTAAATCTGTGACAACTTTAGGAACTTTGTGATCATCTCATGCTCAGTGCCTGCCCTGCCCTGGGTTGTTTCGAGAGACAAAATGGGGGTTGAGGATTTAGGGGGGGCACAGAGGCAGAAGTGACATTTCAATGTAGCCTGTGAAGTCTTTGAGACAGTGGACTGCGGCTATTCATCTCTATGTTGACACTATATGGGTGATGAGTCAGCAAAGTAATGAATGAATACTTGAGTCTACATTACTTATGGGGGAATGTGTTAATCCTCCACAGTCTACAGGACTGGAATTCTTGAGATGGGGATAAACCACCCTTTATAAACAGACACAGTAGGCACTCAATAAACAGCTGTTGTAATGGCCGAATGAATGTGTTATATGGGGCACCTAATAAAGCTGACTAAATATTACACCAGGACACTGACTTGCACATGGTGGTTGGTCTGTCTGTAAGTGACCTTGAGTTTGAGTCCTCTTTTCTATGTGAGGTGCAAAGACCTTCTGATGGGGGGAGGGGAACTGGACTTAGTTGGACTCCCACCGTTTGACCTCATGTGAGGCTCCCTTTCCTGCCAGCTGTCCCTACAGATGGGGAGTGTGTTGAATAATGGGTTCGAGAGCACACAGCTACCTGGAGACTAACACACTGAGCACTTCTCTCTCACGGTCAGGGATTTCTAACACTTAGGAAATCTTAAACGACATTTTGATCAGTTGCCATATCTTAAGGAAAGGGATGCTTTCAGCCCCCTCCCTCCCCATCCCCCCCTAATTCTACCTCCCCCAACAGAGATTTCCTGATTTAAATCTCTGCTGGAAAAAGTGCTCTTAAGAAATATTGTTAATGATAGAGGGAAAGAAGCCTAACATTAAAAACATCAGCAAAACTATACACTTTCAATTTTGTTGTATCTGCCCCCAGAGATGCAGCAGACTTTTCCATGGGACACTTACAAAAGGGGAGACCTGACTTCCCAGTCTGTGCTGATGTTGGCAGTACCGTGGTTGGTCAGCGCCTTGATCCCCACGCCAGGCACAAAGGCTAACGATGTATTTGGAAATGAAAAGACACTGATTTTTATGCTGCAAAACAAGAAACAGGGGAGTTAGTGCAACTCTTCCAGCACATGTCAAATGAGTAAAAAAAGATAGGAAATGCTGTTGTACAACACCCAGCAGATGACGGGCAGCTGTGAATTCTTCTTTTTTTTTTTTGCATTTTTAAATTTTTATTATATATATTTTTACATCATTTTTCATTGTTGCATAATGTATGCATTTTCATCTTGGTTATAGTCCCCAAACAATCCCCCTCCAATACCCCCCCCCTCCATTTTCTACCAAGGAAGGAACCTCAGGTCTGCAGTGTTGCTGCCTCTGGGCACTGCCTTCTACTTCCCCTCCAGCCCATGCCAGGGAGCCCTTGGGTCAAGTCTACCCTCTCGTCCTCAAGGGGGGAAATGAACAAGTTTAGAAGCAGATTTTCAAATAATCTACTTTTTTTTTTAACTTTTTTTTTAAAGACAGAAAGAGATCCCATATTGTCATTATTTTTTTCCTTCAGTAGTTCCAGTGTTTCTCAGTGAGGGGGAGGTATTAGTATCTCAGATGGGACAACTGTTTTTGCAGAAGACTATTATATAAATCATAGGTCATTTGGTGGATGTACCAATGAGAGGTGGTCCTCTATCATTGCAACAACCCAGTGGGCCTTCTTGTTTCCAAAAGCCCTCTTTGTGGACAGTATGTTCCCTAGTTGAGAAACTTATGTTAGTGTTAGCATTTCCTAGGATTTTCTGAACCATCAAATAGGTAACTAAGAGGCAGTAGCTTACATGAAATCTGTACAGGAAGATGCCCCATGCAAACAGTAATATATTATTGTTACGAACATTGAGGGATTATTACCAGCCAGACACCGTGTGACAAGACCTTACATGCAATAGCTCATTTTAACCCTCTCAATAATCCTAGGAGGCTGTTGCTGTTTTTGCAATTTGCCATCTAGAGAGGACAAGATAAGAAACTCAGTGAGAGTCATATAAAGAAGGAGAACCAGACCTGGAGGTCTTCCCAATCTGTCTTCAGACTATGTTTATAACCACTAGCCTCCTGTTATGTCACATACTGCGCAAAGCATACTCAACTTGGAGCTAAGTATTGTGCTAGCTGGACAATCTTAGGGAAAGCACATAACCTCTTTCAATCAATCACTCCAAGAAAGTATTCCTCAAAGGGAGGACAAAATGAGGTCATTTGTGCCTAACTGTGGTACAGGAGAAAGGCATTTTTAAACTAGGGTTAGGAAGATTCTAAAACATAGATATGGTATTGATAAGAAATGTTTCATTAAACTAAAAAGCTTCTGCACAGAGAAACTTGCATGGAGACAAAAACACACGCTATTGGGAGAGGGTATTCAAATGTCATATATCCAACAAAGGATTAATATCCAAAAAATATAAGGAACTCATAAAACTCAATAGTAACAACAAAAAAGAACATGATCAAGAGATGGGGAGAACACTTGAATAGACGCTTCTCCAAAGAAGATACGCAGAAAAGACACACCTGACAAGATGTTGCTTATCTCTTATTAGGAAAGTGCATATTGAAACCACAACAAGTGATCACCTTACACCTGTGAGAACACTATTATCCATAGGAAAAGAAGCCACAACATTGGCGAGTAAATGGGATAAAAGATGTGTACATGATTGGTGGGAAGGTAAATTAGTGCAGCCATCATGGAAAGCAGTTGGAGATTCCTCAAAAAATTAAAAGTAGAAATTCCATATGATTCAGTCATCCTACTTCTAGGTATTTACCTGAAAAAAATACAACTGCAGCAACAAAAAATAGTAAATAAAAAATTGAAGATATATGTACCCCCTTTGTTTATCACAGTTCTAGTTACTTTTTACATTTCTAAAAGGACAGGTTTATTAAAAAAAGGAGAAAGAGTTGTTGTTGCTTTTGAAAGGAAAAGATTTGTGAAAGAAACACCTGCATAGACACAGGTGGGCAGCCATGGGATGAGAGCCTCTGTTGCAGCATTATTTATAATAGCCAAGAGCTGGAAACAACCTACATGCCCATGGAGAGATGAATGGATAAAGAAGCCGTGGCATATATACACAATGGAATACTACTCAGCTATAAAAAAGATGAAAATATGCTATTTGCAACAATATGGATAGATCTAGTGGGTATTGGACTCAGTGAAATAAGTCAGGAGAAAGACAGACGCTATTACTTCACTCATGAGTGGTGTATAGAGAAAACAAATAAATGGATGAATTAAACAAAAGTAAACTTTTAGACTATAAGAAACAGGACATACCTGGCCTTAACATTCATTGGAATATCATTCATTGGAGTATCTACTATGCCTAGAACAATGTCTCAAAACATAATAGGTGTTCAATAAATTCTTGCTCTGTGACTGACTCTGTTACAGACCAGTGCCCTCTGCCAGGAACTGTCCCCAGGTTGCCTTCCCAACACCCCCCCCCAAAAAAAAAAAACCTCTTAGTTTTATGGGACTTAGTTCATAGAATATTATCCTGGGGAGCAGGGTATTTATTGCTCCAAAGGGCTGGGATAGCAGGGAATTATTGCTGGATTGATAAAACATTGGGGCAAATTGTGAATCACAGAGAATTCGATTTCATAAAAGTATCTTCACATTTGTCACATCTGAATTTCACTGTTCAGTGATTTTGATGGTGGAAGAGATTACAACTGCCACCAGAAATCCTTGTGGGAGGAGAAATTTATTGATTAGAAATTGTTTTGAAATGCATTTAGAGTACAAGGGGGAATTCTTTGGTAGTTAGGAATGGGTGAAACTGCTTGCAAGGGGAGAAACTCATTGCTCCAGAAAAGGGTGGTCCAGATAACACAAGGACAGAAGGCCCCAGGCCCTGCGCCCCAGTCCTGGGACGCCTGAAGGCTGGACTACAGTTGACTGAAATAAGATAAGTCTTGAGTTGAGGGTGAATTCCATATCTAGGCTTATGGGGGCAGGGGCAGCAATGGGTACAAAAGGACAATAATTTCATTTTGAATTCAAAGGGCACAGGGGCCACAGCTGACATGAGCACTGAGTTAGAATTCTCACTTTAGGAAGCAGGTGAGCATGTCGAGCCTCCAAGCAGACACGCCAGGTGCCCGCGACCCTTGTACAGTGGAGATAAGACTTGGGCCCAGGTGTGCTGACTCAAATGTCAACTCTGTCGCTTCCTCTTGGCTTGAGCATCTGCTAAGCCTCCCACCGAAGGTCAGAGAGCCTCCCCTCTGGGTCCTGGTGTTAGAGCAGATGACCATGCACAGGAAGGATACCCTCAAGCATGCCTGAGGTTTTAAAGATTAATTTTGTGGCGAAAAAAAGCTGCTCTTCTCTTTTACTTACTTACTTTTTTTTTTTTTTTTTTGTGGGACCCTCACTGGTGGCCAGGGATTGAACTGGTGCTGTAGAGGCTACAGGCAGCCTCGCAACCCAGCGCTCAACCACTGCGCCAACAGGGGAGGCCCTCCTTTCACTTACTTTGAAAAGTTGTAGTTCACATAGTCAACCTTCAGAAATTCAAGGGATTCAGAACCTTCTAAATCTGGGATGTCTTTTTCTTTCACCATTTGCTCGATCATTTCCATTCCAACTTGCACGCCTGCGAAGCAACCAAAGGAAGTGTTACTAATAGTAACAGATACGATAGAAATATGAATCTTTAGCCGCCAGAGTGAAATTTAGGAAGGCATGCTCTTAGACGCTTAGAAAAGAGCAGCCCTATCAGATGCAGATCATTGCTCCTGCTTTACCAATGGAAAGATGGGTCCCCCGAAAAGCTAAGGGACTTGCCCAGGTCCCCAGAGAGAGTTTGCATGAGAGGGTTTCCTTATATGGCCAGGGCTCAAGAACGCTCCCACGACAGTGGGATAGGAAAAGTACAAAATGTCTCATTTTTTACGTTTTATAGAGGAGAAACCAAGTTTCAAAGAGGGTTAATTTTTTGCCTATATCACACAAGTAAGAACTGGGCAATCTGGCTCCATGCCTTCTAGTTGGTCCCAGAAAGGTATTCCACAGCCCCCTTCCCCATGATCTGTAAACTCAGGAAATTTTGGCTGGAGGACCCATGGCCTGTTGGAAACTCTTGACTTTTTTTTTTTAATAGAGGCATGTTTTATTTGTTTGTTTGTTTGTTTGTTTGTTTGTTTGTTTGTTTATACATGCACTGGGTACAGTCAGAAGCACGGGAGGGTGAGAGAATTCACCAGAGCCAGAGCGGGGAGCAGAGCAGGCAGAAGGACCGAAGTACACTGCTGAGGGGAGCAGCGGGCAGCAGGAGAGGTCGGCGCGCCATGTGGGACCCTCCTCTGGTGGCCAGGGAGCAGCCGGGGATTGAACCGGCGCCACAGAGGCTGCGGGCAGCTTCGCAACCCAGCGCTCAACAGCTGCGCCACTGGGGAGGCCCACTCTTGACATTTTAATAAAAGACTGAATTGTGTGTGTGTGTGTGTATGTGTGTGTATCATATTTTTCACGGGAGAGGGACCCATTTTCGTCATTTTCTTAAAGGACTCCAGCACTCCCAAAAGGTTAGTGACCCCATTTTGTTTAATTCTGGATTAAACCCATCTTTATATGAAGGTACTGCAGAGCACGTTTCTCTGTGCAATTGGAGATAGAAGCTCCCTTTCTTCCGCATTAAAGAGCTCGAGAGCGGAATTTACACAGTAATGATCTTTTAATTTTAACCTTCAGTAGGAGGAGATGCTGCCTTTTGCCCTATACTTTGCAGCTTAAGCTCATTTCCATGTATCCCAATCTTGTTAAAGATGGAGAAGAGCAGTTCTTATCTTGCATAATGCTGCAATTCATGCTGTAAGTGGGGATGTCAGGACAGAGTGTAAAGCTGGAACCAAAGGCACCATTCGAAGCTGAGCTTTGAATCCCAACATGGTCACTTACTAGTCTGTGACTGCACATTACCAAAAATCTCTCCCTTACCTTAACCTGGGGACAGTAGTAACCTTGGAAGTACTGTTGATGTGTGCGGAAATAACAGTAGCCAGTATTTATTGTAAATTTGCTGTTGCCACACCTGTTCCAAGTGCTTTATATGTGTTCATGCATGCACTTCCGATAATAACCCAATGGGTAGCTACTATTATTATTTCCATTTTAATAATATCTTATAGATGCTACCAGTAAGAGGTACATTAATTTTTTTCCTGGAGAGATGTAGGGCATAAATACTTGATGAAATAAAAAAATAATAATAATAATTTGTATTGAGCACTTGTCTCAATACATTCTCTATACATTCTCAGGGCAAACCACTGGTATTACAATCCCTATTTCACCTAGGAGGCAGCTGAAGCTCAGAGAGATTCATTAGTTTGCCCAGAGCCCACAGCTAGAGAGTGCCATTGCCCAGTGCTTGGGGGAATGGGGAGGGAGGACAGGGCATACAGGTTTTGAGATCTGGCAGAGCAGACCTGAGTTGATATCTTGCCTTGGTCCCCTTCTGGCATGTGAGTGGGGACATTTAGCTCAATCCCTCGAGACTCAAATTCCACCTCTGTAAAATGATCTTCCTACGGGTGTTACGGAATTGAAGTAACCTGGGCTCCTGAAGCATAGACAGAAGAGCCTGGCTGTCGTAGATGCCAACGGCTCTGACCTCAAGGCCTGGCCTTCTGCACCATCACAGATGAGCCTCTCTGATCCTCATATCACACCAGACAGAGGCATCATCGGTGGGGGAGAGAGAGAGAGAAAGAGACAAAGAGAGAGAGAGAGAGAGAGAGAGAGAGAGAAAATCTGTGAGTGCTTGGCAATGTTTCTCATTAGGGTGATTAGGCAACAGATTCTTTCTGGCCATCTTAGCAGCTTCTGTGCACAGAAGCACTTGTCTCAGCCATGACGGAACTAGTATGAGCTTCTGGGTTCAGGTCACAGACTCCACCTGGTGGGTGGGGGTGGGGGAGGCTACAGCCTGGCTTTTCAAAGTACTTGCCTCTACTCACCATAGTCCAGAGCCCGCTGAGTAGCCCTTGCCTTGATTCCAGGGTAAATGGTCTGAGAGGCTGAGATGCAGAGATTCCACAGGAGGAAACATCTCCAGAGCACCTGGACTGTCCTTGTACGCATCTGCAATCAACCAAAGTGTAGTTTCATTAAAGGACTTTCTTATCGACTCCATGCAGGATTTCTAGGTTTTCTCATTTTCATTGCTAACTTCCAGAACTCACTCACTCACTCACTCACTCCATCCATCCATCCATCCATCCATCCATCCATCCATCCATCCATCCATCCATTGATGCCTGCATGCATGCATATATCAATCAGTCACTCATTGAACATACCAAAATGTATTCTAGCTGTTGAGGATACAAACATGACCTAAGTGTGGCCCTGGACCTCTGCTTTCCACAGACTAATGGGGGAATCAGACATACACACACACACACACACACACACACACAGAGTTAAAACACAACACAGAATAATGCAACTTGACAAAATAAAAAAAGCTTTGCAGTAAACATAAAGATGGGAATAGGCCTGAGGGCCAGTACCGGGGTGGGGACGGGGGGATTCTTGACTGTTTTAGACTCAGCAGTTTAGAAAGATGGCCTCCAGGGTATGAGGCAGTTACCCATCAGCTTAAAAATCCCCCGGTGATTCTCTTTTGCCCAAAGGATGGGGCTTAGGCTCTTATCACGGTAATCAAGGATTTCAGAACTGTCCCCAGACGTTATTCTAGCCCCTGTCCCTCCTCTCCTGTCCAAAGGGCAGTGTTCTAAGCTGGCCATGCTGAGCTATTTGCTTTTCCTCAATTGGCCAGTTTTCCCATGAGTAAGGGCTTTATGTTGAACCATCCTGATGTAAACACGCATGTGTGTACACATTCTCTCTCTTTTTTCCTTCTTCTCCTACCCACTTCCTCCCTACTTCTGGGTCATGTACCCTCAGGGCCAGTTCCAGACACCTCTGTGAAAATCCCTCTGTGAAAATCCATGGGTCTCTTCACCCTGTCCTGAGTGCTTCTCCACACTACCATTCTTTTTATTTATTTATTTAGTATATTTTTTACATTATTTTTCATTTTTGCACAATGTATGCATTTTCATCTTGGTTATAGTCCCCGCACAATTCTTATCCCCCTTGTTTTGATCCTACTCCCTTTTCCCTCCCCATAGTGTGTCTCTGGTTTATAGTTGCTTATTGATTTTGATTTTTACTTTAGTATAATTAGTCTTTTTCCTGGTCCCTTATTTAGCTTTTCTTATGTGGCATTGAAGCCATGCCACACATGGTGAGCATGCAGACAGGCTCACCGCCTCTGCCGCAGGCTCACCATCACCACTGGGGTTTGCAGGAGCCTTCTGACTGGTCTCTGTTCCTGTCCCGCCTCTGGCTATTTGCCACATCACAGCTAGAGGGGGTCTTTTAAAATGAAGTTCAGATCATGTCATTCATGTAGGCCCCACCAGCTTAAAGCCCTCAGGTGGTTCCACATCTTACTTAGGGTAAAAGCCAAAGAGCCCTTCCTCCAGCCACACGGCCCTGCCTGCCTCCACACCTCTGCTTCTCATTGACCTCCTTCCCTCACACACTTCCTTGCTTTAGCACCTTGAACAGTGGCTGGCACACACTACAGAAATGGGTCAATATTGAATGATGAATTGAATGACAGGATTAAAGTCCCTTCTTTGAGACAGACTGTGACATGGGCCAGGTGTGCCTTTTGAGTTCCCACAACATGCCAGTCATCCTTGATCTTAGTAATGTGCCATTCTGTACTGGGATGGTCTTTGCCCCACTATCACCAGGATTATGTCTAGCTCCTATACCTCCTGAGCCTAGCACAATGTCCAAGGCATAGTAAACACACACACACAGACATCTTAATAAACCTCTCCAAGGAGAGGGACCACATCTTCCTGGTGTATAGGAAATGTTTAGTGTATATCTGTTGAATCAATGGACTCAGTGGATCAATGTCACTCCATTTCCTTGATGAATGAAGGACAGATACCAGAAGCAAGAGTGACATGGGCTTCTTTTAGTGACAGCCCAGTGAGTAACACATTCATGGGCCTTGTTTCCAGTTCTGGCAGTTTATATTCTGGGTGTGTTCTTGTAGCTGCATTTACATATGCCAAAGACCCACAGGCAAGAGGTGCCCACTGAGTTATCAAACAGATATGAAACAAATCAGAGAAGCATTTGTGGGGGTGTCAAGGAAGAGGAAGTTATGGGAACCATGCATTTAGAGAGCGGGAGGGGCCAGTCTAGGTGAGGCCAGGAAGGAGTGAAGAGGGGCTAGAATTCACAAATAGACTGCTGGAAAGGGTCATTGTAAGAAGAGGGGTGTGTGTGTGTGTGTGTGTGTGTGTGTGTGTGTGTGTACTCTTTGGCCAAAATAAACAAGAGGCTTTATAAAGGGGATTGTGTGGGCTTATAGGTGAGGCTACAGAGGTGGCAACGGGATAATACTGACAAAGGCTGTTCCAGATAACTTCTGAAAGAGCAGAGCAGTCTGAGCAGGGGAGGGAGTGTCCATGCAGGGCTGCTGGTAGCCTCTCTTGGGCTTTTGTGTGAAATGGGCAAAGGTGCCCTCTGGAGACACACCAGTCTTCCAGCACAGCGTGAAGTCAGGGGAGAGTCTTCTAGGCAAAGCTCACAGTGTAGTGAGGAGCAATGGCTGCCCTGCCCTACTCACCCTTGGGCAGCATTTTGCTGAGTGTGTAAGCTGCCCAGCTTCTACAGTGGGCCTGCGCTCAGATTCGTGACTGCCCATGAAGGTAATCTTTCTGGGGAGCCAGGAGATTGAGAGTTAGGGTCTCTGTAGTACATACATCTACCTTTAGGTCCCAGAAGAGTCTGGCTCAGTCTAAGCTTCAGGGGCTTCCTCTGTGGCCATTGTCCAGAAAAACTGAGCTTTCTGTATACCATGAATCTTGCCCAAGGCCTTTGCTCATGCTGTCTCCCTTTACTGAGGCCAGTGGAAACACATGAAGATGCAACAGTGCATCCTATAGGTCCATGTCACTTATGTTTATTCTTTCCAGCCCCCTCTCCCTTAATGTCTTTTTTTTTTTTAAAGATTTATTTATTCATGCATACAACAACCAGGGTACAGGCCAGATGTGCGAGAAGGTGAGAGGATTCACCAGAGACAGAGAGGGGAGCAGAACTGGCAGACTGACTAAAATACACTGCTGAGGGGAGCAGCAGGTGAGACAGGAGAGGTGTGCTACACCATGTGGGAGTCTCGCCAGCCGGCCGGGATCGAACCTGCACTGCAGTGGCTGTGGACAGCTTCACAGTGCTGCGCTCAACCACCTGTGCCACCAGGGGAGGCCCCTTCATGTTTATCTTAAACAGGCTTCTGAAGCCATTTCTGACTTCCCTAAGCAAACCTCATTCCTTTATGAACTCTCAGTCAAAAAATATATTCATTCCTGTGTGTAAGCTTATTTCCTTGCTTATGGTCTGTCTCCTCTACCAGAATGCAAGTGCTGGGCAGGCGAGACCTGATAATGGGTCCTGGCAGAATGAATTAGTGAATTCATCCATGATGGACTAGCTCTCACTAAAGTCTTTATATTATAGTTCTTTGTAGAGATGATTGACAAAATTTATCACCTACTCGAATGAATATACTCATCAGAGCAAATGCTGACCCTAGTCTTAGAGCATGGGTGGGGAGGCCAGGCTCATGGGGACGTAAGGGGGTTCAGGGCATTGGGGGTAGATTAATGACTATTTACTCTTGGATACTGGGATATTTCAATATTTAATAGCTCATGGCCTTATGCATCCATGTGATGTTTCATTCCTGTGAGTTAGTCTGGATTACATAAAACAACCAATAGAAAGAGCCTGGGCAGCAGTGTTGGGGGCAGGGCTAGGGAGGGGTGGCTGGCATGGTCAGGGCCCAGACAACCCTAAGGGAAGCACAGAAGAATGACAGTGAGAGCACAGGGGAAATGGTTGAGGCAGGAGAAGAGGCACCCTGGCCAGGCAATGAGTGCTCTGAGGGTTAGAGGACAAGGGAGGCGTGGAGAAGGGAGTGTGAAGTCCTCCACATTCTGGGAGACCAGGTGATATTAAAAGCTCCTTCTACTCGGTTAGAATAGATCCAGGAGCTAGGCCCAGTTACCATCTGTGCCAGGCCTTCTTGATCCTTTTATTGTTCCGGAGGTAGGCAGAGGTGGGCAGGCCTATGGAAATGAGGGTGATACTCCCAGAGCTCAAGTTAGTGACTATGGATCAACTGGTGTGGAAGTGTTTCCACATTTTAACAAGTGGTGAGATCATCCTGATGAACAGTCCTGCGAATATCATCATGGGCCAAGAATTGTAAAAGGATGGCTCATCCTGACGCAGACATAAGAGGGCTGTTTTGGAAGAAGAAAACATTTCAAAGCCGTGGAAAGCAATGGGAAAGAAGGGAAGGCCATTAGACTCTATGCAAACCGAGCTAGAATTTATCTCTCGGCTTGGTAAATGGCTGGACCTCAATAAATATTTACCAGCTGATCAAAGATTCTGGTTGGCTAAGAAAGGCTCTAGAAATGTTGAAAAAAATCCAGAAATCCAAGCTAGCATCTAAGTAGCTCTCTGTTTCTCCAGAGAAAAAGCACAGTAAATCAAAGGAGTGATGTTACTTGCTAATGAAATAATGACTAAAATGATGAGTATTATTTATCATTTGTGAAACACACAATTCTTCGGGCTGTACCCTATGTATGCTAGGATAATAGGACACAGGACTATTGTTCTATGTCCTTTTTTACACTATTGGACACACACATACACAGGCTTACAGTCTCAATGACTTGACACAGGTGACACTGTAAACCACAACACCTACGACTCAAACCTCTATTTCTTCTGGCTCCTAATTCTAGCATTTATAAATTTCTTTTTTCCATGTAAATGACTTGATTAGTGCTAGATTATTTCATTTTCATCTTGTAAACTGTAAGTAGGAATTGTAAGTCAGGATAGCTTGATACTATTTTCTATGTGGAAAAATTTCATTAAGCCACTGGAAATTTTTAAGCATCAAAGTGAAAAATCCCTTTGTATGTCCTTGGGCACAAACAGAATTTTAAATTCCCTTCCAGCAGTAAAAACCTGTTTTTCCTTCTTAGTTAAAGGAAGTTTCTCATGTGGTATACTTTCATGGATATCCAGGAACTCTAAATTGCACATAAAAAAAAGCAGTTTTTCCTCTAGAAATTTTTATGAGTGAATGAAATTACTGGGCTATAAAGGTATGGATTGCATGTAACTTTCAGTTGAATTGCTTGTGAGGATGGTAATTTATGAGCAGGGGAGGAAAGGAACCTTGTCAAGCAAGGAGATGACTCCTAAAAGGTTAAGTAATTTGGCCAACAAGTAAGGGCAGGGTGAGTCGCCTCTTAAAAAAAGTGATACAAGAGGCATTGAACTTTGTCAGCAAGTTACCTATTTTGTTGCTTCTGAGGAATTGCTTCTTTCTAAGATGCTGTGTCTCAGAACTCATTATATTCCCATACCGATATATAGGCAGAAGAACACTTGTGAAGTAAATGGCCCTTGCCTGTGAGAAATAGGACTCCACTAGTACAAGTGAAAAAAAGTTCTGAAATTCACATATTGACTCACTAAGCCTGCTTGAGTAGGAGAGATTAGACAGACTCCGGAAAAAATGATCAGAGTGATGAGTGACTGAAACATAGCCTTCCTTGTAGAAGCAGAGATTGAAAAATTAAATCCAGTTGGTTTAAAGATGCTTAGACGGTAGGGATATTTCAACATAATGGTCAAAGAGAGAATGTATGTAAGAAGTCTAAACCAACAGGCATACAATATGGGCAGAAATGGAGACAATTTCAAGGGATTCAGCTCATACATCTGATTTTATAGCAAGGTTTCTAACCACGATGATCTTGAAGATTCATGGCAAGGCTTTCCTCTCAGTACTCCCTGGTTAACACGGACATGCTTAACAATGCAGGTGAGTGGGCAGATCATTCACTCTGGCAGTATCTAGGTCACTCAAGTGGTTTAAGAGCTGGTTCCAAAGCATAGAGATCAGGGCTGCTTCTTAATCCTAGCCATACCGATTGAAAGACAGCGTAGAGTTTCCAGCTGAAGACTGGATTCCCCCACTGAAATGGAGGTAAAATTAAGTAAGCATTGAGTGATCCTCTTAGCAGGGCTAGGTGGCACAAAACTAACCTTGTCATCCAAACCAACTCACCTTAGAATCATTCACAGTCTTCACTAAACAATCCTCTTGTCTAAGAAGCCTCCAGGTAGGCAAGCATAACAAAAGAGTAGACTCAGAAAAACCCAGACAGACCATAATAACTCAGGATCAGGGCAGCTGACTATTCAGGGTGTCCTACCAGATCTGGGGCTTCTCCAGTGAGAGGGTAATCCCCGTTGGGAGACAGTGCGCTGGCAGAGACCACGAGTTGTCATGATTCTTACCTCAAGCAGAGGAAGTGTCCAAAGCTGGGGAGCACCTTCTTCTCTCTGCCTTTGAAGTCGATGTGCTCTCCACTTGAGCCTTGAACTCAGCTGCCGCAAAGATAATTAAGTCTGAATCATCTAGTGGTGGATTTTTTTTAAATGCCTCTTTCAAAATATGATGCATAGTTGCTTCACTTCAATTACTCAATGGCATGAATGAAACACTACAGTGTCTACCTAGATGAGTAGACAATGCTATCTATGCAATAATTACCTCCCTCAAAACACACAGAGACAGACACAGACACACAGACACACACACAGAGAAAGAGACAGAGAAAGAGGTGAACGTTATGGGTACTTTACGAAAATGATTAAGTCAAGATTTCCAATGTATTGAAAAAGGTGTCAAAGGCTTGAATTGGAAGAGGAAGCATTTTCCTCTCTGAGATCAAAAGCCGGTTTTTCCTGGTCAGAGTACCTGCAGTGAAAGGCTCCAGGGCTGCCCACAATGCTGTTTGGACAATGCTGGTGGATCAGATTCAGTTCAAAAAACATGAGTCTTGATAATGAGGCTGACCTAGTTACCATCCTTAGTTTCCAGCACAGGACCACAGATGGCCTCTGTAAGTGTCTGCTCCTTTTCAGAAGGTTATTCATGACCTCTGGTCCCAGCATTTCTTTGAAGTAAGTCGGGTGGCTTTGTCAACTATTTTGTAACCTGATATCTTTATTCTAAACCCTGTATGCACTGCTGTCTCCCATGTTGTAGTCATTGCATTTTTAATGGCCAGAGATCTGATTACATGAAGCGTCTTATTTGCAATTTTCTGGGTAAGATTAGGTGACCAACTGTCCTGGTTTTCACAAGATAGAGGACTTTCAGTATAAAGCCAGGAGTCCTGGGAGAAGCTGGGAAGACCAAACTAGGGAGATCGATCACTCTAGCAAGAACAACAGGCTTACCATCACCCACATGCTGATGGCTTTCCTGATTTTTTTTAAAAGATTTATGCATACAAGAGCTGGGGTACAGGCCAGAGGTGTGGGTGAGGGGTGGTGAGAAGATTCACCAGGACAGAGCGGGGAACAGAACAGGCAGATTGGCCAAAGTACACTGCTGAGGGGAGCAGCGGGCGAATCAGGAGAGGTCTGCTGCGCCATGTGGGTAGCTCCCTGGCCGGTCAGGGATCTAACTCGTGTTGCAGAGGCTGTGGATTGCTTCATAGGTTGTGCCTTAACCCCTTGCGCCACCAGGGAGGCCCCTTCCCTGGTTTCATACCTAGAGTACCTCAAGATATATTGCCCTATTTAACCCGAATTTTCTTAGGGGTAAAATGGGGCTAGAAATAGTATCTACTCCCATAAGTTCTGGAGAAAAATTGTCTTAGTCCTTTTAGACTGCTCCAACAAAATCCCGGACTGGATAGTTTAGAAATAGTTCTGGAGGCTAGCAAGTCCAAGTTCAAGGTGCAAACACGGTTGATTTGGAGTGAGGGCCCCTCTTCCTGGTTCATCGCTGGTAACTTGTAGCTGTGTCCTCATAAGGTAGAAGGGGCCAGGGGTCTCCCTCGACCCTCTTTAATAAGACACTAATCCCATTTATGAGGGCTCCACAGTCACAACTTAGCTATCTCCCAAAGTCCCTAAATACTAACACCATCAGCTTTTAGGATTTCAAGTTATGGATTTTGGGAGACACAAACATCAGCCCACAGCAATAACCTGTGGGAATGTGCTCTTAAAACTATAAGCGCTATAAAATTTCATTTGCTAATATATGGCTATATCAATGGTGATATGAGCCTGTAGACATTCTCCTCATGGAGCCATCTGTTGTCAGTCAGTCCAGATGAATACATTCATTAACTCAGCAAGTATTTATTGGGCATCTACCATGTGCCAGGGTCTCTTCAACTAGAAAGACAGAATCCCTGTCCACAAGAGGTTTAAGTTTTAGCAGATGGAGAAAAAAATAAACAAGTAACAAAAGAGGTAAAAAAAAATAGATTGTGACATGTATTATAAAGAAAATTAGGAGATATGGTTGGTGAGGTGGTCTTGTAATTAGAGGGGTGATGTAACTGGGGGAGGTGTGCTCGTTTTGTTAGGATGGTCCAGGAAGGCTTCTCAGAGGAGGTAACAATTGAGTTCTGAGCATTAAAAGCCAGGCAGGCAAAGCACTAAAGGAAAATGGTGGAGGCTACAGCAAAGGTGGTCCATGCGTTTGAAATGTAGTTAAGGGCAGAAGAGGTGTTAAGAGATCCAAGTGGTGATATCAGTTGGGAAGCTGAAGTTCTGGAGAGAGGTTGGCTAGAAACAGGAATTTCTAAGTCATCATCCTAGAGGTGGAATCAAAGTCACAGAAGTGGATGAGATAACCCAAGGTGGTTTCCTATGATGCCTGGGCTACCGGAGGGATGCAGGAATTGAATTGTACAGTGACTAGTTTTAGTGTATTAGGAAAAAAAAAAAACACGGAACCAGATGTGGAAGAAGATGAATGACATCACCCATCATATGGGATAGAAAATCATACAGTACCTCTAAATCTTTGTGTCCTTTCTTCACAACCTTCTCCAAGCAACACTAGCCTCCCGCCCTCTCTCCCTGCCTGCCTCCTGCCCTCCTCCTCATCTCCTCTCACCTTTTGGCCTCCACCTTTCTCCCCTGCTCTTTGTCTTCAGTCTTGCCCATTCCTTTTCTCTGCCAGTTTAGATCTTGCTCATATTCAGTAGCCAACTGCATCTGATCCACTAGACTCCAAAGCTGAAAAATGTAAAGTAATAGCATTTTTCTTGATGCAGACAATTTTCCTTTTTGTTGCAAAAGACCCGAAATTCTCACCACATCTTGGTGATAGCTGACGTCATTGCTGCGTAGTCAGTGACCCTGGGTGCAGGGTCTGGGGAGAGTCCTCAGGGAGGGCGACCTGGATGGATGACAGGAGAATGTGAGATGTGGAGACTCTGCCCAACAGTCTAGGATGCTCTTCCTCACCCTCCCCTGCTCTGTCCACCCCAATTCTTGGGCAATTGACTTCCCTTCTCTGGGTCTCAGAGCAATCATCAGTAAAACTGGCGATCCCATTTACTTTGGAGAGTCCAAATGAGAATTTGACTAAATGAGCTAAGCTTTCCATCCGGTGTTAATAAATTAGATGTACTGTAACTTGCATTTCCTCTATTTTTATTTTAAATCAATAACTTAAAAGATATTTAAACTTTATTTTAAAAGGAATATACAAAATTTACTCTGTGGCTTTTTTTTTTTTCCTTTGTGGCATTTTTTTTTTTTATTTACCCTCTTTATTTGAAAATTAGTGCAAGTTTTCCCTTTACATAGTTCCCCCTTTTAACAAATCTATATGCCATTTCAGGCGAGGGTTGATTTGTGGGGGAAAAGGAAATAACAGTCCAGCTCATGTGGGACATGGAATAACGTTAGACCAAGAGGTTCAAATAATTGAAGTTTAGGAAACAAAGTTTGAGGAAGAAAGGGTAGCTAATTTGTTTTACTTCATTTGAAAGGGATCTTAGAAGTTGGTTCATTAATCTTCTTTTCTACTGGAGGAATCATGGTGGGGCAAATTTGCCGCATTCATCATTAAAAATGACAAGCACAAAAGCCAGCAGCACCGTCTCACTTTCATTATTTCCATTAGTTTTTCAGATTGAACTGAAGATCTGCTGAGAACTCTTGCTCTTCCAGCCTGCCCATGACGGCAATCTAGAAAGCTAGATTAATTATTTCACACTAATGGCCAACAGTGTATTCATCTCTGCAGATCAAGGGCCACCTTTAATTAGAACGCCAAAAGAAAAATCATAATCAACTAGGTAGAATAATTGTTCATTTAAGAAAGATATCGAGATACAGTGTTAAGAATCAGGTATCTAATTCTTGGCTTCTAGATTGTTTGGGCTGTTCCCATATGCAAAGCAGCTTTTAATAAATTAATATTGTATTAATAATACAATATTAAGTTAATAAAACACTTTCTTGAGTTTGGAAGATACACGATGTTCTTTGTGGGAGACAAAAGAAGAAGGGGCAGGGGTATGTATATATAGGGGGACAGATAGAGCTGTTTTAGGGTAGAAAATAATTGGAGCTCTAATCTCTCATTGCTCCATCCCTAACATTTTGTGTTAGTTAGATCTGGTTAAAGGACCCCCTGAAGAAGGCTAGCGAAGGCAGAAAATAAGAGCTAACATTTATTGAGTGTTTATTATGCTCATCAAATCTCCACCAAGATTGTATGAGGTACTATGCCCATTTCCATTTTATGGATGAGGAAACTGGAGAGTTAAGCAATTGCCTTCACGCAGGCCTTGCAGCTTGAAAGGTGTGGAGCAGGACTTAGGACCCCAGTGTTCTGCTTCCAGGACTCTGTCCTCTTAACTACTAGGTTAGGCTACCTTTGTAGGCAGGTCACTAAAGGACAACCTGCAGCCCAGGGGATGTGGAAGGTAAGGAGCGAGAAGGATGTTGTTGCTAGGCAACCCATCTGGTTTTCTGAGCTGCTAATTGATATGTGTGAGTAACTCAGCTATATGTGTTGTTTGAAGTTGCTTATTCCTGACTAGTGGCAGCTGCTTAGGGAGTGTGTGTCCAGAGAGGAGTGATGCTATAGCTCGTTCTGGAAGGGCTAGAGGGCCATTTCCGGCAGAATCATCCTATCAACTACCATCCCTTCTCCTCCCAACTCTGTCCCAGGCCACTCTTTCCTGATGTCTGTGTGATGATGTTTCTGGGTGGACACCAATGACTGACTCAGATTGTGGCTTCTTGCACCAGTTGGGTCTGGCATGGTTTATGGCAGTGAATCCCTCTTGGTTTTGAAGAATAAACACTCACTTACCCACTTACTTCATTTATCGGTTACCTCAAAAGGAATCACATTTTATCTTTTGCAGTTCAAGCTAAGTTTAAATTCATGCTAAATTAAAACATGTGACTTATGAGATATGAGGGATTTTGTGGAATGAAGCAAACAAGATAGTGGGATAAAATTCCAGACCCTGGGACTCACTGGTGAACCCAATTCAACTGGACAAGGACATATAAGCAAAACAAAACAAAGCCAAAAGCAAATGGATGGGGATTTCTTCAACTCCATGCTATTGACATTTTGGGACACATAATTCCTCGATACAGGTTGTTCAACTGCACCCCTGGCCTCTACCCTGCTAGATATTAGTGGTACCACTCCTGACAAGTTGTGACAAAATTGCCTTAAGCCTACATTAAGTAACCCTCGGCAGGCCTCATTTGAGAACCAAGGAATTAAAGTATATTCAAGTTTTCTGTTTAGCCCTTATAGTCGAAAATGCTATTCCTATTGAGAATATGATTCTAATATTCTTAATAATATTTTTCTTAATTGTCCAATAGTTATGTAAATATATTCTTTTGGTGAAGGATTCAAACAATACTGGTTAAATCATTGGCTTCACCCCCTCCCCTCCCATCCCTGTCTTCTGTATGTCTCCTTTTAGTTTGCTTTCCCGGAACAGTCTATTTCATTGGATTATAGACATCTTCATCTGGCCCCTAGATAGGGTTAATCATTTCAACAACTTCTACAGATTATTTTTTTTCAACTTGTGCAGTCCTAATTTCAATTCACAACATTTTAGAAGGCCAATTTCAATTTCTCACCAAACACAGCTACCTCAGTCTTTTTTAAGTATTAAAACAAAACAACCACTGCAAGAACACATGGTATATATTACATACTATAGATAGATAGATAGATAGATAGACACCTGAAAGTGTGAGAATTATTGGCAGATAAAGCTCGAGGTCAGGAAAAAAGGTTTGATTTCTAAGAAAACACCCAAGCAAGGCCAACCTGATTTTCTCGGTCAGAAACATCTTTTGATTTTTCTCTGACAGAGGTGGAATGAGGACATTACTTTTCCAAACAGACTTATCAGAAACTCAGAGACAACACGGATATCTTCATATCATTTAAAATCTTGCTTCATGAATTTTCACATTGGAGGTGTGGGTTGAGGATTCTTGAAGATATTCATAACCTTGGATTGGAAAAACCCTGGTGTGCAAATAATCCCATGTGATATGAATAACATTGAAAAGTATGTACCAAGTGCTCTTGGGGCAAAGGGAAGGAGCAACCTATTCTTTTTTTTTTTTTTTTTTAAATATTGAGTGGCTAAGTAATACAAGGTTTGCAAGGCTCACAAGACAAACCTGAGTTTATTTTTACTTTTTTAAAGATTTATTTATTTATTTATACAAGCACTGGGTACAGTCAGAAGCACGGGAGGGTAAGAAAATTCACCAGAGCCAGAGCGGGGAGCAGAGCAGGCAGAAGGACCGAAGTACACTGCTGAGGGGAGCAGTGGGCGGCACGAGAGGTCTGCACGCCATGCGGGACCCTCCTCTGGTGGCCGGGTTGCAGCCAGGGATCGAACCGGCGCTGCAGAGGCTGCGGGCAGCTTCGCAACCCAGTGCTCAACCACTAGGAGCAATCTATTCTGTCTGGAAGAAGGGAAGGAAAGATATTCCAGGCCGAAGAATCAGCAGGTGCAGAAGCACAGAGATATGATTTGGTTGAAGAGGATGTAAGGGGAGAAGCACTTTGGAGCAGTGTAGAGGGAGCAGTCTGTAGGGGTCATTGATCAGATCTAAGAAAGTGATTTTCCTGCCGAATTAGGAAAGATTTTTTCCATGTACAGACATTTGATTTTTGTTCAGGAAACTAGAAAAGAGAAAAAAAAAGAAAAACCAACTCATTAAAAAAGTGGTGAAAAACGTCACTTGTAATCAGGGAAATGCAAATCAAAACTACCATGAGATACCATCTTACACCAGTGAGAATGGCACATATTAAAAAAACTAGCAACAACAAATGCTGGCGAGGGTGTGGAGAAAAAGGAACTCTCCTGCACTGCTGGTGGGAGTGCAAACTGGTCCAACCACTATGGAGAGCTGTGTGGAGATTTCTGGACCTACTAAACATAGAGCTTCCATATGATCCAGCAATTCCACTCCTAGGTATTTACCCAAAGGACACAGAAACATCAATTCCAAAGAGCACCTGCACCCCTATGTTTATAGCAGCACTGTTTACAATAGCTAAGCTTTGGAAACAGCCCAGATGCCCAAAAATAGATGACTGGATGAAGAAGATGTGGTACATATATACCATGGAATACTACTCAGCATTTAAAAAAGATAAACACATGCAATTTGCAGCAACATGGATGGCGCTGGAAGGGATCATGCTCAGCGAAATAAGCCAGAAAGATAAAGAAAAATACCGGATGGTCTCACTCATAGCAGGAATCTAGAAAACTTAAATAAGGGACCAGGAAAATGAATAACTGTAAGAAAGTGAAAATCAAAATCAACAAAAAACTATGAACCAGAGACACTTTTTTGGGGGGTGGGGGGCAGGAGGGGAGGGACTGGGGTCAGAATGGGGGGTTTGAAATTGTATGGGGAATATAAAAATAAAATTTATTATTAATTAAAAAAAAGTGGTGAAAAGATCTAAACAAACTTACTGAGGAAGATATAGTGATAACAAATAAGCATATGAAAAGATGCTCAGCATTGTCATTAGAGAATTGCAAGTTAAAACAATGAGAGATGGGGAAGGGACATGATGGGGGCTGATATAGGTATAGGGGGTCAAAAAATATAAAATTTCAGTTGTAAAATAACTAAGTCATGGGGATGTAGTGTATAGCCTAGTGGTTATCCATAGTGTACTGCATATTTGAAATTTGGTTAGAGGACTTCAGTCCCCCCCATCAATAAAAATAAAATTGTAACCCGATTTATTGTGGTGATCACTTGGCATATATATATATATATATATATATATATCAAATCATTATGTGCTATATCTAAATTAGTATAGTTATATGTCAATTATATCTCAATCAAAAATAATGAGTACATCCATATACCTATTAGGATGGTTAAAAAAACACCACCACCTTGACAATACAAACTGATGGTGAGGATGCAGAGCAACAGGAGCTATCATTCAGTGCTGGTGGGAACGCGGTACAGTCACTCTGGCGAAAAGCAGTTTGTACAAGAATAAACCTACTCCAGCCATAAGACCCCAGTAATGTTCTTAGATATTTATCCAACTGATTTGGAAACTGAGGTCCACACAAAAACCTGCATAACCACAAATGTTTAAAATAGCTTTATTCATAATTGGCCCAAATTGGATGCAACCTAGATGTCAATAGGTTAACCATAAACTATGGTATAGCCATACAGTGGAATGTTATTTAGCAGTGAAATTGAGATGTGGAGTCACAAAAGGCCATGGAATAAATGAATAATGTGAAAGAAGCCCATTGTGAAACCAGAAAATGCAACATACTGTATGATTCCAATTATATGACATTCTGAATGTGACACCTTGATAATGTGGACTTTCAGGAATATGACAGTCTGGAAAAAGCAAAACTAAAGAGACGGTAGAGATGATTGCCAGGATTTAGTGGGTAGGAGTGGAGGAGGTTGAAACATGGATTTTTTTGGTTGGTGAAACTATTCTGTATGATACCATAATGGTGAATACAAGATATTACATATTTATTGAAAACCATAGAACTTTATAAGTAGCTTAAAGAGTAAATCTTAGTGTATGTAAATTTAGGAAAAAAAAAAACCACTCAGGAGACTGAAGGACCAGGGATGGAATATAAATGTAGAAAGATAATCTAAATGTATTTCAAATGTATAAAACAACCTTGTTGTAGGGATAAGGTGCTGACTTATGTAACTTTGAGAATGAATGGCGTCTGTAAGATTAAAAGCTTCAGAACTGTTGGTTAAGCACTGTTCTCTAGTTGACAATGGTGTTTCCCACAGGGTTACGGATTCACATTTCTGAAACCACTATATGTGGTAAATGGATGGTGGGTGTTGGGAGCCAAGTTGTCACAGGATTAGGAGATTATAGAATCAGGAAGTCAGAATGATCCAAGTGGTGGTGGATTAGAGTTCAGAACTCATGCTTAGTTTAATATAAATATTTGCCTGTAGAAATAACACACACACACACCCCCTTCTGCTCTGTCAGCTGAGATAGCCTAGAAGCGACAACACCCCTGCAGCAATGACTACATCTGGCACCCCGATCCTGATTCTTAATGCCATTCTCCAATAAAAGGAACAAAGGCTCTTCTGAAAAATGGATGATTCAGAAGTTAGGACAACAAATACACAAAGTGATCCAAGTGCATCTTAACTGAAGATGTAAGAAAGTGCTCGAAGCAGAACAAAACAAAACAAAACAAAGATCCACAGTCCAGTCCAATGGATATAGTGTGAATGGAAAGATCTCCCAATGGCATTTTGTGGACAGATATCAGGGATGTTGCTAAATGTCCTACAAAAGACAGGACAGTTCTCTACAACTTAGGAGACCCAAAATGTCAATAGTTGTTGAGGCTAAGAAACCCTCATCTAACATCTGCCAGTGACAGATTGGCATTTCAAGTCTGACCCAGGCCCTGTGTGGTGTACACCTGTCACATTCACAGCCTCCTACATTGTCTTTTGAAAAGTATTTTCCCGTATTTGGGAAAATTCCAATATTATAAGTCCTGCCTCCTCAAGGAAGAAGCTAAGACCCCAAATCAGTCTCTCTTGCAGCCAGGCAGGCACAGGGTCTGGACTCTCTCAAACAGCTGCATTCCTAAGAGCTTCCTATGATTCAGAAGTTAAGCAAGGTGCGGAAACAGGCTTTTGGAGAAGCATGGTGTTTTGTTGGTGCAGAAGGATGCAAAAACCTGTGGCCTTGAAGGGAGCAGCTGTTCCCCACCGGCAGTGGTGACAGCAGTCTCCTCACTACTGTATTGGGTGGGGCGCCTCAGCAATCCATCATGGGGGTTTCCTTATCAGGCCAGTTCAGTGTGGTTCTGAGCTTCATTCCTGAAAGCTTAGCCTGCAGCCACCTCTTCGGTACTCTCCACAAGTCCCTGAACTATGCAGTATCTTAATGTTCCTTTTGTGCTTAGTCAGAGTCAGCTTCTATAGGTCAGATCTAAGAACCCTGATGGATAAAGACCTCCCTGCTCCAAACTCTCCAGTGGCTTCCTACATATTCTAGAATGTGTCCATTCTCTGTTCAGCTAAAGGCTCTTCTTTATCTGGGATATACCCACTCAGTCCTCACTTGGACACAATGAGCCACCCTGGTACTGCCACTCATCTTGTTTGCCAAGAATGACCCCCATTGGCACAGCAATCCTCCTTTATGCACCCCAAACCCAGTACTGCTCTTACCCCTATCCTAAACAAGACACTTCTTAGGCTCCACTGTAAGAGATGACCCACTAAACTGAGATCTCCATGGGTGGGAATGTGCCTCTCTAGTGTCTGTGTCTCCAGCACTTAGGATGGTGCACAAAGTAGGTGATGGGTACCTGCGAATGAATGAACCTTAGGATGTGGACAAGTACTGCCACCTACTGGGAGGAGCTTGATTCAACTCAAAATTTTTGGGGACAATGACAATCATATAAAGATGAAACTGGATGATAGTCTCTCCCTCATCTAAGTCATCATGGGCAGCACTGCCAGACCTTCTATGGTGGCCAGCCTCCCAGATGGTCTCCAGTGATTCCTGCCTCTGGGTATTCATTTCTTTGGGCTGATTCCCAAGGTATACATACCTTGGGTTGATCCACATCTAAGGATTGCTTCTTGACCAACAGACTACGACAGAAGTGCTCGGAGGTGACTTCTGAGGCTAGAAATAAACAGCACGGTGGCTTCTGCCTTGGTCTTTCTCGGCTCTCTTGCTGAGGGAAGCCATATACCATGTCATGGGGACATTCAAGTAGCCCCATGGGTAGTCCATAGAGTGAACACCGAGGCCTCTTGCCGACTGCCATGCGAGTAGCCACCTTGGAGGCAGACTCTCCTCCGGAGTCAAGACCTCAGATAAATGCACCTTAGCCTACATCGTGTCTGTAACCCCAGAGACAGAAACAGAACCACCAGCCCAGCTCACCGTGCCCCAAGTCCTAACCGATAACCGAACCCGTGGGACAGTAAATGTTTTGGGGGGACTGTCATGCAGTCACAGCTTCCGAGTGCCTCGTCCGCGCTCGCTCACTGACCACCCGCGGTTTCACATTGTGCCGTCACCAAGGAAACTGCCAGGGCCGGGGGCCACCCAAGGCTTTTCAGAGCAGAAGCCGCTAGAAGTGGGCGCCCAGGGAAAATGGGGTAAAACCCTGGCCCACGCGGGGCTCGGGGAGTGGCGCGCGGCACCGCCCGCTGCATCCTCCCCGGCACCCCTGTGGTCCAGGAACACCTGGAAGGCGGCGGTGTAGACGCCGCCGGTCGCAGGGCAGCCGCGCCACCCGCGCGCCGCGCGCATAATCTACGCCTGCGCGTCGCCCTCCGCGCGCCCCCAGGCGGCGCCGTCGAGCACCGAGTCATCGATCGCAAGTTTCCCGGCGGCCTGGCCGGGCGCCGACGCCAGCGGCCCGCCGGGGGTGGGCTCCAGGGGGCGCCCTCAGCCCGGGGGCGGAGCGCTCCAGTTCCGGGCGGCCGCCGCGGCGGGCCTCCCCCCCGAATCACCTCAGCCCCCGCCCCGGGCTGCGGAAGTCGCTGGTCCCGGGCCGCCGCCGCCGTCGCCTCGGGCCCAGGCCCCTGGCCCGCCGCCGCCATGAAGCTGCGCGTCCGCCTCCAGAAGCGGACGGGGCCGCTGGAGATGCCGGAGGCCGCGCCGACGCTGGGGCAGCTGCGCGCGCGCCTGGGCCAGGCCCTGCTGCCCACCTGGGGGTACAGGTAGGCGGCCGCCTCGGGGCTCGGCGGCCGGGGGCGCGGGCCCGCCGCGGGGTCACGTGAGGCCGGGCGGGGCCGGGGCGCGGCGGGGCCCGCGCCCGGGACTGTGACGCGCGCGGCGGGCAGCGGCGGCAGCGCGGGGGGCCCGGCGCGCGGGGAGCATGGCCTGGCGTCCTGGGGACCCCGATCCCCTCCAGGGTGAGCCGTCGCCCCGTTTTTGCCGCCCGCCTGCCCCGGGCTGGGCTGCAAATCCTCGCGCCCCTGCACTTGTCAAGTTGGAAATGGACGAGCTTGGCCGGGTCCTACCTTTCCGGGCGCTTGGGGGGGAAGCCCCCCCATCCCCCGCGGTCGGGGGGACTTCGGCGGAAAAGTTGGGAAAGGATTAGAGGTGTCAGAGCTTGGCCCTCCGGCCGGTGCCACCTGTAACTGCGGCTGCTGCGAGGCTGCGCTCGCGCGGCTGAGTGTTCAGGTGCCCGCGCCGTGGGAGCGCCGGGCTTACCTGCAGAGTTTCTCCAAGTGCAGGCGGGTTTCTAATTATTTTGTATTTTCCTGGGTGGCAGGTTGCGCCTTTTTTCTTTTTTTTTTGCAGTGGTGGTTGGTGCTCAAACTAAGTAGACGTGGGCCTTGAGATGACAGAGCTTGCGGTTTGGGGAGAGTGACCTGGGAAATAAAGGATCAGATTCTGTTATTTAGGGGCCCAGGTGAAGCTGCTTTGTCTCCACGCAGTGTTTTGTGGCAGCAGCAAGCAAGGAATAGAGGGGAAAAGTAAGGGTGGGCCTCATCAAAGGCTGAGCTAGCGAGTTTGAAGCTTAGGAGCGTGCTTGAGAATACATGCAGGGCATTTTAGGTGAATTCTTCAAAGGAAAATCTTTCTGTTAAGTAGTTCCTCTTATAAGGCTTATTCACTTTAATTTTAGGAAACTCAGTAAAAGGAGACCTTTAAAAGATTATATTAGGTGACACGTCTGTTTTTTTTCTTAGTGTAAAACCTAAGTATTTTGCATGCTGGACTCCTTACCCCACACGTTTTCTCTTTTAAAGATATTTCCGTACGTATATATGAAATAATATACATGTGTTATAGGAAGGGCAGTCTTGAAAAGATGTGAAACCTAATATGACTCTTTGTTTACCCAAGAGCCCAAGTTCGCTTCACTTTCAGGTTTGTTTTTACAGTGAGGTTGCTTAACTCAGGAATAATAGTTTCAGTTTTTGAAAGTAAATTCATTCTTTGGAAAATAAGTTCATTTTATAAGTGGGTGATTAAAAAGTGTCCAGCTGGCATTATTTTTAAAGTGCTTTTACTGAGTTGAGATAACCATAAGAGATTCTTTGAAAGACTGGAGATTTCTAGGCTGGCATTTCTTGAGGAACTTAAGTTTTGTTTTCACAATTTTGGAAATTAGCCATTTTTTAACTCTTCTCCTGGAAGACCAGGTACTACTAAACTGTTCCCTTTTTCTAACAGGGGACCAAATGCTGACATTTTTATTTAATAGACAATTCTTTACCTTTTCTACAAATAGGTCTCTGAATGAACATTACAGTAGATACCGTTAAACAAACAGCCTTTTGATATGACAAAGATCCATAAACACACAGTTCATTTGAGGTGTTTTTCTTTTTTCTGCCAAAGTTTGGATGTTTTTTATTCTGGGCAACTGGCAGATTTCCAACATTTTATTTATGGAAGAATTTGAAGACAGAAGCATAGCCATTTATTTTCTAATAAACAGGAATCGTTTCTAAAATTCCAGTAATTTCTCTGCCAAAGACAATTTAAGTGGTAAGAAAAAATGTATTTAATTGAAAGAAAAGCATCAATTATTTTGAACACTTACGAAAATGCTATACTGTTAAGGAAGAATAAAAAAAAATCTCAGAAAATTAATGAAATCAGCATCACTGAGTGTAAGTATCTTATAAACTGTTCTGTAATCTACAACCTAGGGATTCAGTGATAAGAGTAAATAATTTTGATAGTTTCCCAAAACTCTAACTTCATATTTGTGTTTTGTTTTCATTAGTTAGTATTTCTAGGGTCATACCATATGCATTAATATATGTACCAAATGTTTTATTGGGGGGAATGGTGATAGGTAGCTCTTACTATCCTTATCCATCTTTCTTGGCAGTTCTGATACCCGGTTTGCAATTACATTGAACAACAAGGATGCCCTCACTGGAGATGAAGAAACCTTGGCTTCATATGGGATTGTTTCTGGGGACTTGATATGTTTGATTCTTGAAGATGCCATTCCAGCACCTAACTTACCTTCATCCACAGATTCAGAGCATTCCTCACTCCAGAATAATGACCAACCCTCTTTGGCCGCCAGCTCCATTCAGCCCAGCACACAGCATGAACTATCGAGTGATTCAGTCCAAGAACAGGCAACCCAGTCCGATGTCTGGAATGATGACAGTATGGTGAGTATTAAAGAGGAAATAGGGTGTTTTATAAATCATACAAACACCTGGATTCAATTTTGTATCAATCGGGATAATTATCATTAGTAGATTGCAGATTATATGCTTCTATAAAGTTTTTTAAACTGCTAAATCCTGGGCTGGTATTCCAAAGAACCCAGTTTTCACTTGTTTTGTTCAGACATTTACTTTTCAGATATCAATAAATTATCCCTGGGCTTATGTTGTTGCCTTGAAGCTCATGAGTCTCTGCTTTGCTTCTCTGGTCTACTCTGTTAAGGCTGTATATCCTTCCATTATTTCCAAATGATTTATAGGACATTTGTCCTTGGATTTTAATGTTGTTACCTCAGATTATATGTGCCACCATCAATTTGAAAATAAGTGCAACGATGTCCTTTTCTTCCCAGGTCAGCTACCCCTTTGTCAGTGGCACTGCTGTTTTCCTGCATTAAGACCTTGGGATGATTTTTGACTCTTTCTCCAACCTCTTAACAAGCCCTGTTTGTTTTTTCCTTCCATTCTAGGCTCCCAGAATCTGTTCTTCAGCCTGTTTTCTAGGTTCATATTTTTGATCATGTTAGTCCCTTGCTTTTTAATAATTGTGTCATAGATACAGCTGTGTTCACAATTTTTGAATGAAAAAGACTAAATATCTGTAGTTCAACCCTGTCCTGTTACAGAGGAAGAAAAGGCTGCCTGTCCTGCTATACCTGGTTTTTAAGGCTTTCAGAGAAGTTGCCCCACCCAACCTTTCCAGGGCTAGTTTCTGTTCTGCCCTTCTGTAAACTGTAAACCAGACGCCTCATTTTCCCTTCACTAGCCAAGTGCGCTCACACGCTTGCATATACACATGCACACCGCCGCGCCTCCTGTCTAGATCCCTCCCGACCCATTCCCAAGCCCTGCCAGCCAGAGCCCAGTATTTATTCTTTATTGCCTTATGAACATCTATTTATTTTTCTGCCTTTTCATTTCTTGGATAGCACATATGACCACTTGTATTACTTAATTTCTTAGTACTGATATTTATGCTGTCTAGTTGATTGTGTTGTATGTGTATACTTACTTACCACCCCAACTTAACTTTTTATGAGTATAAGTATTCATTGTGCCCTCTGTGACATTAAGTGTACACAGATAATGGAAAATGAACAGATTGGTTTAACAGATCTGTTTTAATAGATTGGTAAATTATGAAAAATATTTATGTTCAGATTTTTAGTCATAGTGTCTGGAGTGATTAAGCGTTATTATATAAGAATTATTCTAAAGGATTAATTTTTATAAAGTTCAAAGTATTTTTTATTTTTTATTTTTTGGAAATTATTATGGATGTCCATATTCTGGTCTTATAGAGGTAATTTGGGGAATGAGTAAGAATATTTAGTCACATATATAAATTATATTTCAATTTTTTTTTTTTTTTTTTTTTTTTTTGCTGATATCTCATTCAAAGATTCTGGTAGAAGGGCCCATTCTTTTACTTTGTTAAAATTGTCCCATAAGATAGAGCTTTTCATCAGATATGTGAATTACTTTATTAGTGTCCCTTTGGAAAATTTTGAGAAATGAACACTGCCTAAAGTTAGTAATTTCAGTTCTAAAAGCAGGTTTTGTTTTCTAAGACTTGTATAGGGTGACTGTAAAATCTAAGTGTGGAAACTGAGCTTGACATCTCATAAATAATGCCTTAAACACTGGAAACACTATGATCTGCCAGTTAAATGTAGAATGCAGTATTAGAAAAGAAAACTGGATGGATAAAATGTAAAATAATAGGAAAGTTTACTCTTGCATCTAAGTATAAATTAATTTTCTTATTTCATTCTCTTTGGAAATTCATCTAATACTTGTTGAGTCTTTAATGGGGTGCAGGGAATACATGGTATCAGATCCTCAGATTAGCTCTAAACTGCTTTTTAGTTACTTGTTCCAGTCTTAATAAATGACAGATCTGGTCAGTGAAAGGTGATGCTGAACTTTCCTCCCCCATTTTCACACGCATGAAGGGTATGATAAATAGTCATATCTTATCAGAACCACTCAGAAAATGTCAGTGGATCTCATGGAGGGGGAGTAAGGTTTGACAAGCTCACCAGGGGATTCTGATATTGCCCTCCCATGTCATTATCAATTTGGGGTAACCCTTTAAAATATTTTTTCTACATATATTCATGCTTTCCCGCACAACTGTCAGTAAGTAGTAAATGCACAAAGAAAGCAAAGAGCTTCCATGTGTTTCATAGTTTAACTAGATATTAAGTTTTTTTTTTTTTTTTTAACACAGTGGTTTCTATTTACTCAAACATATGAGGGCACCTCCTTTTTAGATAGTGTAAATTGTCAGTGGCTTCTGGGTTTTAACAAGTGAATTTGGTGGTGTTCCACAGCCCATCCTGGGGTATGGCCTTGGATTTTGGAAGAATAGCCTCTTGTTCCCTTACATCTTCTACCCTTTCATTCATACTACAGGACTTTAATTTCCTCTACTCCTTATTTAATGGAAATACGAACTTAAAAAGAAACATGTGCTTTGCATTTAGAGTTGAACACATGCCTAGGAAACAAACTTTCTGAGCAAAATTAATATAGGTAACTTAGTCTTACTGAAGCAGTGTATTATGTCTAAAAGCCCTGAACTCAGCGAGTCTGGAAATCTGGGGTTATTTCAGAATTACCTGACAACCTGGATTGTGTTACTTAATCAGTGTCATTTACGTATTTATAAAAAGCATATACCAATTTACAGAATTGGTATATAGTGCAAAGGAGAAATTACTGAAAATGAAAACATTATGAAATTATAAGGTATTATCTGTCAGTATTTGTTCAAGAATTTATTGAGTACCTACTATGTGCCAGGTAATATATTTGGGTTACAAAAAAATGGATGACCTGTAGTCTTTTCCTTTCTTTTTTTTTTTTTTTAATAGAGGCATGTTTTATTTATTTATTTGTTTGTTTGTTTTGTTTATACATGCACTGGGTACAGTCAGAAGCGCGGGAGGGTGAGAGAATTCACCAGAGCCAGAGCGGGGAGCACAGCAGGCAGAAGGACCGAAGTACACTGCTGAGGGGAGCAGCGGGCGGCAGGAGAGGTCTGCGCGCCAGACCTGTGGGACCCTCCTCTGGTGGCCGGGGAGCAGCCGGGGATCGAACCGGCGCCGCCGAGGCTGCGGGCAGCTTCACAACCTTGCGCTCAACCGCTGCGCCACCGGGGAGGCCCAGTCTTTTCCTTTCTAAACTAGAGGTCATGGTAGGATGTAGGTGTGTAGTCAGAGAATTGAATGCACTATAATAAAGCACAGCAATCAAAGCCTTTGCAGAGTGGAGGTCTGTATTGCCTCTGTTATGAGGCGGAGAATACTGGAGTGGGCAGGAGGCACTGGCAGAAAGTGAATTTGATACAGTGTCAGGGATCAGGTAATAAAGGAGCTGGTATGTTACGGAGTCTAGGAGCTTGGACTTTATTTGTAGGCCTGCATTTCTCAGCATGTCCTCTGTGAATAACCTGTTTCATGAAATTATAAGTAAGTGTTATGGGGATGCTGAGTGTTGAGGAAGGAGGATAGTGTTTCTTGATTAAGTGTTATGCACAGCTATTATTATTAAACTTCTCAGAGCTTTGTAATGCCAATAATGTATTTTGTGAATATAAAGAGTGAGGTTAGGTGGCTATAGCATGTGGCATTTTAAAAACTTGATAGCAGACCGCTGTTTCCCCTAAAAACATTTAGGGTCACACTCCAAGGCACAATTTGGGGAAATGGTACTATCTGCATTGGGGAAATACTGGCAAGTTTTAAGCTGGGACATAGGGCATCACTGGAGTCTTAATTATTAAGAAACTGGCAGCAGTGGGTAGAATCTTTCTTGGAAGACAAGAAAGAGGAGTAAGTATAACTAGAGAGGATATTGCTGGAAGTCAGGAGATAAATGAGTCTGAGGTACCAACGGAGTAGGAATAGGCAGATTTGAGAGAGATTTAGGAGATACAGTCAGTGGAACTTCATGAGCAATCAGGTTGAGGGTGGGACTTAGTAAGGTGGTGGGAGAATTCTAGTCCAGGTTTTAGACTTGTCAGCCAAAATTAATAGAGATCAGGGATTCAGGATGGAAGACTAGATTGCAGGCTCACTTATTTAGGAGGGCTTACTTACAATATGTCCCATTTTTGAACCCAGTAATGTATTTTGACATTGAGCCCTAATCTCACTTCTCTTTAGGAGTCAGTTTATACTGTGCACAAATAAAAGATTATGTAAGTAATAAAAGATTAAAACTTACTGTTTTTGTGACCCTTTTCAGCCAGGGCCTAGTCAAAATTTTGAAGCTGAGTCAATTCAAGACGTGGTGGATATGGAAGAGGGCACAGGCGTCTACCCCTCAGAACCAATGCTCTGCAGTGAGTCGGTGGAAGGGCAGGTGCCACATTCACTAGAGATCCTGTATCAGTCGGCTGACTGCTCTGATTCCAATGATGCCTTGATAGTGTTGATACATCTTCTGATGTTGGAGTCGGGTTACATACCTCAGGTGAGTACTCCAAGCTGCCAACACACTCCTTGTTGGGGTGTAAGTTTCCCATGGTGGCGGAGGTGGGGGAGGGTGTACCAACAAGCACCTCCAGGCTGCTGTGGTACTCTAGATTTCTTTGTCAAAATTTTATTAATAGTAATATTAATGACTTGAAAAATTGTACTAAGGGAATGCTTGTTTCTAGATAAGTTGGGGGCCTCTTGAACTTTTAATCTTTTTGATAGTAACATTTTTCTTCATAATTTGTTCCCCTTTAATTTCCTTCCCCAGGGAACTGAAGCCAAAGCTGTGTCCATGCCAGAGAATTGGAAGTCGGGCGGAGTGTATAAGCTGCAGTACACACATCCTCTCTGCGAGGACGGCTCTGCCGCTCTCACCTGTGTGCCTTTGGGAAACCTCATTGTCATAAATGGTAACTGGAGGGAATAGTCGTGGTCATCAGTTTATGAATACTTGTATTTCTATCGAAGTATTTTATAGCCATTTCACTGATGGGTTAGTATGATATAGATGATACAGTTATGAGTGTCTCCCAACTTTATTTTATCCCTAGACCACTGATGACATGAGTCTGGAAGATTCTAGAACCCCAGGGTTGATGTTTAGACTAGCTGCCTTCACTCTTGGGGCAGCCATACTCTTTTACTGTCTTAACATTGTGACTTTTTTTTTGCCCCAGTGGAGTTGTGATAATAGGAGTAGGTGAGTTACTACATATAGACTCTTTGAAGAATACTTTTTCTTTATGCCTGAGGTTGACTTTTTAATTTTTTTAACGAAGGTCTTAGAACTGGGAGACTATGAGCTGAGTTCGCTTTTTAACGAGTTTGGCATCTGTGAGCACTGCTGGAGGTTTCGATATATGTGTTTCATCGCCCAAGAAAGTCACTGCATAGTTTTTCTTTTTTTAGTTCTCTTCACATTAAGAAACTTCACTGAGATAGCAGTACATTCCATCTTTGCATTTCAGTTCAGCTCAGCTGCCACCCCAAAGTCCATACCAGCTGCTAGCAGTCTATGGAGTAGTCTCAAAACTACAATCTGGAGGTCCAGAATAGTGACGAAGATCTTTCATTTTCTGTTTTGGATTTTTGAGGTTTATCCTCTAAATAAGATAGTAGGGTAAGGCTAGGATGACTGTATATTGTCTTTTTTAGTACAGCCCATCTGTGTAGCAGAGACAGTCACTCTGACATGCCTTAGCTCAGTTTTCAGTATGTTTTGCAGCTACTAGCTTAGGAGGAGGCTTAATAGAACCCCCAACACCACTTAAACCTTGAGTAGCAACATGTTTGTTTTAGTTATTGAGATTTTTTTTATCATAAGATTTTGTTTGAGAAGTGATTTTTCTGCTGAAAATATATATATATATATATATATTTTAAAGATTTATTTATTTATTTATACAAGCACTGGGTACAGTCAGAAGCTCGGGAGGGTGAGAGGATTCACCAGAGCAGGGAACAGAGCAGGTAGATTGACGAAGAAACACACTGCTGAGGGGAGCAGCGGGCGGCAGGAGAGGTCTATGCGCCATGTGGGACCCTCCTCTGGTGGAGGGGGAGCAGCCGGGGATCAAACTGGTGCTGCAGAGGCTGCAGGCAGCTTCACAACCCAGCGCTCAACCGCTGCGCCACCGGGGAGGCCCTAAAATATATTTTAAAGGTCACTGTCTTAACACTGTCTGGATCCTTGAAGTAAAAGATAGTTCTGTATCCCTTACTACATCATTGCTGCTTTTTAAATCACTGTATTTCTTGAAATGTTATTTAAAAGTTTCAGAATTCCAACTTTAACAGCTCTGGTGGTGGTCCACGTTTGTCAGGACATGGCTTTCCGAGGGCGTTAGGCCCTGGCATTATCTCTTCGGCTCATCACAGTTAGCACATGTCACTTTAGTTGGGTGCCTTAGACACAAAGGGTGTCTAATCAGTAATCATACAGCAGGATCTTTTGATTTGTAAATGTAAAGTTACCAAATAGTAAATGTGAGGTTGTACTTTTTGCCTCAGTTTCTTATAATTGCACTTTACCAACATGGTATGATAATTTAAAGATACTTAACAGAAAGTGAATAGGTGCTGAGTGTCTCTATGATGTCCTAAAATTTCTTACTTTGTTTCTTTACTATTCTTGGCAAATCAGCTGCTTGCACACGTCTGTGGCAGACAAGCAGACCCGAGTCTTTGGTAAGGAGCAGTTATGTCCTTAAATCTTTCCTTCACCAGAGACATCCTGCTCACGCACATAAGCACATCACTCGCTCTGCAGGGGACTGAGATGAAGCGCTCTTTGTAGATAGGACTAAAATTGAACTCTCTGGTGATACTGAGAATATTTGTCCTTTGGTCTAGAGAGGAGATGATGCTGTCCAAACTAGCAGGATTCTTTTAACAACATGGGAAGTCTCATTGCCAAGGTTAAAAAGTACATGGAATTTTTGGTGACCTTGTTAGAAATAATGATTTTATTGTGTTTAACTTTCTCCTACTAACCTTGTTGCATATCTTTTGAACACTGATCGGTGCTGTTGGTAATACTGAGTGGATTTGATGTAAAGGTGCTTACCGAAGTTCTTCAAGGTGGTGCTTTGGAGTGACTTTACTTCATTGAATGGCAGGTTTACACTTTGGACTTCACTCTGAAGGAAGGAAATAGGCATTTGAGCAGTTTTGTATAATGTGTCCTTTATCTATTGGGGCAAGGAAATGCAAGCCTATACAAAAACAAAATGTAGACAACTGATAAAGTGACAAGATTTTTTGATCATCATTCTTTTGGTTTTTACAGCTACACTAAAAATCAATAATGAGATTAGAAGTGTGAAAAGATTGCAGCTGCTGCCAGAATCTTTTATTTGCAAAGAGGAACCAGGTAATATAACAGTGATTTAACTTTGGGGATGAAGCTTTGAGAGGGTCACTTAAAAAAAATCTGAAAGGTAATATTCAAAAGGCTGAAAATTTCTGCATGAGAGTAAAGCAAGTGGTGGGCATTGTTGCAGAGTTTCTGTTATTTGTAGGGCCTTGGGGTGCTGCATTATTAGGCATATTGCCGCCATGGAATGCCAGTAGTATGCAGTCCAGCACATGGGGATGATGCTTTAGCTCCTGAATTAATCTTTCTGTGGATCTTTCTAGCAATGTATTTGACCCATTTGGATTGGAACTGTTTTGTAATTGTGCAGTGCAACTTCATTACTGAAAATTATTGGAGGAAAACTGCACTCAGAGTGTATGCTTAAATTGATGTAAATTTGGTTGCTATTTGATGCAGATTGGAATTTTACCAAGTTTGCATTATAGGCATGATTTTGCTTATATGCTCTTAAATTATTGCTACAAAGACAGAGTGTTCCTTTTTATTTTTTCAGTTAAACTTAGCTGAGAGGCAGGTTAGTAGTCGAAAGAGAAGAGATGGGGTGGAGAGGAGCTAATATCTTTTAAATGGCTGTTTTGTGGACATGGGCCTTAGTGAACATTACTTTATTTCATCCTTATAGTAAGTAAGCTGAGGGGTTTTAAAACCCATATAGAGTGGTGTGGTATGGCAGAGATGATATTTACAGTAATGTATTTTAAGGGAAGGCTGTATAGGTCTAGATCTTTGCTTTGAAGACCTAGGGACTTGTTCTTGTTACTTCCCAGTCAAGATCAAGTCCTGAGAGACTGGCTTTCTCTAACTAAAACTGATAGGAAAAGGAGACCAGTGTTCCTTAACTTATTTACCCCCCATTATCAATCCTCTAAGGAGCCTTTCTACACATTCCCCCCATTACTCTCTCCCAGGAGATTTTTCATGCCATTGGTATTGTGTATTTATGTACTATGGCCCTTTGGAAAGTCATAAACCAATTTAATAGGATTTTTTTTTTTTGCCCTTCAAGAGCCAGTTTTGCCACGTGGGGGCGTTTGTTGAGAATGCATTATAGATGAATACAACCTGTAAAGATGGTCTTACCATTAGGACCAGAAAATCATGAAATCCTTGGCTGCAGCACTGCATGTTGACCTCCATACTACTGGGGAGGACCTTGCTGTGGGGGGTAGAAATACTCTATAGCAGTGGAGATTACTGTGCCCATTTTATAGATCAGGAAACAGGTCAAGAGGAGGTGACTGACTTCAGGAACACAGAGGTAATAATGGTGGAATTTAGAGTATATTTGACTCGTAAGCATATTTTAAAAAACTTTGATAGGAATTAGCTCAGATTCATACTTTCTATCTAGTTTCTGTTAAAGAAAAAGGAAGTGAAAGGGAAGGAGGAAAGTTAATATTGTTATAAGTTTATGGACTATTTTAATTGAATATTTTTAATACAAGACTTTTATGTTGGGTAGGAGTATGCTGCCGAAGTTTAACAAGTTTAATTTTTACTGCAGCTTATAGTACTTAGTATGTACTAGATAATATTATACATCCTTTTACTTAACTTTCAAATTTCTGATGTTCTTTTTTTTTATCAACGGTATATCATTTTATATCCTTGTTTTTTCATGATAAGGGTTTTATTCCCTCAGGTGTGGTTACCATAGTTTTCCTACCATCAAAGCACCCACAGTCTAACCCTTTTATTTGTAAGCTCCTTGCTACTTTATATATGTAATAGGTCACTGAAGGAAAAAAGTAGCTTAAAGAAAATCAGTTTTTGCACTTGAAAAAAAGACCATGAACCACACTGATTTTTAAAACACCTTCACAGAGCAAGCATAAACTGAGTACCTCTCTACCTGTATGCTAGGCACTGTGTGCAGAGCTTTAAATTTAACCACTTTGGTGTAGTGATGGTGTCTTCTTTAAACAGGTAAGCAAACAGGTGCAGCTCAGAAGGTTCAAGGTAATACACTTGGTCAAAATAGCAGAACTGTGGGGGTGACCTCTGCTGTTTGACAGTGCTTCTCACATAGCGATGTACAGGTGAGGCATCTGGGGCTATATAAATGCAGGTTCTGATCAGGACGCCCAAGAGTCAGTATTTCTAAACAGTTCCAGGTGATGTCCTTTCTAGTGATCACTGGCCATACTTTGAGTAGGGGGTAAAATCATTGCTTTGGATCCAGACAGAATTAGCACATACCCTGTCCTGCTGCTGATGGTTCTCTCCACCTTGTCCTGTGTTTAAAATGGGGGTTGTACTGTGTATCTCATGATTACAGGGGAGTGACTAATTTGAAAGAAAATTTGAAAAATGCTTGACACAGTTACTGGTACATGGGCCTTACGTGATAAATACTGTTACTATCCTATTAGCCTTCGGCCCCCACAAAAGAAGTTAGTCCCCCACTGTATCCCTGGCGCCCAGAACAGTAGATACTCGTTCAATCTTTGTGTGTATGGCGCTCATACAACAGTTTCCCTTGTGTAATGTAGCCTATGAGCTGTGTAGGTCGGTGCAGCTCTGGTCTTTTGATATCCTGGGATTTTCAGCTTTGCACTTGAGGGTCAGTCTTCAGAGTCCGTGTGCTTCCTCCTCCTCTAGGGACTTTGGTTCATGTCTGTGTAGGAACCGTGACGATTTATTACCGCTTTGCTTTGGTTTGGCAGAAGTAGAGGGCACCATTGCAAATTTTTCCACTTGATTTTGTGTTTTGATTTTTCATTAAAAATATTCCAGGGGAAAATGTAGCCAAGATATACAAAGATCTTCAGAAGCTTTCTCGCCTCTTCAAAGACCAACTGGTGTATCCTCTTTTGGCTTTTACCCGACAAGGTGAGCGTTGATAAATCATCTCAGGTTGAGTAGCTAGAAAAAAAACAGTAAGTTTACATACCATGCTTGTCTCTGACATAGGACTTGCTGCTTTTCTCCTAGTGAAATTCCACTCTTTTAAGACTAAGTTTAAATGTTAATTTATTAAATGTTACTCGTTTCCTCTGTCTTTCCATGGCATTTTGTACATATCTTTATGCTAGCCCCTTTTCCACTATATTGTTTATATGATGTCTTTCCACCTGAGGCTAAGAATATTTTGAAAGTAGGAAATATATCTTATTCACCTTTGTATTTTCATGGCCCACTGCAGGGTCTGTATAGATGTTCAATAAACACGTGGGGAAGTGTAATTACAGGGTAGAGAGTGGTTGAGAATTATAATTTACAACAATATTTTAGCTGTTCAGTAATTTCAGACTTAGACAAAGAGACGTGGTTTTATTTGCTATTTGTATGTAGAACAATATTTTAGGTCTCAGATTGCATGTTGCCAAGGCTGTTAGTACCATAGTTTTCTTCTTCAGTTGATGGTGAGGGAAAGGTATAAAATGAATTTTAAAACCCTTTATTGGATTTTGATTATCTTAGCTAACGGACAGTAGTATCACAGGTATTCCCGAGGGACTAATAATCAAAACACAATTTTCATTTGACTTAGAATATATCCTTCTTTGTTTTGCTTTGCTTCTGAATTTATCTATATCCCTCTTTTTTTCCAGTGTAGTAAACATCAAATGATAGTAATTGCTGACATAAGAGTGCTGTTATTTAGAAACTGTGATCTTTATTTATTTGATGTGTATTAAAAGTGTGTATTCCCACTAAGACATAACAGGAATAAGGGACTTAGACTTAATGGTAGTCTGGTCACGCTGGGATTAAAAAGTTGATGTCGCTGAAGTATATGCGGATTGAGACCACCACCTATTCATCGCCTCTTTAGAAAGGGAGGAAATGGTAACTTCTCTTTACTCTGTGGGGAGAGCTGGGTGCTCTCGGTGATCCCGTGTTTTTCCTTTTAGCTCTGAACCTCCCAGATGTGTTTGGGTTGGTCGTCCTTCCTCTGGAGCTGAAGCTGCGCATCTTCCGACTCCTGGACGTCCGTTCCGTCCTGGCTTTGTCTGCGGTCTGTCGAGATCTCTTTATCGCTTCAAATGACCAACTCCTGTGGAGGTGTTTATATCTGCGGGATTTTCGAGGTGATTTCCAAGATAACATGTTAATGTGAAAAAAACTCTTTCTTACTGAGATCTTCATTACTCAACTTGCCAAACTTAGTCTTTTTTTTCTTGTGAGTTGCAGAGAATCATAACAGTATCACCTTACTGTAAAGCAGATCTAAGCTTTATATGCCTTTCCCCATGTCTTGAAAACTCCCATTCTTTTTTGTGTTTTCTGAAACACAAATTGCCCGTTAGACTAAGTTGACTATTTCAAGATAAAAAAATGGAAGCAAAACACGTTTATTCTCTCTTTAGATCACCCTCGGTATCTGACCTGGAGATCCACCGCATTCCTAACTTGCCACTAGAGGCAGAGGCCACACCCAGATGAGGTTGGGGCAAAGAGGTAGTGTGGGCCAGTCAGTGCTGGGAGAGGGGACCACACTTTCCTCTGTGTCCCTGAGGGAATCACTTGAGTGAATTAGCCACGGAGCACAGAATGGTGTGGTTGCCCTCAGCTGTCAGGAGAGATTTGAGTTAGGTTCTGGAATGTGCAGATGATATCATATCTGTTAAATGATTCATGTTCCGTTTTGTGTTTAATGAGTAAGCTTCAGTTTCCTTAGGGACAAGAACAGAGCCTCTGCTTAATGCCAGATGAATGAACTGTTTTAAAATCTTGTTTTTTGTTTTTACTTTGTAGATGGAACTGCCAGAGTTCGAGAGACAGATTGGAAAGAAGTAGGTACTATCAAGGCGAATATTCAATAGTCACAGCATTAGAAGTAACTGATGGATTAATACATTAAGGGCTTATTTTTACTTTTATTATGGTAGAGTGAGATTTGTTTATATTTATAGCTGTTTTTCAGTAAAGGAAAATGTTTTCAACTTTTTATACTCAATCCTTATTTTCTTGTAACTATACAAGGAAAAATAATCTTAACAAGATGATTGTCTTTCACCTTCACTTAAAACATTCTTCCTTCTGTTAGAAAAAAATTTCTAAATGAATTATATTTGTACCAGAGTAGTCTTCCTCATGTATGACGATTGGTCATGTTTTACCTGCAGATGACCACTGTGAAAGACATTGCTAGCACTCAGGATGACTTTGCATAAAGTACTAGTGGGAAAAAAACCAACGACAATGAAAGTCTCAAACATGTACAAAAGCCCGGTACTGTTCTTTAGACTATATCCCATCCTCTAGAATGGGCATCATTTGTTGTTATTTTATTGAGGAAAGAAAAAAAAATGAAAGAGAGATGCCTGCATAGACACAGACAGGCCATCTTAAAAGACAAGAACTGCCTGTTTAAATTGAGACCCACCATGGACATAACGAAAAAGTAAATTTAAGTGCTCACCTTAACTATATTTTGTGTGATATTCAATAAATATAAGGAATTTACACTTTCAAGAAAGACTGACCTACTATTGCTTATCAGCTCGAGAGCTCTAGAGTGCATGTCAGAATAGAAAGTACCTGTCTCTCATTTATCCCTCTTTTGGATTTCTTTTTCCTTCAAACCAGCACAGCAGCTCCGTCGCAGTGTGGTTAAAGAACGGGGCTCCTCTGGCATTGTTTGCAGAGCGGCTGCTGTCCTCATGCACATAGAAACTGCTGAGAGTTCTTCTCTGTGCACCGGCTTATCTGCCTAGACGCGTGGGAAAGGGAAAGCGTAGGTCTAGACAACAAAAGCCAACTTAGAATTTAAGGAAAACATCCAGGTTGCTAATTTCTTGTTTTTCTACAGCTGTACAGGAAGAGGCACAAGCAAAGAAAGGAAGCTCAGCGGGGACGACACGTGATGTTCCTGCCATCGTCGCCTCACCCCATTCCATTCTACCCCAACCCCTTGCACCCCAGGCCCTTTCCCCCCAGTTCTCTGCTTCCTCCAGGAATTATTGGTGGTGAATATGATGAAAGAATAATACTTCCCTATGTTGGGGACCCAATCAACTCACTCATACCTGGGCCTGGGGGGACACCTGGCCAGTTCCCCCCACTCAGACCACGTTTTGATCCAATTGGCCCACTTCCCGGACCTAACCCCATCTTGCCGGGGCGAGGTGGCCCCAATGACAGATTTCCCCTAAGACCCGGCAGGGGTCGGCCAACTGACAGCCGCTTACCGTTCATGTGATTGATTTGTAATCTCACTTCTGGAGCTTTTCTGGTTTTGTTTTTTAAAAACTGCAGCTGTCATCTCATTGGGGTGCTGTTCTCTAGTGTTTTCTAATGGCGTGGAGAGAAATGCACTCATAGAAACCTTTCAGTAGATCCATGTACAGCTCCAGGGGTGGGGTGGCCCCGGTGTCTGCATGCCAGGGTTGGCCTCGGGGGTAGTTGGCTACTCACTCCCTACTCTAATTCCCCGTTGTTCACGGATAATATTCTATACCAGATTAAAAAAAAAAAAAACATTCATGGCAGTCTTGACTTTTATTACAGAAGATGTGAAATGAATTTCAGAACAGCTTCACAACATTACTTGGACATTTCAGAATTATCAGAGAACGTATTCATTGTCATCAGATTGTTGCGGGGGATTATTTTTACTGTTTGGTGGCACCCTTTCGTCAAAGGAAATCGCTTCAGAAGCCTGACATAAATGAATAAAAGCAGAGCTAGTTGGGTTGAACGGGGCTCTGCAGCTCTTTCTCATGCTCCAGGGTGGAACCTACTAGGTCCTGAAGCAGTGCTATTTGACAACCATTGGGTTACAGAACTCTCGCTTCTGCTGCTTCTGGAGAGGAGTTGGATCATTTCTCCTTGTGTTTTGAACACCTGGTGCCTAATCCATAATCTGAGGAGATGACATCTTTTAACCAAGTTCTGCTTTGCATGCTGGTCAGGCACTTGTTCTTCAAAGATAACCTCTTATTATTTGAAGAACATTTGTTTTGAAGACTTAAAATGTCCAAAAATCAAGATTTATTTTTCCTACAAGAAAAAGGCCAAACACAAATACCTCATACAAACAACTGTAGAAACATGCTATAGTGACAAATTAAAATCCAAATTACAACACGGGAATAAAAGGCTATTAGTATTTGCAGAAAATATTGAGGACTATTGCCAATGTCTTCCTGCTTCTTAAAAATGTTTTGCATATAAGGAAATGGCTTGGAATGTTATGTGCTGCAAGAATATTTTGAGTCCTTCCTACATGTGAAAATTTTTTTTTTGCTACACAGATTTTTTTTTTCCATCACAGTGAAGAAAATTCAATCAATAATGTGATTTTCCAGAGCCATGTTGCCTTTTAGTAGCTTAATGTACAAGTAAAGGATTAGGACTGTTGATACTTCCTTCTGTGGCGTTTTGTGGTATCTGAGCAATAGGACAGTTTTTGAAAAACTGTCCACTGGATGCCATATGGCTTTTATTGGGGCTGGACTGAAAAGAGCCACCCTGAAGCTTTGATGGGTTGAAATACATCCTAGTTCTCCAATACACCTCCATGTGGCCTTAGAAGTTTGGGTTGTACCGGGTGGGGGGCGCATGTGGTGGGGGTGGAGCACACAGTGATAACTAGAAGCACCAAATACTATAAAACAATGAGTTTTCAAGATGCAGTCCTTTCCGAAGGGTCCCTGGGGGGTCCATGGCGGTGCTGGTGTCACGCAGGTGCTGCCTTCCCACCGGACCTCGGACTCTGCCATTTATCACAGACCTCCTAGTTCAGGGCATTGGCGGGGTGCCAGACACCTAAATTGGCAGTCCTCTCGCAGCAGCTCATCTACAGTCTTAAAACAACCCTCCAAACTTTTCCTCTTGAATAGCTAATTTATAGTTAGAAGCTTATAAAACCCTCCATTCGTTCCGTGACGCAGACTGCAGCGTTATATATATTGCTGGTGTGTAATGACGGCGGATCATGGTGGGCAGCAGCCCGTTCACTGTGGCTTTCTGACACCACTGATTTATTGTGATGGAGGCAAGATGGCCGAGAGCCTGGGGAGCATGGTAGCATGAGGTGGTTCGGGACCATTGGCCTGTTAACGACTTCCCGTGGCTCCTTCCTTCCCCTTTGAGTTAGTTTTATTAACTGGATCTTGCTCTTTTTCACTCCCTTCCCTGCTTATAAATGAAACGGGCTTAGCATGCCTGTTGCAAATCAAATCATGGGAGAGATCCTCTCTTTCCAACTTAAAGTTTTGTGATCTGGTAAAAAAACAGTTGAATTGTATCCTTCCTCAGCAATGGCTGACTCTATTCCTGAGATCACTACCTAGCTTAATGCTGCTGTTGTCTGATGGAGCTGACACCCCTCCCTTCATTGCCCGTACGAGGGGTCCAGCCCAAGCTGCACCTTTCTCCAACCCTGCACAGTAGCTGCGGAGGACACAGCCTCAGACCCCAGATCTCTGCTGTGCTGTAGAAACATGCTATAGTGACACATTAAAATCCTAATCACAACACGGGAATAAAATGCTATTAGTATTTGCAGAAAATATCGAGGACTATTGCCAGTGTCTTCCTGCTTCTTAAAAATGTTTTGCATATAAGGAAATGGCTTGGAATGTCATGTTAACATTCTGGTTAACACCCTTCCATTAATTTCCAGTTCACTGAAGGAGACATGGAGTCGATAAGACTCCTGGGAAGTCCTAGGTAACTCACACAAAGGTTTAAGCATGACTAACATCTCTTGGGATTCCCCAACACAACACTGAAGTTTCTATTTCAGAGGAAAGCAGGGGAAATGTTCATTGAGACCCCAAGATAATGTTATCTCTTGCTCTCGACTACCAATGCAAGGCCAGAGAGAGAAAATACTTAAAATGCAAAGTTTGGAAACTGAAAAGTGAGAATCAGAATAAACAGAAGGTATTTAGGATTTTAAAGAACCCACATACCTTGTAGAAGGAATGTTCAGTATTAGATTGGTTTTCCCTTAAAGGGATGCCTCTCTACTTTCAAAGAGCACTTGCAGGCCATTGTCATCGTTTCCTCCAGCCTGCCCGTTGAGAGAGCTCTGAAGACACAGCCCGAGTGTCCAGCCTCATCTCTTTCGGCTGCATGTTGTGTCTACGGAAACAAGACGCCTCTGTCCCCTCTGTGCACCCTGTGTGGTTAATGGGCCGATTGGACTTCCCTGGAGCCCGGCGTTCCAATTTGCCTCCAGCCAAACCCATGCTAACAGGGTCTAAATATTAGCCTAAAACTGTGCATTTAATCAGGGACCGCTTAGGACTTAAGGCCAGCTTCTGACACTTGTCTGCAGGTGGTAAATGACCTGCTTGCTCTCTGGGGTAAAGCAAGCATGTAATACACAGGAACGTGCCCTCAGGCTGTTTCTCCACAGAATTACATTCCCACGGCCCCTGCAAGGCTGACCGAGGACGCGTCACCCGTGACTCCAACCTGCATCTCTCCTAAACACACAAAACGAGCCCCTGTCCTGCCAGCAGATGGACAAAGGAGAGTCTTAGAGCCCTCCGTGGCTTTTCAGGCATGAATGCCCTTTCTACACCAATTGTTGTGGGGCAAGCCCGCAGGCTGGTAAAGCAGGAGGGCTGGCGGGGCAGGGGGAGGGGACCGCAAATCTTACTCTTTTTCTCTGGGCTCTCTCTGGCGTTCTCCCATGGCCGCTTCCTCTCGTAGTAGCCGTTGCCTGTCCTCTCAGAGCCATTCCGCCATAGCTGTTCTCATGGCTGAGTGACGCCGCCCTTATGGAGCCTCCGCCTCCAGGCTCAGGTGTGCCCACTTACGCCTGCCTGCACCGTGATCCAGGTGTCCACAATCAGGGAGCCCTGCGCCTGCCTCCCAAGCGTCTCCTGCATTCAGGGCTGCAGGTGATGCCACAGAGGCCAGTGATGTCAAAGCCTGACCCATTTCACTTACCCTACGGTTGCCAACCTGTTGTGTGAAATTGCACAAAGCACAAGATCCCAGTCTGCTCGCCAGCGCTGGGGGGACAGGGCTCTGAAGTGACACCGCAGTGGGAGGACGCAGCTGGGGCTCTGCAGTGGTCTATCTCAGGGTGTGTGGTCTGGGAGGGGATCCATCGTGCTGTCTGCCCCCTGCACCCTCTCACCTGGGCTGACAATGGCACCTCACCTCTTCCGCCCCAGCCCTGCAGTCAACTCACCATGAGGGAGGGTCCATCACCTGCCCTTGTCCCCATTCTGCTTTGCTCCCGTCCCTTTTCAGACTCAGGTTAGTGGAAAAACTGCCATCGACTTTCTTCAGCTTCTATATTTCACTAACCTCTCTGTTGGTTTTATTTCCTGGGCAAGGAAATTTGTCACATTGATGCTCTTGGAAAAACAGCTTTTGTCCTCAATCTAAACACTACTCACATTTTAGCAACTTCATAGTTTTCTAAGAAGGCCAACCTGAAACATGCCTGCACTCCTACTGTGTGCCAAGGCTCTCTCTGCTTCCCTTACACAGCATCCCTGGCAGCTCCAGGCCAGCCTAGTTTGCATGACATGGGTTGAGCAAAAATAAGGGAGGGGAGTCCCCAGCAGAGCAAGCCCCAACAAGCTGGCAGGGACTGCCCTGGAGACATTGAGCCAGCAGGGCACAGAGATGGAGTAAGAGTGGTGGTTTTGGGGATCTGGAAAGAATACTGAGCCCTCCCCTCACACAGTGCCCATCATATTCACTGCCAATCCTAGTCAATGCCAATCAGGCCCCATGAGGTCTCCAGCTGTGCCCCATGGTCACTGGCAACTGAACCCATTTGACCTTTCTTATGCCAGGGTGGCCATGTTCTACTAAGTCCAAGACCAGAGGTCTGAACAGAGGAGAAAGAGGTGTTCTTGCTCTTAGTACTTATCTGATCACGAGGGAGGGAGGAGGGCAAGGTAGAGTCCGACAATCCTAATGGCCACGTGACTCTCTGACAGCCAAGTGCAAAGCCAGAACTTTGGAATCTGAGCCAGCTTCTAGCCAATCATCTGTGGGGAAACCAGCTTAAAGGTAGGCTCTTCTGAGGGCAAGGATGCTGGGTGACCCAGTGCAAAGGAGAGGGTCTCTGACCTCACCTTCACCACACCCATCTGACGTTGGAGGACCTAAGAGATGGTGACTACTGTTATGTCCTGGGAACCTGGACAAATCTCAGCTGATTACCAAGGGATCCAGATCTCTCGGGCCTTGGAAGCTGCACCAGACCAAGTACACTTTGATTCTTGCCTCCCTTGTTTCCCAGTGAACAGAGGGCAAGACATGCCTCAAACCACCAAGTGGTGGTGAGGGGATGGAATAGCTGTGTCCCAACACCCTGCTCTTTTGGGACCAAGAGGTGGTTGTGGCACCTGCAATGTGTCTAGCACCAGGTGCGCAGTGATTCAGGTCACCCTTGTACCCCATCTGATCACGGAGGAAGTCTGCTTGGCGCGGAAGAGCCCCTGAAAGGGAGTCAACACTGACCTATCTAGCGCTGCAGTTAACTGTCAAGTCAATTAAGTTTGGATTCAACCAGGTTAAAGCCAATTTCTTTACCGTGGGAATTTCAAGAGGATTTGCCATGGGAAGTGCGTTACCAATCTCAAAAGAAGAAACCAAAGCAGTGTTTCCTACACACATTTGACCATGGGGTCCTTTTGTAACTGGATAACCACTGCCTTGTGCAGGGTTTGTGTCCACCTGCTGACCTCCTCTGGCTCCCCCTATGGGCTGGAAGAGGAAACGCGCCTGATGGGAATCGTCCAGTGCACAGGCCGGGCGGAGCAGCCCTACGCTGGCGCCTTCCTGGGGAAGTTCAGGTCCTGGTCCTCCTCTTTATGATTCCTGCAAGGACTCAGGTCGGTTCTTGGCAGTCCAATTTAGGGTCATGCTCAGGGCATGGGGGCGTCGTGAGGATCTCCCTGTTTCCATGTCACACCTGTTCTGGTTCCTGATGTCCTCAACTTGCCATGGTGGCCAGATGTGATGGGCCTCTGCCGGCCTGGCCTGCGGGGTGTTCTCTGGGGTCTGGATGGAACTGGCCATGGTAGGTGCTTCTCTTACGTTTGCCAAACACGTCCAAAGAGTATTGCCTCCTGGACTCTGAGGTCTGACCACAGTGTCTGCAGTTGATGGAGGTGGGGTATGGCTGACACGGCCCCTTTGCCAGAAACGAGCAAAACACTAAGAAAGGTGAGGACTGGCCACGCACAGCATCTCACTGGAATATCTGAGGCAGGGAAGCAAGCATTCGGGAAGGCAGGGTGGCAGACACCGTCTTCACGGCCCCCACGAGTCAGACAGCGCCACAGGTCAGGGTAAAAGGAAGTGGGGACAAGTAGAGGAGTCAGTTTCTGGAGCAGAGGCATTCAGACTGTCCTCAGGCCCTCCGTTCTGTTCCCACCTGGAACTGAAGCTGAGAAGATGAGGCGGGAGAGGCCAGGGTAGCGGGGCGCCCCCATCCCTGCCCCCAGCCAGTGGGGGGGGCTGGACGAGCTAGTCAGAGAACAGGCTGGCGAAGGACTTCCTCAGGTTGCGGATGGTCTCGGCCTTGGCCTCGTCCTCACTTGGGACCCCACGCTGGGAAGTGTCAGATGTGCTGAGGCTGTTAGTCAGGGACTGGGATTTGCTGAAACAGAAAGGCAACGGGAGTTGAGACTTGAGGACTGGGCTCCTGAGGAAATGAGTCGGGGGCTTCCCTGGAAGCCTGCTGGCTGAGCCCCATCCCCACCAGGATCCTCAGACGGCCCCTGCATTTACAGGATGGGGGCACATCTCACATGGTGGCACCTGTAGTGGGTCCCAGCATCCTCTTGTTTAGAGGTACAGGCATTGGAGCAGCTGAGGCTCATGGTCTGCTAAGCCAGGCTGCTCAGATGGCGGGGTCACTGGAGAGGGGCCTGGCCGTTCTCCCACCCACTGCACAAACCTGTCCAGAGCTCAGGAAATCAGGAGGCCTGAGTGCTAGCTCCTCTCCCCTCTCCTCCACCTCCTTTAGCCTCACCTGTCAAAGGAAGGTGTGGTAGAGCCCACCCTCTGGCCTCCTGTAAGCACTAACATTCTGGGCTTCAATTCCTGCCTCTTCCCTGAAGACTTTAGAGGCCCAGCCCCTAGTGGGAATCTCACCAGGCCAGCTGTGAGGGCAGTGTGGCAGCCTGCAGCAGCCATTTTGTACTGCCTAGGGCTGGGTGATGGGTGCAGGCCCTGCCCTCAAGGGGCTCACAGTCTACTAGAGGCGACAGACGTAGGAAGAAGTGATGTGGCCAGTCGCAAGCTTACTAGTCTGCTCATGGTTGTCGTCATTAGAAAAATCTGAAACCCTCCTCTTCAAAGCAAGGAGTTTTTACCCTTGCTAATTCTCCACAGGTGTGCAAACTCAGTCTCACCCTTGCAGTAACCCTGTGGGGTAAGTCCTGTTTTGCAAGTGAGGCTATTGAAGCACAGAGAGGTTAAGTAATTTTACTGAAGTTGTGCAGCTTCTAATTAGAAGAGCTGAGATTTCAACCCAGGTCGTCTGACTTTGGAGTCTGTGCTGTGAACCACTGTGCCCTATTTCCTGGAAGGCCACTTGCTAAGATCTATCAAAATATAAATGCATTTACCTTCTGATCTAACTATACCATTTCTATAGCTGATCCTGCACAAGTAGGAAACAACATAAGTAAGAAACAACTTATGTTCATTGCAGCCTTCTTTGTGAGGCTGTTACAAAGACCATGTTTTCATGGTGGATTCATTATGGTACAATAAAACAGTGGAATACTATATAGCTATGAAGAGAACGCTTCAATGAAATGAATGGAAGAGTTCCACAACTTGTTAAATGTCAAAAGCAAGGAGCAGGATGGTGTGAAGAATGAATACTACCATTTGTGTTAAAAAGTGGGGGAAGGAATTAGAATATAGTTTTGCATTTGTATAAGGAAATGCTGGAGGAACATACGAGGAACTAACAAAAGTGGTCACCTTTGGGGAGAGCAGGGCAGCGAAGCACTGAAGAGAATGAGGTGGGAGTTACGTTTTGCAATGTATACCTTTGATATTACTGATAACTTAGATGTCTGAACATGTGAATATATCACCTACTCAAAGAACCTTCTGGCTAGCATGATCTGTGGACTGGATGTCTTCTGTTCAAAATCCTGCCTCTTCTACTTAGTATACACTAGGCAGATGACAACATGCTAGCTGGGAAAGTCTGGTTTTCAATATTAGCACTGGAATTGAAGGAAGAGAAAAAGAAAGCACATTTGGGATTTCTCCTTCTGACCTCAATCCAAGAGGTGAGTGGAAAGAGAATATGTGTGTACCATGAAGGCTGTTTACAAAAATGCTGCAACAATTCCTCCAGTTCCATAGACTAGCCTTTTGCAATGTGATTTTTTGGGTCCTCCCCTGCAGAGTCTATTTCCCTCTGTCTTAAGTCTGGGTTTGGCTATGTGACTTGATCCTAACCAAAAGTATGTGATGGAATGAAACAACATTGTGTGACTTGTATGACTTGACCTCTAGAGGCTTTGAAGTGTCTACTTCTACTCTCCTTCTACCCTTTAGGAATGTAAGTCTACCACATTCAATGGATGAGGCCCAGTAATAGCCAACACTAACAACCAAATGCGTGTGTTGGCGCTCTTGGGTCATCCAGTCCGGTTAAGCTGCCAGGTGATTGTAGTTATGAGTAATTCTGTAGGACTAGATTGCTAGATTTTATAAATAAAAATGCAACACACCCAGTAACATCTGTACTTCAGATGACACATACTTTTTTAGTGTAAGTATATCCCATGCAATATTTGAGGGTGTAGTTTTACTCAAAATTATTCACTGTTTAATCAATTCCAAAGAACACCTGCACCCCTATGTTTATAGTAGCACTATTTACAATAGCTAAGCTTTGGAAACAGCCCAAATGCCCAAAAATAGATGACTGGATCTAGAAGATGTGGTACATATATACCATGGAATATTACTCAGCATTCAAAAAAGATAAACACATGCAATTTGCAGCAACATGGATGGCGCTGGAAGGGATCATGCTCAGTGAAATAAGCCAGAAAGAACAAGAAAAATACCGGATGGTCTCACGCATAGCAGGAATCTAGAAAACTTAAATATGGGACCAGGAAAATGAATAACTCTAAGAAAGTGAAAATCAAAATCAACAAAAAACTATGAACCACAGACACTTTTTGGGGGGTGGGAGGCGGGAGGGGAGGGATTGGGGTCAGAATGGGGGGGTTGCAATTGTATGGGGGAATATAAAAATAAAATTTATTATTTAAAAAAAAATAAAATTCCAAAAAAAAAATTATTCACTGTTTATCTGAAATTCACATCTAATTGGCTATCCTGTGTTTTATCTGGCCACTGCATGGGAGAGAGCAGGAGAAGAACCTCCCACCTGAGCCAAATTAGAACAAATTGTTGAACCAAAAAGTTGTAAACAAAGAAGATGACTCCTTAAGCCACTGTTTTAGAATGGCTTGTTATGCAGCAGGAGATAACTGATGCAAGCACATGTACATGGGGAATCCTGGTGGAACATCACCTATATTCTCACCTTGCTGGGTCCTGTCTGCTGTCCACGTTCCATCCTTGAGGCCTGTTTCTACCTATTTAGAGTCTGGGTGAGGTCTGCTGGGTCTTACTTTGTCTCTGAGTCCCTGACCCCGAATCAGCCCAGCTCCCTCCGTACCCCAGCTCCACCCAGTAGCTTTCCCAACTCCCACAGCACTTACTTGAGTTGGGGGTGGGGTGGTGCTGGCTTCTTGGACTCCTCACCCTGTTGGGAGGTGCTGCGGCCTTGCATTGGGGGCCGGGGCTGTGAGGTGAGGGTGGTGGCCTGCTTGGAGGCCTGATTTGGAGAGCTGCCGCCGGATGCCCGGGACAGCTGGGGAGAGCCTGGGGATCTCTGCTGCTGTGGAGATCCAGAAGAGGGGCTCAAAGGCTGCTGGCCTTGAGGGGAGAGCCTCTGTTGAGAGGGGCTTCCAGATCTTGGGGCCTGAGGAGACTGAGCTTGGCGAGGGCCCCCTGCAGGATAAAACATTATCACATTCAAATTCCTCTTAGGACAAATTTGGTATATAAATGTCACTTTAAGGATGTTCATTACAGTGTTTGTTTATAACAGCGTAAAAGTGAGAACAATATAAATGTCTAAACTTAGGGGATCTAATTAGGACCATTAAGATACTTTCCTATCATGGAAGATGCTGTGGCATGATGTGGCAGAATAATATTAAATGGCAAGGGATATTGTTGATAATATATGCTGAAATATCTATATGTTAAATATATCTTACACATATATAGCATCTGTGATATATGCTAAATATATACAGCTATATATTAAAGGGCAGCTTATAAAACAGTCCAGATGGTTTTATTTCATTATGGCATGAATGTATAAAGTTAAAAAAAAAAAGTCTGGATGGTCATGCACTAAAGCCAGCATGTCTCCACTTTCATGTGCATGTGAATCACTGGGGGATCTTGTTAAAGATTCTGATACAGCAGGTCTGGCTGGTGTTATCAACTGACTTGTATCCCCTTCTGACTTCCAAATTTGCTTGTTGAAGTCCTAACCCCCAATGTGAGCGTATTTGGAGACACCCTTAAAGGAGTAGGTATTCTCAAACGAGGTCAAAAGGTGGGGCCCTAATCCACTAGGACCATGTCCTTGTAAGAAGAGACACCAGGGGCTGTGCACACACGGAGGAAAGGCCATGAAGACACAGCGGGAAAGAGTTCTCTGCAACCACAGAGATAAATTTCCCCAGAAACAGACCCTGCTGTCACCTTGATCTTGGACTTCCAGCCTCCAAAACAGTGGGAAAATAAGTCCGCTGTTGGATCCCCCAGACCGTGCTATTTTGCTACTGAAGCCTAACATGTAGCAAGGTAACAGGCCTGGGCAGCTTTCCGCCTGCCTGTGACTATGCAGGTAACTCTCTTTTCCTTTCTCTTTTCCTAATAAACCTGTCCTTTTTTTTTTTTTTTTTAAGATTTATTTATTTATACAAGCACTGGGTACAGTCAGAAGCGCAGGAGGGTGAGAGGATTCACCAGAGACAGAGCGGGAAACAGAACAGCAGACTGATAAAGTACACTGCTGAGGGGAGCAGCGGGCAGCAGGAGAGGTCTGTGTGCCATGTGGGACCCTTTCAGGGGCCGGGGATCTAACTGGCACTGTAGAGGCTGCAGGCAGCTTTGCAGCCCAGCGCTCAACCGCTGCGCCACCAGGGGAGGCCCTAAAACTGTCCTTTTAAAATGTAATAATGGAGGGCCTCCTCTGGTGGCTCAGCGGTTGAGCGCTGGGCTGCGAAGCTTCCTGCAGCCTCTGCAGCGCCGGTTTGATCCCCAGCCACGGTGCGCGGGTCCCACATGGCGCACAGACTCCTGCCACACCCGCTGCTCCCCTCAGCAGTATATTTCATCAGTCTGTCTGTTCTGCTCCCCGCTCTGGCTCTGGTGAATTCTCTCACCCTCCCGCGCTTCTGACTATGCCCAGTGCTTGTATAAATAAATAAATAAATCTTTTAAAAAAATGTAATAATGGAAATGGTAGTTGATGCCTAAGTGGGCCTGGGATTCTGCATTGCCAACAGCTCCCAGGTGAGGCAAAGCATGGCTGGTGCTCACCATACCTCGGAGTGGGGGCACTAACCATGACTACACACTGGTGGGCTTCCACTTATGTTCTCTTCTTATTGCTCATGGATGTTTTCCACACTGAAGATGCTCGTTTGTCACGTAACTAGCCCTCAACCACCCTCCACCCCCTTCCCAGCTCCTGCCCCCACTTTCTAAGTCAGATCAAGCTATAGCACTAATGTAGGAACTGGCTTTGCTCACGACTTGAATTCATTCTCTACCTCTACCATGATCATATGTCCCCTACATTGGACGATTAATCTCAAATCTAAACATCTACAGGACCAGGGAGGTACATGAATAAATAAAACAGGTGAGTGTCAGAAAAGTCATGTGGGTTTAATGTTATACCACTTGACATAAAAATGTTCAGAGAAACATTTCTCTGAAGAAGCGCAAGAGCAAAGAAAATAGCAACTGACACTGTGCCACTGTGGAAGTGACAATGGGGAGGAGTAGAGTCTGAGGCAAAGGAAGGAGTCGCTTCCCTGTCCAAGGAAGAAGTTGTTGCTAAATGTCGGTAAACAGTTGTCATGGAGGAAAATCAGCCCACTGTATTGAGAGTTTCTGCTCTTTCAAGAGAAGCTAGAAATCTACATATTTATGTAAAAGCTCCTGATTTTTCAATGTAGGTTTACTTTGCTTTTTAAACCCATTGCAGGTCAGTGAAAACATCTGTTTTCTAATTTCATCTCGTCTCCCTGCCCTAGTCCCTCTACTTCCCAGAGTGGATAATATCATAGAAACCTGGATAATTTCTTTCTCATTCACTTTTTAACTATTTGTTGAGTCCCTATTATACAGCTGGGATTTATCGGGAGATACTCTAGTTATTTCTCTCTTGGCAAAGCAAAGCAAACAATTCAGTACTTTTTTTCACTTGAACACATATAAAAATCTTATCTGTATATCTTCTTGTGTATGTGAGAGAGAGAGAGAGTATGTGTGTATGTGTGTGTAGTATTTGCCTAAATACAGGATTGGTGCTAAAAAAAGATCCAGTTTATTAAAAGAAAACTTCACTTTTATGGAGACAAACATGATCCGTGAGTTAAAAATTCAGTGAATAATGTGACTTGTTAGTTTAGAAACTCAAGGAAAGCACTGTTTTTAAATTGGTTTTTAATTTTTAATCGGAATGTTAATTCAACAGGCATGGTATGCTCATTAATTATCTTAATTGGCTTAAATCTGTTGTTTTTCAACTCCCTGAGAGTGTGTTGAGTCTTGTATCCCTTAAAATAATCTCTCTTTATCAAGCATGTCTCTACTCTGGACCAGAGAGCAAAGCAGAATACAGTAGCTCTCTGTTTTAAAAATGCTCTGTTCAAATGTATTTAAAAAAGCCAGTCCTCTGGCAGTGTGCGAAAGGACAGGGCAGGGCGAGGCACAGCCAGGAGCCTGGTAGGGTGAGGAATTAGTCATTTTGAACAGTTATATTATTATTGCCAGGCAGAAGGGCAGTGGGCTAAATGAGTTATATGGATTGTGAAGGATCTCACTCATTAAGAACATGTGTAACTGTTAATGAGACAAGTTATTAATAGGAAGCTACTAACAGTATGAGTTACATAATGTAATTAACATAAATTAGAAGGACTAAGAACTAACACCTGTGTGCAACACCTCCATGCAGGACACCTTCCTAACTACACATCTCAAGGGCAGCTCCCGGTAACTAGCAGAGCAGCTGTTATTTCCCCCCGAAGAGTTGGGGGACACCCAGGCTGGGAGGATTGAGGTGGCAAGGCTCACGCTGCAGGGGGACGCAGCCTGGGATCTGGATTCAAACGCACACTCTCTGCCCGAAGAAGAACCCCAGTGTTCATTGATACACAGTGGTCCAAGTCGGGCTATTTCCTCTTTCTCAAATGCTTTCTGCTGTCCCCCTAAGAGAGGCGCAGACCAGAAAGATGAATGGGTGGTTTTATGGAAGCCTGTGCAAGCGGAAGCGTGCAGAGCCCAAGGCTGATTTTCCCAAGAAGCGATGAATCTGTAACTTGTGTAAAAGGGAAGGGGAAGACCACATGGTGATAGGGCTGCTTTCTCTCAGGTGGGTTTTTAAAGCCCATCCCCAAAAGGTCGCCGTGAAACTGCCTGGCCTGGTTTCTTGCAGCAAATCCCCCTGAAGCACCAGGCTGTCCCCCGAGGGCTGAGCAGGCCAGAGGGACACAGGCATTCCCCAACCAGCGTGTGAGCGCCCCCAACACCCGCCCATGTTCCCAGAGGGATCACGATTTCTTTTCATCTGCGTGTCCACAGTCTGTCCATTCCTGAGCAAGTGGCGTCTACATAGCAGTGCTACAGTATTTATTTATTTTTTTGAGGAAGAACTTCAGTCAACAAGGTTATATATAACAGGCTGTTTTTCCTTCTCACTCTAGTTGGTGGGCTCATAAATGTATAATCAGGCACCAGCAGTGGCAAAGGAGCAGAACTTTCTAGAAGATCTGAAAGGCCCTATTTGTAAATCGGCCATTTTCTTGTTGGGCATCCTCGAGCAAGGCCTCAAGGGCCACCTGTGTTAAAAAGGAGTTTTCGAAGCAGGGATTTTTCACTCTAGAGCGATTGGGAAGCTGGAACGAGACAACAGATGGGAAAGCCCTTCTGATGCACGTTCACTGGCGTCCCCCGCCTTCCTGACTTCGAGGGGCTGACAAGCCTCAAGTCCCCGGCAACCTGTGTTGAGCGAGTGCACGTTCCACGGATAAAGTACTAAGGTGGAAATTTCTAGAATGCTTCCAGGACGTCACAAGGGACGCCTACATGCCTTTCCACACCCTGACCGGGCGGTTCCCAGTGGCTGTGGGGGTCCTACCTTGCGTGGGTGGACGCGGCTGCGATTGTCCCAGGGGAGGCCCTGGGGATTTTGCTGGCTTGCTCTGGGGCGCCTAGAACAGAAGGGAACAGCAGCCTCGTGATCGTCACGGCCATTTACCGCCTGGGTGTGAAAGTCTTTTTGTTACTGATGTAAGCTCACGTAGGGTACACAGACCTGACATGACAGTGAAGTTCACATGCTTGCACATCCGGTAACCACCCCCAGGGTCAGGCCAGAACATTCCCAGGGAGCAGACATCTCCCCGCCCCGCCCCCCACACCCCGCTGCAACTCCCTCAAGTACAGCGATCATTGGGACGGCTATTATCAGACACTATTTTTGTGGGGGAAAGGGCTGGGGGTGCAGGTTTCAAGCTTGGCTTTCCAGGAAGCTGGGGAGCTGGTCCATTCTTTGGAGAATGAGCTGGTAAGCCACGGTGAGGCTTGTGGAGGGGAAGAGCTGTGGGGAGCTTGGCGAGGTTGGGGCTTGGGGAAGTGGAAGACACAATTGTATTGACTGGTGGCCTGGAGACACACACAGGACACGTGTGTACACACATGTGCGCTCGCAACATGCACAAGCTCCCCTCTCAGGGATGGAGGGGCCTGGCCGGGACAACTGACGTCACATGTAGAATCTGCAGACACCCTGTGCCGGTTGAGACAAGGTTTTCTCCGGGATGGAGGAGGGGGACAGGCCCTGCAGGGAACCTCCCTGACTCACCCCTCAGGAGTGGAGGTGGGGAGGGAAGGGGGCAGAAGCTCTCCCCTTGTCCAGTCTTGGTCCACACTCCATCCCTTGCTTCCCTAGGTGGTGCCCTCCTGGGAGCTATCTCCTTTGGACCCAGGGACTCCCAATTCCCAGAAACGCCAGAATTTCTCATAACTAAAAACGTCCTTTGTTTCCAAGGACCTTACCCAAGGTCTCAGGGGTGAGGGCACTGTACCCCCTGGCATCAGGAGTTGGCTCATTTTGGAGATAACAAGGTCGGCCATCAACTGTCTGTCCTCTTCCACGTGCTCTCCGATCAGGGGCATTGAGCTGTCCATCACCTGTGGGACAGAAAGGAAGCCTGAGGGACCCCCAGGCGCGGGGAGCCAGGCCACTGGGCTGCACACCCCAGGAGGGCGCGCTCAGCGCTCAGAAGAGACCACTAGATGGTGATGTTCTCCACGGAAACCGGCAGCTCAGCTGGGCGGGACCCCAGGCAGACACCCTGCGGCCTGCAGTTCAGTCTAAATCAACCGGCTGGATTCAGTTCAATCCAGCCCACGTTGGGGACTACAGAAATGTGACCGAGGCCTGGGGCATCTTTGCTGACCTTTTCTGCTCTTTTCTTTATGGAGCCTGCATCCACCCCCTCCTTTCCCACCTTGGCCCCAGCCCAGGCTTGGGGTTGGCCTTCTCAACTTTAACCCAAGGTCAAGGCTTTCCATAAAGCTGAAAACAGTGAAGGTGGGGGCTCAGTTATGACAGAGAAAAAAATAGATGTGGATTGGGGTTGACCCAGGTTTCAGAGAGAAGAAGGCCTGTGCTCCAGGGCTCTGGCAGAACATGTGCCCGGAGACACAGTCCCCAGGGTGTTCAGGAGGCACAGGGCTCATGACAAGGGGCCTCCGAGGCCCAGAAAAGGGAGGGGGCTCCTCCAAAATCACACAGGTCCCCCCCATCCAGTGACCCACCAGCCCCAGGCAGCTATGGAAAGTCTTGAGGGGGAGCGAGGCCTCTCCTCCTCCACTGTGGAATCTAGCCCTTCACCCTCTCTGCCCCCATCGAACTCACGGTCTTACTCCCTCTCTTCACAAACTCTGTACCTGCCAGGTTCCTGTTCCCACTGGGGTCCTTCTGCACGTCAGTCCCTCTGCTCACTCTTTACCAGTCTGACTGCTCCTCCATCCGGGAATTCCTAGCTCGCTCTCTGAGGGCGGCCCTCATCTGTTTTCCCCTGTCCTCACTTAGTTGTCCCATTGGCCAGCTCACCCCACAGCCGTCACCTCCTATTTACTTGTATCTTCCCAACCAGGACCCCTGAGGTCCTTGGGCCTGTTAAACAGGTGTGCCCTCAATAACTACCTGTGGATGGAGGCGTGAGAAGTCCTGGCTGTGAGTCCTGCCCAGACAGGACACTGGTACGAGCTGCATTTTACTGAGCACTTAGTGTGCCCCAGGTGCTGTTCTGAGCTCTGGGTGTGGAAGGACTCACACAAGCTCAGGAGCACACTTGAGGCAGGTGCAACTATTGGCCGCATCATAACGATGAGGAAGCGGAGGGTCAATGAAGTAGCAAGTTCAAGGACATGTCGCGTTATCAGCAGACTGGTTCTCACTAGGCCCCGAGACAGCTCTCTGTGGTAGGAACCGGGAACAGGAACCTGAGGCTCCGGTCCTCAGCTCTGCTGGGGCAGGCTGTGCGATCTCGGGCAGGACACTTGATCTCTACGCCTACTGTTTTCCTCAACTGTGAGCTCATTTTGGAGAAAACTCAAGGATGTGAATGCAGATTCCAGGTTCTGAAAACTGTCCTCAAACTGAGCTCCTGATGGGTTGGCCTGGGTCCTTGGTACCTGGGTTCCAGTGCCTGGCACACGGGCCATCTCTCAGCCTGGACTGAGTTGAATTCTAACTCTGGAGCCTGTCTACACGTATACAGGCCTGTCCTTGTTCCCCCTGGCCCTGTCCACCCTTTATGTTCTGGTTTCTGTTCCCTCTGCTCCCCGTGGAGGAAAACAGCCACCACAAGGAACCTGAGGTCAGAGTGTTTTGGGATCCCCACGGTGGACACAGCCAAAGGAAGTGGACATTCTGGTCTCTCCTGGGAAACATTTTTTCCAGTGAGCAACATCATTCCCTGGACAGGTCATGGAGGACAAGTTCAAGGGTCTTTCCCCTGAGTATTTTCCTGTGAGGATCTTCACAAAACATGTCACACAAATTTTATGTTCTCAGCCCCGAGGTGGCTGAAGAAACCAGGATTTTTGGATCTCATCTGTCTTTTTTTCCAAGCCGGGGAAAAATACCTTTTATATTCCCGGTAACAAGTTCCCCTTGACCTTCCTCCAAACCCCAAAGCAAGGGAAACAACTCTGTAATGTTTCTGAGAGAAAAAACAACAATCTAAAAGGCCGTCTTTTTTTTTTTTTCCAGAACATTTTCGAGAGGTTATTTTCTTGTTTTTTTTTTTTTTTTTTTTGAAGTCCAAACCCCCTAATTTTGCTTTTTTTTTTTTTTTTTTTTAATGTGCAAAGTCTTTCATTTCTGACCCTCTGAAAGTCTGGGCCCATGGGTGAGAGTGAAAGTTGAGGAAATTCAGGGAGCAGGAGCTCTTGGGAACAGGGGGAGGGGAGCCCTCACTGCCGACTGTGGGGTGGGGGTCAGCAGGATTGCTGGTCACTTCTCTGGATAGAAGCTCTGGAAGCAGGGTTCTTGCCAGTGTCCACTGCCGCACCCCCATACCTGGCTCAGGATCGGGCGCCCATTTAAGGGTCCCGTAGTGGAGGATGAGTGACTGTGTGAGTGCCCAGCGGAGCTCATGTCTGGTGGTCCCATGAGGCAGGAGGGCCGGGGGTTCTCGGGAGTGCAGTGCCCCAGGCAGAAAGCGCTCGGTCCCCCTTGGTCTCAAGCTCCCGGGGCTCCTCAGGAAGGTGGGGAACAAGTTCCCCCAGGGAGTAGCCTGGCTCAGAAGGGAGTGTGCAGGCCTCACAGCCCCTCCCCAGCTTTCATGGTCTCCTGTGAGAAGGAGCTACTGGGGAGTTTCAGGTATGGCAGCAGCCGGAAGGAAGTGACTCCGGGCTTGAAGGAGAGCCGTTGTCCAGAGCAGGACTGAAACCTCAGAGATAGGCGCAGCTCTTCCGAGGGCGCTTCCTGGCCTTTCTGGGGTGGTAGAGGAACCGTGATCTTCCCAGCTTGCTGGGCACAGGTGGGAAGGCCCTCTTGGCATGGCTGGTGGAGACCCAGGGTCCTGCCCACTGAGTCCCCTGGTCCTGCCGCGCTGTGGGGCCAGGACACGCAGGACTGAGGACGGGCTGGCCTCTGTGATCACCCCAGCCATGTGCTTCCCGCTAGCCACCCATGGCCAGGGGGTGGGGGTGATGGGAGGGCAGCAGGTTCTCCTCTTCTGTCTAGGCCTTGGGTGGGCACTGCCCCTGTGCTGTGGCTTGAGGAGCAGGCATGGAGGGGAGCACTGAACTGGCTCTGGGGTGTGTGGGCTAGGAGATGTGAGGCTGGGAAGAAGGGAGGGCTCTGAGGCCAGGGGAAAGGAGTAGAGAGCCAAGAGCTGTGCTGGTGGCAGCAGGGCAGGGAGTTGAGGAGGGAGAGATGGACGGTGGGCCAGGAGATGGACGGTGGGCCGGGAGATGGACGGTGGGCCGGGAGAGACAGGGAGGAGCTGGGGGGGAGGGAGGGGATTGTGGGATTGGGAGTAGCATGACGAGGAAGCTGGGTGGGAGGAAGAGGAGGATGGTCAGATTACAGAGACCTTGGGGATAGTCCTGGGGCCAGCATGGGGTTAGGCCTGGGTGGCTGCAGGGATGTGGGGGATTCTAGGTCCCACAGCCCCTCCCCAGCTTTCCCTCTTGGAGTTCTATTTCCTTACCTCTTTCCCTCCACTAGAATCCCCTGTGGCTGTATCCCCTTCGCTAACTTTCAGTCCCTGCCATCCCTTACCCTCTTCCTGGCCAGGCTGCACAGCCCATGTCTGTCTTGCTCAGGACTGTCTCCCCAGAGCTGCACCAGGCCTGGCCCACGGGAACACCTAAGTGCGTGTTTGTTGAGTGAACAGGCCATATGACCAGAGATGGTGCCTGCTTTACCTTGGACACCAAGAAAAACTGAGGAGCCTGATGGTCAGGATTTTGCTGACCCTTGGCCTGATGTTCTCGTTCTATGCTTAGGCCAGGTCGGAGGACAGTTGTCAGACTTCATGCCAGGATCCTGGACACAAAGTCTTGGACGCAGCTGAGGGTGGGAATGCAAGGGTTTGTGAGAAGCCCCAGTAGCTGCTTGCTGAGCCCTGGGTGGCATGTGCCAGGCTGAGAGCCAGGCCACGGCTGACCACGCTGGAGGCCACACTTGGATTCTTTCCCTCTGGCAGGTCCCAGGAGCCTGACCAGCCAGGAGGACCTCCCTCTTCCTCTCTCACCTCGATGATGTAATCCCTGCCGTCCTTGCTGTGCACGGCCTTGACAGCACAGATATCCAGGCCGCCAAACATTTCCGAGCAGCTGTCCACCCACAGCCTGTACCTGCAAGAGTGGACAGACAGACAGTGAGCATGGGGGGGCGGGAGGGGGCAGCGAAGAGGGGAAAGATGGACACAGGGAGGGGTAGAGACACAGACACACACACATAAACAGCAGCGCCCCCTGCCCCCAAGAGAGACAGTAGCCAAGAGCGAGAGTGAGGCCCTGGGAGCGAGGTGATGGCGAAAGGGAGGCAGAGACATAGATGGACAGTGACAAGACAGTGGACAAGAGACTGGAAATGAGGCCAGGCAGGCAGGAGAGAGGGAGGAGGAGAGGGGATGAGAGCTGGGAGGGATCGAAATCCAGCCCCCACCCCATGCCACCCCAGAACCTTGCTGGCTCCCCAGTAGAGGGGAGCTTGCCCTGCCCCATCTGGAACCATCCAGGACACCAGCAGCTGCTGCAGTCCTTTTCCCTTGGGAAAACTGCTCGAAAGCTTCCAGAAATCCCTCCCAGGCGGCCCTCCCAGCCCCTGCACAGTCCAGATGAGAGCCTGCGGGGGACAAAGGGCGCATTCTCTCCGAGCCTGGGGCAGGCAGGCAGGGGAGGCTGGCAGGCTGCTCCCGCCAGCGGCCTGGTCCTCTGGACGGACCCGCTGCTTTTGTTCTGTTTCCAGCCACTTGATGGCTGCAAGGCCAGTTTGCTTTGCAGGGGAAAGATCTCAACGCTGGACTTTGACCCGGCAACAAGGGGATGGTTGTATCTGGAGAAGTCTTCCTGAGCCTGCACTTGGCTTCCCCCCTGGTGGCTGCCTTTGGGAGTCACAGGGCACTTTGTGTCAATGTTCTAGCTTCTCCCCCCACTCTTCAAGGTCACCCGGGGCACGCCTGCTCTGAGATCTATTTGTGTCCCTGAGCAGTAAGGGCCAGAACGAAGGGAGATCATGGCTGAGATGCTTTCAGAACCAACTCTCTCATCTTATCCACCAATGCCAAGGCCCAGAGGGAGAATGGCTTTGCAGGGTCACACAGCAAGAGGGTTAAGACAGCCAAGATCACCCAGTTTTCCTTGTCCCTCGTCTCGTCTTTCATCCAACTGAAACAAGGAGCATGTAAGATCATATTCAGGTCACCTACTGAGACCTGAATGCGCACCTGGCTGGCTGGCATCTCCCCCCAGCCCCTTCTCTGTACGCATTAGTGGAGGGTATGACTTCTTCTCCCTAACCCCTACAACCACTCTTTCACCAGGGTTGAACCCATTTTGCAGATGAGGAGACTGAGGTTCAGAGAGGTTCACAAAGAGACCACGTTGGCTTTGGCTTTCAAACTCAGCTCCCGGCTGACTCCACATTCCAAGCAAACCACCCTTCCTTGCGGCTGGAAGGCGTCCTCCATGGGAGACCGGTGACGTGGACAACTGCGCTGGGTGAGCCTCTCCTTCTTGCAGCCTCAGCTTCCTTCTTGAGCCATCAAAGGCTTAGGTGTGGTTCTGTTTGTGCATCAGAATCACGAGGAGAGTCGAGCAAAAACACACCCACACACAAGCCCACTGGGGTCCTGGTCGATGCTAGAACCATCCTATTAGTTCTGAAAGCTTCTGAAAGCTTCTGGAGCTCTAAGAGTCCCTGGGCTTTCTGATCAGGGCCCCTGTATTTGGCACCAGTGGCTGACTAGGACCCCTTAGGGCAACGGTGCCCTGGATCACCCTCAGAAATCAATTTTTTTCCCTCTCGATGGAAGGTAGAAGTCTGGGCCTGGCCCAGAGGGAACTGGTTTCTAGAGGCTGTTTTTAAATGATGAACTCCCAGGTTATTACTGGCTACACCTCATGGGGCCCAGCCCATTGCCACCCCCTCTCCCTGGTCAAGGAAGAGGCTACATGGGAAGAAACTGGGGAACATGGGGTCCAGGCACCCCTCTGCCAGGTGGGCCTAGTACCCAGCAGGTCACACCATTGGTTTTGCCCTGGAGTCACATTACCTGACCAGCAGCTGAAGCAGGTAGAGGGGTCAGGGCCTTTTATGGGACTGGGGTGCTCTGTTCCAGGCCTGGGGCTATTGCCCATGACTCTGCAGGAAGGTAAGTGAATTCCAGGCCTGAGCAGACTCGCTCTCATGGTGGGCTTCTGCAGAGGTGACTCATGTGGCCTGGGACTGAGCAGAGCCAGGGAGAGGGTGGCCTGCTGGAGGCACCTGTGAGTGGCTTGTGAGAGACTAGGTAAACTGGGCTCACATTCTGGAAAGGGCCATGGAGAAGGGGGTCATTCTCTCATGAAAGCCCCCTGGGGTTGGGGACAATGTGACTAGCCCAAACCAGATGATCCAGTTGCTCCAGGTAATGAGCAAACACCTCGCCCACTTGAGTTAATATAAGTGGGTCCCATATTGAAGGCAGCAGTTGTCACCTGGGGTTGACAGGAAGGGAAGGAAGCGAACACTTAGAGCACCCCTCTGCCACGGAGCAGTACAGGGGTTGCTACTGCATATCCCTCTCATTCAGCACTCTGACTCGGGTATTTTTACCTCCATTGTACAGTTGAAGAGGTTCAGAGAGGTTAGTTAACTTGCTGGAGGTGATGCAGCATTTGTCCATGCTGCTTCCTCAGCCTAGATCCCCGGAACCAGAAGTTCTAAGAGGACAGGTATCCATATCCTGTTTGTCTCCCCATCTCCAGCCCCTTCCACTGTTTCCCCAGGGTCTGGATCTGTAACACCAACTCCCAGCTGGTGTTCAGCAAATAGCTAACAAAGAAATAAACGATTCCTTCCAACTCCTCCTGATTCTGTGCAACATGATGCTGGCGTCACCTCCTTCAGGAAGCCTTCCCTGATCTTCTCCTCCCTCACCTGTGTTACATGCCCCCTGCTCCCACTGCAAGCTCAGTGCTCACTTTCACCCTAACATCACCACACTCTGTCTCCTTTGTTAGCTGGGCACACAGGAGTGGACATCTGTTGTTTTAATCTGCACAGCATCTACTTCCCCTCCTACTAAAGTCTTCTTGATATCTCTTGTATTATGGCCCTCTGGAAGTCTCCCTCAGTCATCGCAGCTATAGCAGGTGGGCGGACCCCATTCTCCAGGGGCAGACACAGGACCTGGGCCTGGCCAGTCACAACATGCAGATTTCTGGGGAGTAATGATGGTTCAGGAGCGATCATGTGACCCAAGCCAAGCCAATCAGCGAATAAGTTTCAATTGCAGGCTTTGGTGGGGGAAGAGATATTATCTTTCCTCTTGGACTTGACACTTTGAGGATGTAAACCCAGAGCCACCATTATGAACGACTGACTGGAGTGAAGCTGACGGAAGAAGGCTGAGTGGAGGTGGGTAGAATGAGCCATGAAGTCTTACCTGGGGCTGTGCCTCTGGAGTCTCTGTTGCCACAAGCTAATAAATCCCCTTGGCTCAAACCACTCTGTGTTGAGTTCTGACACAGTGACACAAAACTCTTAAAGGGAGGGACTGGATCTTCTCATCTTGGACTCCGCAGTGCTCAGTACAATGTGGCATGCAGTAGACACTTGATAAATGCTCACTGAACAAAACTGACCCCAAAGTCCATTGCTGTTCCGTACCATTGGGTACTTGCAAACAGAGGCCACTTGCCATGCCGGGAAGGTTGCGAGTGTGCTCCTGTGCATAAAGGCAGGTGTCTGGCCCTTTCTCAGGTGAGCAGGGCTCATGCACATAGTGTCTAAAGGGAGAGAGATCTGAGGACCCACCAACCTCTACCCCTGACACATTTATGAGTCACAGGGAACCAGCCTTTCCCTCCTTACACTGTAATGAGAGAGGAATGCCACCCCCCTCACCACCGTAGTTCTTGTGCCTTGTAGAGATGGCTTCACAGCTGTCAGAACACAGGAAGAACTGGAACGGTCACCTGCTCTCTCTGCAGCAGGTGGACCAGGCTGGAAAGACCCCTGGACTTGGAGTCAGGTCATCAAGGTTCCACTTGCAGTTCCATCATTGATAGGCTTCGTGGCCTGGACAAGTCACTTTCCCACTCTGAACGTTCGCCTCCCATCTGTACAATGGGTTATTATCATAGCAGCCCTGCAGGCTGTTGAGTGTAGAGAGGTGTTGTGACTAAGACAGTGCTCTGTGGGTGGTGAGGCACTGGACACAGGGGAGGTGGCATTTCTCATGGGCTCCTCATAGCCACACCCTCCTCCCACGTGGCTGTTGCTTCTTCCTGTGCCTGTCCTTTGTCTCTTACCTCTCTGTCATGGCCACCTGCTCCAGCATGGCAGAGCCTGTGTTGGCCTTCCAGTTTCCAGAGATGGAGGTTCTCCTGTATCAGAACAAATAACACGTGGAGGACATTAGGGACACCTGTCACCACTCTGCTCTCCTATCTTGCTTTGGCTGCCAGGAATTCACTGCATTACAGCAATTAGCCTTAAGTATATGTTCTATCCTTAGCCTCAGTTTTATGTTCATCTCTGTATTTCCCTTTATGTTGACTAGCTTATTTATTTGTTGGATCTTATGTATCTTTTTCTAAGTCACCTTTGAAATCTAAAAATTAAAGGAAAAAAATGCTCACATCATCCCATGAAATCCTTCCAGACTTGGCCTCCTGGTTTTGAAAAGGATAACCAGGGCAGTAGAGATGCTAGTGGTTCTGGAATTTTTTTTTTGGGGGGGGGGCGGGGAGGCCAGATGTAGGAAAAATGATCCATGGAGAGAAATGACCACATCTAAGATGAAGGGCAGAAGGCCTCATCAGCCTCTCTGTTCCTTTATCTTTTCTGTTCCAGTAAGTGCTGGCTTCCCTTGGGAGCGCCAAAGCCTGTGTCTCTTTGCTGTGTTGAGGCCTCGAAGCCCATTCTTCCCTTTATCCATAGTCTTCATCTCCATCTTTGTCTCCCTAAGTTCTACTCATCCATTAAGCTTCATCTGAAATGTGACTGCCTGACAGCCACCTCCCCTGACAATGGGTAGCCCCCCAATGACCCTCTGTGCTCATCTTCAGTGATGCTCATCTCACTTATAAAGGTTGTGTCAGTGTCCTGTCTTCCCCGAGGACAGGGAACATGTTTGACTCATCCCTGTGCCCTAGTGTCCAGCAGCACCTGGCCTATAGCAGGTGCCCATAACGATCTACTTACAGTAGGAGTCTGTGTATACTGGGAAAAAATCCAGACATACTATCTCCAGTGGCTTATCTGGACTCAGCAAAGGCTAAAGGAGTTTAAGCCAAGTGACAGCAGTAAAATGATTTGTTTTATGGCCAAAGGGTGATCCAGGGATAGGAACTGCTACAGAAACGTCATCCCAAAGGAAAACGAAAATGTATCTGAGAATAGCAGCTGCTGAGACTAGCTGGTGGCCAACAGGAGCCAGCCTTATGAGGTATTGGTATGCTGTATATCAGTTTTGTTTATTTCCGTTCAGTTCAGCTCAAGTCAGTTTGACAAACACTTACTGGACCATCCTCTGCACTGGGGACTGGCTAGTGTGCAGCGACACCCTCTCCTCTGGCTGCTCACTACCTAGACGGGGGGAAGAGCCTAAAACCATAGTATCAGCATGGGAGGATCAGAGGTGTACATGTGAGCAGAGAAGGCTCCAGGGAGGCAAAGGAAAAAGCAGAGTCACTTAATGTGACCCCAGTCGGTAGCCATTGAGATGAGGCTTGACACACAACTCTTAGAGGGAGGGATTGGATTTTCTCATCTGCACGTAGTGTCTAAAGGGAGAGAGACCTGGGGACCCGCCAGCCTGGTGGCAGAAGATAAGAGCTGACTTGACAGATGCAAGTGTGAATCTCGGCTCCAGCATTTTCAAGCTGTCTTATCACAGACAACATCTCTGAGTCTTTATTTTCTCATTGGTAAAATGGGAACAATTCTAGTACCATCCTTACAGGGTATAGTGAGGGTTAAAGGAAACATTCCCCTACATCTCTTAGCACGCCGGGTGCTACTAGTGTTTTCCAGTAAATGGAGACAAGAAAAGAAGGCATTCCAATGCCAGCGGCTGCAGGAACACACGCCAGATTGCTCTCCTTCCAAGAAGATAATGAGAGTAAGAGTAGCTATTTAATGAGTGCTTTCTATGTCTGAGACATGGGTCTAAGAGTTTTATAGTCACTGGCTTATTTCAACTGCACAAAACCCAATGAGATGGACATTGTGTTACTCTCATTTCTACTTAGTGGTAGAAGCCACCAAACCCAATCTGGGGAACTCCGTGCCCTTAGCCATGACTCTCCATAGCAGAGTCCATCACAGGTTTAGGAAAAGGGCCAGTTGGTGCAAATGAGATGAGCTGCTGGTAGGAAGGAAAGAAGGTAGTAGGTGACGAAAGAATCCAAGCACCTTACAAATGTATTGACCTGCTTATTGAAGAGGCTAGAGGTGGGTGTTAAGGTGCTGGCTTGAAAACTTGGAAATGACTGGAGACTGACGAAGTACAAAAGGGACTGTATACAGCCCTGGCTGCAGATGGCAAAGTTATTTCCTTCGGGATGTGGGTTTATAGTCCACCACTGTACTGGGAGTGAGCAAATGAGGGAGCCAGGTTTTACCCTGCTGGAGTGGGAATTGCTTACCTGTAGGTAAGCAATCTGGAACGGCGAAAATGAATCACACAGTACTAGATGAATGTGTGAGGCATCGACATGAACCCTATTTAGCTCCAGAAAAGGGTGGCTATATATAGAGGTAATTACAGAGATGCGCGCATGCACAGGTTAAGACACACATTTCCTGACTCTGTCTGCTGAGGGGACTTAAAGCACAAAGTGCTTTAAGCACTTTGAGGCAACAAGCACAAAGGCCCAACTGCAGGGCAGGAAGTGGTCCTGAAAGGAGGGTGAATGGCCAGGGGCAGAGAGGACATTCTACGCTGAGGTCTGACACGAACCCCCTCCCTAGGATGTGGGCCAACCCAGCGTCCAGGAAATACCATTAACTAGTGACAAATGGGAGCCGTCAGGGCAGAAAGGCTCAGCGTACAGGGTGCGGCAGTGAGGTAATCCTCAAGAAGAGAAACTGGGACAAGGTGCCGTCAATGTCAAGTGACAATCCTAACAATGAGGAGAGGAGGGAAATGACGTCATGACGGACGTGGTGCCTGTCTGGGGAATGCACCAGCCAGCCGAGCTGGAGGCGCCCTACTTCAGTGGGGCAGGAGGAGGGGATCTTCTTACCCTGAGGACAACTGGGAGCAGTGACCTGGCTCATGGGTGGGGGAGAGGGATGGGCAAGACTGGGCAGAACTATTCCTTGAGAATTGGCTGTATCCTTTTCTTGGGAATATTTCCTTAGAGAAACATTCTGCCTGCGCCTTCTGCAGTTTCCCAGGCAGTGGCCAAGTGCAGCAGATGCAATAGAGACTGTATGAACAGTAAAGCCTAAATTTAATTACCATCAGGCCCTTTACAGCGAAGGTTTCCTGACCCCCAGTATAGGCAATGCAGGTAGAGCCAAAGCAACCCTACATAACACCCGAATGGCTGTGCAAACCCTGAGCAATAAAACTTTATTTATAGACACAGGCGGCAGATGGCTTTGGCCTGTGGGCTGTGGCTTGTTGGCCTTGACCTAGAGCACAAGCTCCACCGCACAGCAGCACGTGGAGAGACTTTCCAGCTGGCTAGAGCCAGCCATGGCCACGCTTGAATAGGGAGCCAGGCACAGAGTCAGTGCTCCATGAATGCCTGGCAGCCAGACACTGACCTTTCTGGGGTCTCATTCTTTCAAGTGGAACCAGCAGCAACGTAAGTGAGAGACAGGACTTGGAGAAGGTACGACCTCTCCAACCAGCGGGACCGCCCCCCAATCGATGACGCCCACTCATCCTTATAACCACAGCTCAGGGTTGAGTTATCCTTTTTGGTGGGTGGGAGAAAGAGCATTGGGTTTTCTGGCATTAAGTGCTCTTCCTTTGGTCAAAACGTTTCCCTTTCCATTGGAGAATGAGGCTGCCCATCTGATGCGCCATCTTGGTGGGATTTCCCTATGGGCTGTCTGTCTTTCTCTCCCCTTAAGCATCTGACCAAAGCTGGCCTGTGGACACTGTTTAGGTGAGTAACTCCTTGAGTTAATCTCTGAAATGACTGGGAAGATTCATTTCCCAGTGGGGGAGCCATGAAGATTGTGTATTCCTTCTGGCTACCCAGATTCTGGGGCTGACCTAGATCCTAATATTTCTGAAACTGACAGTTTTGTGTGTATGTGTGTGTGTGTTTACGTTTCTGATCATCCATGGTTTTCTAATAAATTCCCTTTAAATAACTCTGTCAGCTCGGTCCAATGTGGTTCTGTTGCTTGCAGTCGGAGGAATCTGATATGATTTCCTAACTGGTCTCACTGGTTCCAGAAAAACCCCTTTGCAGTCTTTGGCCCCAGAGCCATCTTTTTATAAATGCAGGTCAGAAGAGAACAGAAGAAAATCCAGAACCCTCAGCCAGGCATTCTTTCATTTGTCCCCAGTGTCTCTTCCAGTCTTATCTCCTATGATGTATATCCTGTATATACTTCAAGTTCCCCCAAACATGTCAAGTGTCACAACCCTCATTTGGGCAGACAGATTTCTACCCTGGGATAAGCTGTAACAGAACATCAACCCTTAGCTCCACTGACTGGAGAAGGGCAGTGAAGGAAAAAGAAGGGGAGGAAGACTATGTGCCAATGGGGTCACTGGCCTGGGAGGGCTGGACGTGCATGTCTCATCTCCATCCCTCCCACACTTTCCTCCCAGACCCCTTGTGCCTGAGGGACTCACATGTAAGCCTTGTAGTTGGATCCAATTTTCTGGATGCGGATGTCATACTTGGAGTCAATGAAGGCCTCAGTGGTGGCATAGGTTTTGGCCATGGCCACCATGCTGGTGATGTCCTGGTAGTCGAGCTGGTTCTCCACTTTGATCTGTGTAGGGGAAAGAAGGGCTTAGTGCCACCCAACCAGCCTTCACCCATCACCTACCCAAGACTAAGACCCAGGTTGCCAGACAGTGACCTTGAGAAGGTCAACTGCCCAGCAGGGGAGAAAGGACATAGAAAATAAGTCCTTCCATGTGTGCTACTTGGGTAGTGAAGGGAACCTTTATAGAAGGTAAGCTCTGAACAAGATTTGGAACAAAGAATGCGATTTTCCAGCTGGGCCTCTCTGGAGTGGGATGAGGATGGGCAAGGCAGACATGGGAGGAGCTGCCTGGGGACAGAATGGCTGACGGGGCAGGAGAGAGGGGGATAGGAAGGAGCTCAGGGAACAGACCAGGGTGAGCTCAATAGTATTGGAGGGGTCTTGAGTTTTAGCCAGAAAGCTCTGGAAAGCCACTGGGAATTGATGAGTTTAAGTAAGAAAGCCTCATTTGTGTTTTTGAAAAAAATCACTCAAGTAGTGGGATAGGAAGAGACCAGTCAGAAAAAGGGTGTGCAACATATGCGTGTATATGTTGTGTGCATGTTTTTGTGCATGCAGATAGCATGTGCATGTGCGTGTGTGTTTATGTATGTCTGTCATGTGCACTGGCAAGGCTAACACTTACACTATTTATGGAGCTAATCCCAGAAAAATGGGGTGTCGCTGAGGGACTGGTGAGAGGCCCCAGCAGAGCTTCTAAGGCCAGGTACAGGCTAAGACACCAAGGTTCCGTGATATCTGTCTCAAGGTGGAACAGAAGCTGACTCCCAGCCACCCAGAATAAGTGTCACACTTCCCCACCTCCCTGGCACCTGTGTGTTGCCATGTGGCCAAGTTCTGGATGTGAGCCGACCTGGGGTCTGCATTTCTAGGTCTGCTGTTAAAGGGAAGAGGAGGGTTTTCCACTTCCCCTTTCCTCTTCCTGTGGCTGGGATGTGGATCACCTTGGATGGGCTGACGGGCTGAAGGGCAACACCCCAGGAGTGGATGAGCAACGAGTTGGGAGGAGGCTGGGTCCTGGCAACAAGGAGGTCCCATACCCACTGTGGGCTTTTTTTTCGACTGCTATGTGGGCGAGAAAGCCCAAGCTTATTAAGCCTCCATGCGCTTTTGTTACAGCAGCTGAACTTTATCCCAGTGATTATAGGAGCCCTTAATTAAATATTTGTTGGTTACATCAAGCCTGCATTCACTTATTCACAGGGTAGGCAAAAGAGCAAATTATAGACCTCGTGGTTTAATCTGCCAATTGATTAATTAGTGTTGCAGCCCATCTCCCGTTGTGAACTCTTCCTCCTATCTTTTTTTTTTTTTTTTTTAGAGGCCTGTTTTATTTATTTGTTTGTTTATACAAGCACTGGGTACAGTCAGAAGCGCGGGAGGGTGAGAGAATTCACCAGAGCCAGAGTGGGGAGCAGAGCAGGCAGAAGGATCGAAGTACACTGCTGAGGGGAGCAGCGGGCGGCAGGCCGGGGATCGAACCGGCGCTGCAGAGGCCGCGGGCAGCTTCGCAACCCAGCGCTCAACCACTGCGCCACCGGGGAGGCCCTCTTTCTCCTATCTTGATCTGGGGGGTTGGGAGCAGGGTGCTCATCCTACCCAATCCAGGGTTGTGCTGGTAACCCAGGATTTTCATGCACTGGCACTTCCAGAACCCCAGGAGAGGCTCCCCTCAATGTTCCTCGTGAGTTTATGTTCTTTTCCTGATAGAGGGTGTAGGGTAAGTAAATGATATCAGGCTTTTCTGCCCTCCCGCCATTAGGATGGATGAGGGATCCCTGCAGACCCGAATGCATGCCTGATGGCGGGCACCTGGAATAGGGTGTGGGAATGCGTAAGTGGGTACTCCTGGGCTGAGAGACTGAACTTATAAGGGTAGCGTCAAACGGGAGAGCGGAGAGCAGAACCACGAGAGAGGCCCGGACAGCCCAGATAGAGTGAAGGATTGCTAGGGGCTGGGAGGCCTGCCAGCCTTCCACACCCCCTCCCCCCAGCACCCCTGCCTGCCATGTACCTGGTAGATTCCAATAAAAGCCTGAAAAGCCACCGAGGGCTCCAGCACTCTCTCCTCCTTTACCGGGTCTGCTGGATTAGAAAACCTGCACTGTGCCCTTCCTGCCCGCTACAGAGCGCCTCCCAAATTGTATCATGTTGGGGGGGGGAACCCATAAAAACCTGGCTCCACCCACATCTTTCGCCAGGAGACTGCAAGCTCCTTGAGGACAGAATGCAAGTGTCCTTTGTCCTCAGCTGGGACCCTGCCTGGCACGTTGCCGCTGCTCCAAGGGTGCTTGCTGGATTGAATTGAAGAAGCTTGGATAAAGATCTGCTCGAAACTTGGAAGGGGGCAGAAGAATGGAAGGAAAAATAAGGGAGCTTGGAAAAAGGCAATGAAATTGGGTCTCCGGGAAACTCATCTTTCATAAAGTAGCTCTTTCTGTAAAAGGCGGGACTGGATTCTACCCTCTCAGAGGGTTATGGCTTCCCTGGTGAGCCCTTGAGAATCTATAGTCAGGGAGCCTGGCGAAGGGGGCAGGTGGTCAGGAGCCCAGGAAGGGGGTGGTGGCTCTGAGGGGCTTTGGGCTGGTCTCAGGAGGTAAAGGGTAGGTGGGGCTAGACTGGCGGTGAAATGGCTGCTGGTCCCCGGGGGCGGTCTTGGCGCTTGGCTTTATTTACTAGCTGGAAACCCCTCTGAGTGTTCCCAGGATATGCTGAAAACAGGAAGCCCCAAATGAGCTGCGATTCAAGACTGCCCATTTGCTGCTCTGGGGACCTGCACCGTGGTCACCTCGACCTCCCTGCCTCCCCAGACACCCCCTTCTCCTGCTAGTCTCCTCTCTCCTCTTTCCCATCTCTCACTGCCTTCACTCCCTCTCCCTCCCGCTCCCCAACTCCTCTGCTGGCTCGCTTCCTTCCCCTCCTACTTTTAACATCATCTGTCCCCTCTCCGGTCTCATTCCCCCTTCAGTTTTCCTTCATCCCCTTTCTCTGTCAGTTTCCCCTGGCTCACCTCACTGTGGGGTCTGCCCTTCCTCCTGCCTTTCATTTCTTCCCGATCCCTCCCCCAGCTCCTCCCCTGTCCTCTCCTCCCCATCCAGTGCCCCCTGCTCTTCTCTCCTGCTTTTTGAATTGCTTCACCTCCCTCTGGTGGCTGGTGCGGTGCCATGCTGTGTGTCTGTGTGCTCAGTCCCGAGGAGGAGCAGGGAGGGGCAAACGGGAGAAAGGCACGAGAGGATACAGTTCTGAATCTTCTCAATGGGATTCCCCTCAGAGAATCCCCTCTTCCAGGTTCCAGCCTGGGATGGGAGAGTCATTGTTTACATCTTAGCTAGATTATCTGCTAGTCGCTTGAAGACCTCCAGTAACAGGGAGCTCACTTCTGGGAAGGCAAATCCCCCCACTTTAGGGAACTTGTTCTGCTGTACCTTACAGCATGGACGCATGGGTGGTCCCGGGTATTGATCACAGGAGTAAGTCTTGATTCTTTGCATTGGTCTGCTCTGGGTACTACTTGAAGACAGGTACCCAGAGAAACCAAAGTTAGCCTGCTATTTAACCCACCCTACCATGGTTTCAGATCCTCTACTACCTTGAAACGCTTTCATTTGACAATCTCTTAGATTATGTAAGGCCCAGGCATATATGTCATACTCCAGATGTGCCTTCACCAACACAGATTCAATAAGACTGTCATCTCCTTTATCTGGAATATATCTGGCAAATGGCCACCCCAGGACCTTTGCACTTGCTTGCAAGGCTCACACCCTCACTTCATTCAGGTTTCTGCTCCAGCATCACATCTATGTGATGTGACTCCTGCTCCCTCCAGCACACCTCATCTACCTTATCCTGGTAATTTTTCTCCATAGCACTTCCACCACCAATACACACCATTGTTTTATCTATTTCGTTGTCTTTTGTCTTCTGTCATTCCACTAGAATAGAAGCTCTGCAAAAGCACCACTGTATTTCAAGCATCTATAATCACAAATGCTCAGTGAATTAGTTTAATGATTAAATAAATACATCTAAGGATTTACAGTGATGAATTGAGTGCCCATTATGTCCAGGTAATTACTGAGTGTTTTTCCAGATACTACGCTGGAGACTGGGGGATGCAATAGGGAACACGAGATTTATAATTCTTCTCCAGATGGAGTTTTTAGTCTATTAATTATCTTGTTCCTATTAATTCGGCTCAATAGAATGTTAGCTTTTCTAAGATCCACATGAAACTTGTTCTCAGTTAATATCTCTAGGTCATTTCTTAAACATAAGATCCTGATAACTCACCTTGCTCCAAGCTCAGACTTGAGTGGTTTAATCACAGAGCAGGACCTTACATTTACCCAGTGGTAGTGATCAACTCTCATGTCTTCATCTATCCCTATTTGTCGTCCAGTATGGATTCTGTTCTCTCTCCCTCTCAGTCTATGCCACTCACAATGTTGGCTCACGTTTCCCTACCTAATTCAAGCTGAAGTTAGAATCAATGAAGGGGCCAGTGATGCAATCAGCATGGTGAAGCAAGTCTAGACAAAGGCAAAAGCAGGCATAATGGTCCTGGGGCCAACCTACCAGTTGAAGAGAGATTCACAAACAGTAGAAAACTGAAACTCAACATCTTTCTATGAAGATGTGGGCTAGTGAGGCTCATACTAGGGCAGAGGCAACTCCATTTTCCTTGGTGGTATGGCCAAGTTCCAGAAGATGGCTCGGAATCAACCCTGATGCAGAAACACACAAGCAACTGAAGTTCATGGCCCTATTTCAATAGCCTAGAGACACTGAAGGCAAGTATGACCAGCAGCTCACCCCAGCCAAATCCAACTCCATCAAGTTTCCATAGAAAGTCCAGTTTGGAGCCTGCCAGTGTGATGGCTGAGACAAAGCTGTTTTTTCTCAAAAAACACAAATAACTGCATGAAGCAATTTACTGAACCAGGTTATTTACAAATAAACCAGAAGCTGGGAGGATAGCTACCAAAAATAATAACTAGCTT